TGCAGTCGCAGCTTGTCCTTCTGCCGGCGAAGCGCATCAAGCTGCCGTTGCAATTCTGCTGCCTCTGGCTTGCCGGAGGCCTCACCCAACGCCGCCGTCATGGCTTCGGATTCATCCTCCGCCATCAGTTGGTGTGCGGCCTCCTCTTCCGACTCCAGCCCCTCCTTTGTCAGGGGTGGCTCATCGAGCGGTGCGCGGGGCGAATCATTCGCACGCTGCAGCTGCTCGGTTTCTTGTGGCTCGGGCAACACAAATGGTTGTCGCTGGTACTCCGTTTTCACCGCATTTATGATGCCGCGTGCCTTCTGCTTTACGGCATCCTCGTGTTTCCTCGCCACAGCAATCGCATTTTCGGCTGCACGCAGTTTCTGCATCAGCGCCTCTTCCCTTGCCCTAGTGGCTTCACAAGCCTCCCTCAGGCGCTTCTCAGAGCGGCGCAAATCCTCAACCTGCCTCTGCGACTGCCTGGTTTGGCGGCGGGCATCCTCCAACGCCTCCTCCGCACGACGCGCCTCACACAGTTGCGACTGCAACTCCTCATTGTGTCGCTGCAGGGCATCCAGCTTCTCCTGTCCACGGCGCGCATCATTTAGCCTAGACTGCAGATCCTCGTTGTGTCGACGCAGGATGTCCAGCTTCTCCTGTCCACGGCGCGCCTCCCTAAGCTGCAGTCGCAGCTTGTCCTTCTGCCGGCGAAGCGCATCAAGCTGCCGTTGCAATTCTGCTGCCTCTGGCTTGCCGGAGGCCTCACCCAACGCCGCCGTCATGGCTTCGGATTCATCCTCCGCCATCAGTTGGTGTGCGGCCTCCTCTTCCGACTCCAGCCCCTCCTTTGTCAGGGGTGGCTCATCGAGCGGTGCGCGGGGCGAATCATTCGCACGCTGCAGCTGCTCGGTTTCTTGTGGCTCGGGCAACACAAATGGTTGTCGCTGGTACTCCGTTTTCACCGCATTTATGATGCCGCGTGCCTTCTGCTTTACGGCATCCTCGTGTTTCCTCGCCACAGCAATCGCATTTTCGGCTGCACGCAGTTTCTGCATCAGCGCCTCTTCCCTTGCCCTAGTGGCTTCACAAGCCTCCCTCAGGCGCTTCTCAGAGCGGCGCAAATCCTCAACCTGCCTCTGCGACTGCCTGGTTTGGCGGCGGGCATCCTCCAACGCCTCCTCCGCACGACGCGCCTCACACAGTTGCGACTGCAACTCCTCATTGTGTCGCTGCAGGGCATCCAGCTTCTCCTGTCCACGGCGCGCCTCCCTAAGCTGCAGTCGCAGCTTGTCCTTCTGCCGGCGAAGCGCATCAAGCTGCCGTTGCAATTCTGCTGCCTCTGGCTTGCCGGAGGCCTCACCCAACGCCGCCGTCATGGCTTCGGATTCATCCTCCGCCATCAGTTGGTGTGCGGCCTCCTCTTCCGACTCCAGCTTCTCCGGCCCACGGCACGTCTCCCTCAGCTGCGACCGCAACTCCTCATTTTGACGCTGCAGGATGTCCAGCTTCTCCTGTCCACGTCGGGCCTCCCTCAGCTGCAGTCGCAGCTTCTCCTTCTGCCGGCGAAGCGCATCAAGCTGCCGTTGCAATTCTGCTGCCTCTGGCTTGCCGGAGGCCTCACCCAACGCCGCCGTCATGGCTTCGGATTCATCCTCCGCCATCAGTTGGTGTGCGGCCTCCTCTTCCGACTCCAGCCCCTCCTTTGTCAGGGGTGGCTCATCGAGCGGTGCGCGGGGCGAATCATTCGCACGCTGCAGCTGCTCGGTTTCTTGTGGCTCGGGCAACACAAATGGTTGTCGCTGGTACTCCGTTTTCACCGCATTTATGATGCCGCGTGCCTTCTGCTTTACGGCATCCTCGTGTTTCCTCGCCACAGCAATCGCATTTTCGGCTGCACGCAGTTTCTGCATCAGCGCCTCTTCCCTTGCCCTAGTGGCTTCACAAGCCTCCCTCAGGCGCTTCTCAGAGCGGCGCAAATCCTCAACCTGCCTCTGCGACTGCCTGGTTTGGCGGCGGGCATCCTCCAACGCCTCCTCCGCACGACGCGCCTCACACAGTTGCGACTGCAACTCCTCATTGTGTCGCTGCAGGGCATCCAGCTTCTCCTGTCCACGGCGCGCATCATTTAGCCTAGACTGCAGATCCTCGTTGTGTCGACGCAGGATGTCCAGCTTCTCCTGTCCACGGCGCGCCTCCCTAAGCTGCAGTCGCAGCTTCTCCTTCTGCCGGCGAAGCGCATCAAGCTGCCGTTGCAATTCTGCTGCCTCTGGCTTGCCGGAGGCCTCACCCAACGCCGCCGTCATGGCTTCGGATTCATCCTCCGCCACCAATTGGTGTGCAGCTTCCTCCTCCTCTTCCGACTCCAGCTTCTCCGGCCCACGGCACGTCTCCCTCAGCTGCGACCGCAACTCCTCATTTTGACGCTGCAGGGCATCCAGCTTCTCCTCTCCACGACGCGACTCCTTCAGCTGCGACTGCAACTCCTCATTTTGACGCTGCAGGGCGTCCAGCTTCTCCTCTCCACGACGCGACTCCTTCAGCTGCGACTGCAACTCCTCATTTTGACGCTGCAGGGCATCCAGCTTCTCCTCTCCACGACGCGACTCCTTCAGCTGCGACTGCAACTCCTCATTTTGACGCTGCAGGGCGTCCAGCTTCTCCTCTCCACGACGCGACTCCTTCAGCTGCGACCGCAACTCCTCATTTTGACGCTGCAGGGCGTCCAGCTTCTCCTCTCCATGACGCGACTCCTTCAGCTGCGACTGCAACTCCTCATTTTGACGCTGCAGGGCATCCAGCTTCTCCTCTCCACGACGCGACTCCTTCAGCTGCGACTGCAACTGCTCATTTTGACGCTGCAGGGCGTCCAGCTTCTCCTCTCCACGGCGCGACTCCTTCAGCTGCGACTGCAACTGCTCATTTTGACGCTGCAGGGCGTCCAGCTTCTCCTCTCCACGACGCGACTCCTTCAGCTGCGACCGCAACTCCTCATTTTGACGCTGCAGGGCGTCCAGCTTCTCCTCTCCACGACGCGACTCCTTCAGCTGCGACTGCAACTCCTCATTTTGACGCTGCAGGGCATCCAGCTTCTCCTCTCCACGACGCGACTCCTTCAGCTGCGACTGCAACTGCTCATTTTGACGCTGCAGGGCGTCCAGCTTCTCCTCTCCACGGCGCGACTCCTTCAGCTGCGACTGCAACTGCTCATTTTGACGCTGCAGGGCGTCCAGCTTCTCCTCTCCACGGCGCGACTCCTTCAGCTGCGACTGCAATTCCTCATTTTGACGCTGCAGGGCATCCAGCTTCTCCTCTCCACGGCGCGACTCCTTCAGCTGCGACTGCAACTGCTCATTTTGACGCTGCAGGGCATCCAGCTTCTCCTCTCCACGACGCGACTCCTTCAGCTGCGACTGCAACTCCTCATTTTGACGCTGCAGGGCGTCCAGCTTCTCCTCTCCACGACGCGACTCCTTCAGCTGCGACTGCAACTCCTCATTTTGACGCTGCAGGGCGTCCAGCTTCTCCTCTCCACGACGCGACTCCTTCAGCTGCGACTGCAACTCCTCATTTTGACGCTGCAGGGCATCCAGCTTCTCCTCTCCACGACGCGACTCCTTCAGCTGCGACTGCAACTCCTCATTTTGACGCTGCAGGGCGTCCAGCTTCTCCTCTCCACGGCGCGACTCCTTCAGCTGCGACTGCAACTGCTCATTTTGACGCTGCAGGGCGTCCAGCTTCTCCTCTCCACGGCGCGACTCCTTCAGCTGCGACTGCAACTCCTCATTTTGACGCTGCAGGGCGTCCAGCTTCTCCTCTCCACGGCGCGACTCCTTCAGCTGCGACTGCAACTCCTCATTTTGACGCTGCAGGGCGTCCAGCTTCTCCTCTCCACGGCGCGACTCCTTCAGCTGCGACTGCAACTCCTCATTTTGACGCTGCAGGGCATCCAGCTTCTCCTCTCCACGACGCGACTCCTTCAGCTGCGACTGCAACTGCTCATTTTGACGCTGCAGGGCATCCAGCTTCTCCTCTCCACGGCGCGACTCCTTCAGCTGCGACTGCAACTGCTCATTTTGACGCTGCAGGGCGTCCAGCTTCTCCTCTCCACGGCGCGACTCCTTCAGCTGCGACTGCAACTCCTCATTTTGACGCTGCAGGGCATCCAGCTTCTCCTCTCCACGACGCGACTCCCTCAGCTGCGACTGCAACTGCTCATTTTGACGCTGCAGGGCGTCCAGCTTCTCCTCTCCACGGCGCGACTCCTTCAGCTGCGACTGCAACTGCTCATTTTGACGCTGCAGGGCGTCCAGCTTCTCCTCTCCACGACGCGACTCCTTCAGCTGCGACTGCAACTCCTCATTTTGACGCTGCAGGGCGTCCAGCTTCTCCTCTCCACGACGCGACTCCTTCAGCTGCGACTGCAACTCCTCATTTTGACGCTGCAGGGCATCCAGCTTCTCCTCTCCACGACACGACTCCTTCAGCTGCGACTGCAACTGCTCATTTTGACGCTGCAGGGCATCCAGCTTCTCCTCTCCACGGCGCGACTCCTTCAGCTGCGACTGCAACTCCTCATTTTGACGCTGCAGTCCAGCCATTGTCTTCATTGTGTGCTTTCTTTCATCAGAATTTTGTTTTGTATTTTCGTGGAAATCTTTGTTTTGGGCTGGAACCTTTTTTATTGGTATTGTGTTTTGCTTTGTTTCCTCAGTTATCTGACGAGTTATGCTATGTTTTTCTGTTTTCTTTATTACCTTTTGCAACTTGTTTTGAGGTATAGCTTTTTCTTTCTGGTTCTCACTTTTGCTTGTTGTAGGTATTATTTTGCTTTTTACATGTTGCTGCTCGTTTTCTGTTTTTTGTATGTGTTTGTTTTTTTGTTGAAATTGCTGTAGTTCTTCTTCTTCCTGCTGTTTAACAAACATTTCCTGTAGACTTTGCTGCTTGTTATCACTCTTTTTTACATTGTCTTCTTCTCTTCCCTTTTTAAAAGCTGAAGTATCTTCTACCTTTTTGTTTTGCTTTAGTTGAGGTTCGGCAGTACAGCTAATATTTTTTGTCCTGGATGTCGATTTTTCTTGTTTGGTACCGGAGCTTGTGAAAACATAATTTTTCGTAGTTTTATAATTGATATATGGCGTATTTGGCTTTTCAAGATCATACTGTTCCCCTGCTTTTTCTTGATTTTTGGTTCCGGTGAGCTGTTTTGCAGCACTCGTTTCTTTTTCGACGGGGTTCAACTTGCCTATTTGAGTTCTGAGGAAGTCCTCACTAGGTGAGTCATTCTTGGCGCGCGCCTCGAGAGGTTCTTTTTTAGTTGTTTGCTTGTACATCTCGGTCTTGTAATCCGTTTCAGCATTTTCCAGGACATTTAGCTGATTCTGCAGGTTTTCCACCGTGCGCTGTAAATCTGCAATTCTGTTTTCTGCAAAGGTTCTTTCGCTAGTGGCTTCATCCAGACTCGCTTGAAGCAGAACAATCTGACGCTGCCTCTCCGTAATCTCACGCTCCCACTCATTGTTCTTATCTGTAATTGTTGCCACAACCGATTGCATTTTTTCCATAGAACGGCGAGAGTCTTTTAACAAGGCCTGTAGATCCTCATTTCTTCTTATGAGATCCTCCATTTTCCTGTCATACGAAGAAGCAACAAGCCTATCCTGACAGAGTGGCGTTTGAAGTGAAACGGTCTTTTGGCATTCGGTATCGGGTGGCGCCATTATGTTCTGCCATGTGCAAAGAGATCTTGTCAGGGGAAATTGGTACAATGATATGAGTTCATCAATACCCTCTGAACGACGGTCTGCGCTGTGTGTCACGTTAAACTCGGCTCGAAGCCTTCCGTGCGAGCATGTGACTCCAGAGACACATTCTGCATGGGCTCCACAACAGGCAATCACATCGCAAGTGAGTGCTCGCAGAAGCTCCTGGGGGTAGTTCCTCAAAATATCTTCCCAGACGTCACCGTCAAGGGAAATTTGATGAATCGTTGACACATTGGATGTGCCATGCTCAAGCCATTTAGCGGAAAGCGTGGCAATTATTGAATAAAGGTGAGCCACCTCACGCCGGGCCCTAACAAGCTCTCCCTCGTGTGCGTCACTGAGAGTCCTCAAAGCGTCATTTTCCTTTTTAAGCTCAGCGTTTATGTTACGCAACACCTCCAATTCTTGTTGCGTGCCCGAGTGCATTTTCCTTTGTAGGTAATTTTCAGATTGTAATCTGAGCGCATCGTTTATCTTCCTCATTTTTATGAGTTCCTGCTCCAGATGGTTCTTGTCGATGTTAACTTCTGTAATTTGGCCTCTAATGCAATCAATTGAGCTCTGCATCTCTGTAAAAGTGCGCATCAAATCTTCTGCCTCGCTTAGCTGTTGTTCAACCTGCAGCTCTCGGGTTTGCGTTCCACATTGCTCATTATAGTTATCCCAATCATGAAATGGCTGAAGACGCCGCGACCTGTCCATGATTGCGACATTCATTTCTTGTTGCAATTTGCTGTTTTCAGAGTCTATTTTCTCTACCTCCTTTTCATCATCAAATTTGATTTCGCTTTGCCCCTTCTCAGGGTTATCACGCAAAATATGAGTCTCTTCGTATGAGTCCAATGCAGGGCGCAACTCTTCCAAAAGGTAATTATTCGGAAAGCTCCCAGGAGATGATGCAATGTATTCCAGTAGTTCTGGACGGTGCACCGCGGCCATCTTCGTAATGTCGTAGTTTGTGGGAATGGCACCAATTATGGAAGAACGAAGAATTATTTTTTCTTCATTCTGTGAATTTGGAATTGGCTGACCTGGGTCGCCCTCAAGGACACGAATGCGACTCTGTAACGCTTTGATCTCAAAGAAAAGCCGCTCCAGCTGCTCGCGACTGTACTCATCTGTCAAAGGTGAAGGCGATTCACACTCCTCAAAAAAACTTAGTTGCGCTAAAACCCACAGATGAAGCGGGCCCGCAGCTTGTGAAGACTTATAAGCCGTTTCACTAGTAAGTCTTCTGCTCATACATCTTTGAAGAATCTCCGACCGACGCGCCATTGAAAGCCGTGAAGAGTCAAACTCTGAAACAAGCGAAATAAATCCTGGCCGTCTAATTATCGCCTGTATGCAAGGCCATCCGTAACACTCATTCCGAATTCCAATAATCTCAATGACATCTTCTATTATGTATTTCACAGTAGGCGGGGGCACAACATAAGACTGAATCTCTCGAATACAAGCACCCTCAATTCCCTTAACCTTAAGACGAGCGTAATCGATCCGACGCTGAAGAGCAGCGTAATGATCCCTCGCAACTCTTGCTCTTACTTGCTGAAGCATTCCACAAAGTTCAGCTAACTTCTTTCTGTTCATTTCAATAAGCTCTTTTTCATTTACCCTGGGGTCAGCATGTGAAACTGATACACGGGCAATATAGTCTGAGAGAAATGTCACAATTCCCGTTTCGTAGCACCATGAATTCCCCGTTAAAACATCAAAGGCTACTGAACTGCCCACATAAATGACATCCGAAGGGATTTTAGGAGAAAGTTCATCCCCGAGTCGTGGAGCTGGTTCGACGAGCATTTTCCGTTCTCTCCACTCCTTTTTTTTTTCTTTTATGAGTCCCGTAACCAGTAATCCCGTATAACTTTCTTCTTTCAACTTTCAGAAGATTTTACAGCAAAATTTCTTACGAAAAAAAAAAACTATTTTAAGACTCCAATCTTCCTTACTCCGATGTATACGTTTCGATCCAATAATATTCCCCTGCTAAAACAAGAGTGGTAACACTATATATGGAAAAGGAAAGCCTTCCTTTCTTCAGTTACGGCCACACTGGGCTAGTACAATTATGGAGGACAGCACAAGTAAAAAAAAAAAAAATGGGAAGGAAGAATGAAAGCCGCATGTCGGCAGATTTTCATAGCGTAGCAAAAATTATATGCATGCACAAGAGCAAAAAAAACCAAAAAAAAAAACAAAAAAACTTTGTAATATATATAACCACACTGTAGTGTGGGCTACACAAACCTTTATTCCCAAACATTCTTTTTTTTTTAATTTTTTTTTTTTTTTTTTTTTTTTTTTTTATTTTTTTTTATTTTTTCAAGAAAGAGTATCGTAATACAATAATTCATCCACTACATAAATAAAACAATGCAATATATCTATATATATATACATATAACTGACCAGGAAAAAAAAAAAAAAAAAAGCCAAATACAATTCTTCTTCAATAAGTTTCAAAAGAAAACTTTGATACCCTCTCTTTCCCCTTTGCCACAAATCGCAAATATAAAGAATCTTTAAAATAAACAAATAAATAATATATCAGTCCTCCCAATTGTCCATTTCCTTCATTTAATTTCAATTTTTATTATTATTAGTATTATTATTATTTTCTTTCTACTAGCCCCAAGAGAAAAAAAAAAAAAAAAAAAAAAAAAAGACATATAAACAGATAAAATATAAGACCTACATATAAAAATCCACTTCTTACTAAACGTTGTTTGCAGCCATTAAAACATCCGCACAATGCAAGTTTTCTGGAGAACTTATCTCCATTCTTTTCAAAAGTTCACTAAACCTGAGTTTTTCATCTTCAATCTCTGCTTCCGTAGGAACCGTCATTTTACCAAAATCATCACTCTGCATGATAACCTCTATCTGTGCTGATCTTCTTGCATCCTTTGTCCCGGGATTTTGGGCCACTATTGCAAGACGTTCTCGAGGAACACCTCGATATAAAGAAGCCATTGCAAAGCAAGCGTCACCAACATGATATTCACGTGAGCTGTTCTTCGCCTTGTAATAGACATGAAGCGTTATCACATCCTCATCGGGCTGAGCAAGATAAAAAACAAATGTCTCATTAAATCTTATAACCGATGCCAGCTCTTTGACAGAAGTCTTGTACTTCTCCTTGACAGATTTCACCTTTATAATAACATATCCAGGTTCAGTAATAGGTTTGCTATTCCGCATCACATCGGATAGTTCAACAATTGTAACGGCAAGATGTGCCCCATCCGCTACAACAGTTCTTCTTTTTTCTTCAGATAATTGGGTGGATGGTTGAGAATAAGAAAAATGTTCTATGGAGTGGCGTCTTGCACTTCCTCGAGGTGTTCGAGAGGCACGTCCACTCGATGGTCGTCCGCGACTTGGTGAGTTTTTCTCTTGAAAATTCACAAGTTGCTTCCACAATCCGTCATTTGCATTTCGCATTTTTGTCAACTGATCATTTAATTCTTGCAACTGCTTATCCCTTGATTTCGAAACTCCCCTTAGGTCAGCTTCCTTTTCTGCAACAGCTTCTTCAAGTCTCCTCATTCTGTTTTCCATTTCACCTTCCTTTTTGCCTTCGTTTTTACTTCTTGAATGATATTCATCATTTTTCAAGCAATTTTCCAGTTCCTTCAAACGAGCCTCAAGATCATTTATTTTATCATCCTTTAGCCTGTTATCATATTGCAAAGCACCAACCTGATCCGTCAGACGATCTTTTTCGACTTGGTATCGATAAATATCTTTTTGACGCTCTTCTTCTCGATCAGCCAGATGTTGAAGGTACCTGCGTAATTCATCATCTTTTCCTCGTTGTTCACCACTTCCCATTGCACAGGCAAGTTCAGCGTTTTCACGACATAACTTTTTAATTTCTTTTTTGTATTCTTCTTCATTCGCCCATGCAGCCTCAAGAGCACGCATAACATCGTCAATACAATCTATTTTATCCTTTGAAAATCTATCGACCGCAACTGAATCCATTCCAATTTTCTTTCTCAAGTTGTTTTCATTTTCTCTGAACATCAAATCTTGCAACTCCTGTAAACGATCAGCAGCAGGTAATTTTCCTGAATTCCATGGGGATGGACGTGATCGAAAAACGTCACTTTGCCGCAAAGGATCTCCAACTTGTGCCATCTGCCCATTTTGAGAAGATTCTTGAAGAGCAATTTGTTGCTCATGGGAACCCTTCAAATCTGCAGTCCTTATTTCATGGCGCGGTAAAAAAGCACGTAACCGTTCACTTTCACGCAAAATATTCTCACTTTCAACATCTGAAAATTTATCGCGTTTTGTTTCATTTTCAATACTAGAAACACCGGAAAGAATATTGTTCTTTTGAGCAGATGCAAGAAGCACTTCTAACTCCTTAATACGCACTTCACGTTCACTCGTCCTATCTTCAATCCGGGAACATTTGTCCTGAAGGTTATCGATTTCCTCTCGAAGTTTCTCATTTTCCTTTAAAAGATGTGTATTCTTTTGACTCAGGGTCCGATTAATCTCTTCAAGTGCTTTAATTCGATTCGTATTCATTTGTAATTCCGATTCCAGTTCACTGATACGCACATCTGCATCATCTGTCGGGGTTTCCCCGATAGGGAAGCTGAAAGGAGCACGACTTGCTCTCCGCTCTCCCCGAAAAGCCGTGACTTCTTGTTTAAAAGAGGCCAACTGGTCCTGAAATGCACGATAAACTTCCTTACCTCCCTGTTCATTATTATTCTTCAGCAATTCAATTTCACTTCGTAGCGCGGCTTCAAGTTGCCACCATCCCCTTTCTTTTTTTCGAAAACGTTCCTCTGCAAGACGCATTTTTTCCTCAAGTTCTGCAATATCCTCCTTAAGTAGGGTCTGTTGAAGTTGTTGCTCATTTCCCCGCTCTTTATTATCTCGGCTTTCCCGCTGCTGTGTTGCTCCATCAAACCTTTGAATGGACGCTAGTAACTCTTCGTAATCCTGAACATATCGTGCTCTTTCGGTCTCCCAAACTTCTTTTGCAATTGTCCACTGATGTCTTTCTTCGCGAAGCCGTTCCTCCATGTCATTGTTTTTCTTTTTTAAGAGAAGTATTTGAGCATCTGCTTTTTCTTGTTGTTCCGCAAAGATTTTGCATTTCTGGTCAAGCTGATATTCTCGCTGAATAGCCTTATTGTTCACGGCACGAAGCTCTTCAATTTCCGATCTCAATCGGCTATTTTCCTCAATTAATTTTACGGCCTCTCCATGAACCGCTGAAGCATTCATTTTGTCCCCCAATTTCAACTTCATTAATAGGGCATTATTCTCTTCCTCGAGCACTCTTGCATTTCGGTTCGCAAGAGAAAGGTTGTTTTCGACATCGCTAAGCTCCTTAAGCTGAGCCTTCAGATCCCGAATACGCACTTCTTGTTCGTATTCATTAAGTTCCCTTGTTGCGAGTTGCTCTTTTAGCTGCGCACACACCTCATTAAGTTCCTCTAATTTTTGCTTGTATTCAATATTTTTCCGCTGCATCCATTCTGTAGACAACATTTTCGCTTTTTTTTTTTTTTTTTTCCGAATTCAAAGTGCTTCCAAACCTGGTTACTGCGTGAAAAAAAAAAAAAAAAGAATAAGAAATAGAAAAAATAAAGCTAAATCAGTTGAGCCATAAAAATAGTGCAGAAAAAAATAATAATAATAATAATAATAATAATAATAATAATAATAATAATAATAATAATAATAATAATAATAATAATAATAATAATAATAATAGTAATAATAATAATAATAACAGAGAATTCACATAAGTGATCAATAAGAAAACGGAACAAAACACCAACCCCCAAAATCAGGTTCAATAGCCCCATACTTGTTTCACCCAAAGCGTTTCTTTTTCTTTTTTCCTGGAGAAGAGAAAATAAAAGTCAAACACCAAATCAATCCATTTCGTGTCCTCGCCCCCGGCCGCCGCGCCGCGAAAAAAAGAAACAAAAAGCGCCTATGTTTACATATGCGGCTCGCGCGGCGCCGGCATCCGAGGCAGGCCGGAGGGGCGGAGGGCGCGCGTGATTGTGCCACCGCGCCTTTCATGTATGTATTTATTCTCGCTATTATTGTCATTGTTATTATCCATATCTGTTGGCGTGTTGAGTTCTTTTTTCTTTTTACTTTTTTTTTTTTTTTTTTTGAGCTTTGCCTTTGCCTTTGCGTTATTTTAATTTCTTTTTTGATTTCTTTTTAATGAAAATTGGTACCAGGTGTTTGCGTTTTTTGTTTGGCACGCACAATGAAGGAGTTTTCCTTCTTTTTTTTTTTTTTTTCCTCACCGTTGTGCTTTGTATTTAACTGTGATATTACCTTTTTTTCTTTTTTTTTGCTTTTAGCGTAGTACTATGCCATGGAGATATGAGGAGGTTATAGATGCTTGCGGGAAGGCTTTAATTGAGGAGCGAAGCGCGCGAATACGCTCTTTACTGAATGTGGTGGTAAAGGACCTTACTGAAATAAAGTCAATTGCGAATGAAACTTCTGGTCAAAAATTAAATGAAGCCAATGGCGAAGCTTCTAAAAAAGCTGAAAACAGCAACGGATTCGAGGAAAGCACCCTCAGTCATTTGGGTTTTGTTACACAGTTAGTTCTTATGGAAAATTGTGGGAATCGTTTTTCAAGCAAGGGATTAACAGCTGTATTGGAGTTTGCGACTGTACTTCTTAATTCAGGGCTTATTCCTACTTCATTGGTATCCATACCTCCCGAGATAAGTATTACTAAGAGCCCATCTAGTGGTGCTGGGGAATTTTTTTCCAAACTTCTTGGTGGAGCTGCTGCAAATCGACATTGTGTACAATTTTCTTCCATCGAAAGTCCTACTGCACAAAGTGAATTCAAGAATGGAGCAGTAAATGTTTTTTCCGCTGTGGTTGAGGGGGTATTGGCGGTTGCACGGCATATACAGGGCAGAGACGTCAGTGATCAACTTCTATTTACGTTGGTTACGGCTCTTCAGGCATCTGCAGTCCCTTGTTCTGGTCGAGCACGTTTATCTGAGAAACCACGTGATGATTACAATAATTACTTTCTTGCCGTTCGTGGGGATACGCTCTTACATGTGATTGAGGAATTGTTTGGGGTCTTTAAAAGAAACAATTTGATCCTTCCTTTAGTTGAGGGAACAAAGTCTGCCTTAAACTGCATTGCCAAGACATTATCTAAAGCAATCGAGTATGAAGCAACTGAAGTAATTGAAGAATCGGCAGTAGTCAATACAATTGGGGGAAGTTACCAAAAAGATGCTTCTAGGATATTGGAGTACTGTTGTAGTTTAACCAGATCTTCGGAATCACCTTCCACGTCTCCTCGACCTCAAGGAAATATTGTGGGAATTATAAGTGTACCCAACGAAGCTTCTATAATATTACTTACAGCTCTTGGTATTATTCTTCATTTAATAGTAAATGGAGGGCCTACATTTAGGAATTCAACAGTAATTCTTTCTGCCGTTAAGTCCACAGTTATCCGATGTACTTTAAGTACCGCATTATTGAAGGACTTGGATGCGTTTAGGCTCTCAGTGAATGTTTTACTGACTTGTGCAATGAATTTTGGGCACTTAATGGTGAATGAGACCAAAACCATTTTTCGTCATTTGTTTTTTCGAGTATTGGAGTCGAAAACGAGTTCTTTAACGCAAAAATCAATTGTTGTAGAAGCATTTCATCGGTATATTGAAGAACCACAAAATCTTATTGCATTATTTTTGAACTATGACTGTAATACTTCCTCCCAAAGTGTTTATGAGCAGATGATTGGATACTTGGCTGCCTTATCAGTGCCTTTTGGTATGAAAATGGATGCTGTTTGTGATCGTAATGAAGCTGTCTCTGGAAGGATTGTATTGGATTTTCTGATTCCTGAGTCTCTTCAAAGAAGTGCATTATCAACTCTTTTATTGGTTGCATATTCTAACCGGCAATGGATAGAGCGTTTTGAATGTGACCAAACCATTTCTTTTGGCAATTCTTCAAATTTTAATAGTTCATCAGGGATATCAGAATTTGCTAAACATTTGGAGAAACGAGTTGAACCTCAGGGAGAAATGTTATTAGCTGTCTCTGTTGGAAAGGAAAATGATCCGTTTATTCATGCCCTTCGAATAAAAGATGCATTTCGGAAGTTTATGTATCTTATGAATGATGTAAAAGACCCAAAAGCAGCAATTGAGTTTTTAATTCGGGAGCCTCTTCTGTTACCAAATATAACAGAAGGGGAAACAAAGCACGAGGAATCAATAGAGGGAAACGAATCTGCTATTGGGAGTGGAATTTCTAAAAGTTCAGAAACAGCTTTGGAAACTCATGTTAAAAATTGTGACAATTCCGAAGAGAAAGTAAATTTCAAGGCAGGATTGATTGCCCTCTTTTTGAAGGAGAAGGAGGACTATATTGACAAATTAGTTCTTGGAGAATACTTTGCAAAAAGCTTTGGAGACCCTCAAAGGCGTATGATCTTTGTGAAGTGGATTGAACAACATTCTTTTGCCGGTATGACACTTGATGCGGCACTCAGATTGTTTTTGGGGGGATTTAAGCTTCTTGGCGAAGCCGAGGTAGTAGATAAAACAATGGAAATATTTGCTGCCCAGTATTGCAAGGAAAATCCTACAGCTTTTCGTTCAGCAAATACAGCCTTTATTTTATCATTTTCGATTTGTATGTTGAACACTGATGCTCATAGTCCCCACGTAAAGAACAAGATGACACTTGATGAGTTTGCTCGCAATAATAGGGGTATTGATGAGGGAGATGATGTGGATTTTCCCTTACTAAAAGGAATTTATGAGCGTATTGTTTTAAATGAAATTAAACTCCGTCCTTCGAGGTTTGTAACAAGTATAACAAATTCTGTAATTACTGGTAGGAATGATTCTTTATCAAGTAACAGAATTTCTTCGGGTTTATTTGAGTCTATTCCTATATTAAAGCGCTTTGCTCCTGTTGCAAGGAGAATAACAGATACTGTTATGATACCTTTGGATGTCGCAGGAAATATGCTTTTTAATACCCTTCAACGAAAAAAAGAAGAAATTTATCAAGCTGAGCTTCGTAACGCCTTGAAGGATGTAATCGAAGCGCTCGATACCGCTAATGCACTGAAATCTAAATTTGTGGAAGCCACAAGAATTGAAAATGCTATCCCAATGTGGGGGATTACCGTAGATTATTTAATACGATGCCTTTTGTGTGCTTTTGAGAGCTTTTTCTCCGTTTCTGAGGCCACAGGTTTACCCTCAAATGCTCAGGGCTGCCATGATCCGACGCAAAGATATATGGATATACCTGAAAATCGGGAATATTTTGACAATCTTCTTCGTGGTATAGTTAATACTGTTCGTGTTTGTTGCGATTTTGGAAATATTTCTCAAGCAGAAAGCCTTATTGAGCGTCTTTTTGAACTTACACAACTTTCGAACATCGTAGTTCTTTCTCAAAAGCCAATACCTTGTGTGAGCCTTTCGAATGGGATTTCCAAACCAAGAATTGAATTATTAAAAACAATATTGGATTTGTTTCTTGTCAATGGTGCATCCTTAACTACAAGAGGTTGGTGTGTGGCATATACTGGGATTTCTTTATTAGAACTGATTTTCAATGGGCTAGAAGGAATTTGGAAAATTCAGTGTCGAAAGCCTCCTTTAGGTGGAGGTGGAAAGCCTCTACCAGATACTCGGTTTGGAAAAGTAGAAGATATTCCTACTTCTTTTGATAAAAATTCAGTTCAAAAACGAATAGCAATTTTGGAGGCTTTGAGAAGCTTCTCTTCTGTCGACGTGTGGCTAGAACGGTTATTTGATGCAACAGAGTACCCATCTCAAACTCAGGTCTTTATGTCAAACGCATTGGTTTCCGTTTGTGAGAAGGAATTAATTTCTTTGCGTACTTTTTCTCTAACAAAACTATTGGATTTTTTGACGGTTTGTGCTTCATTTAGTTCGCGGATGCAGTGGAGAGATTTATGGAACAATGCCAACAAAGTTTTTACTTTGGCAGGTACGATGACATTTGAAATTGCAAGTTTATCTCTTGGAGGATTACGGATTATTGCACTTACTTATCTTATGCGTGAGGAGCTTTTGAATTATTCATTTCAAAAGGAGGTTCTTATGCCTTTTGAATCTATTTTGATGGGTAATCAAGATGTCAATATTCGCCAAAAAGTGATTGAAACGATAGCAGAAATTATAGAATTTCGTGCCAACCGTTTGGCAAGTGGTTGGAATGTTGTCTTTTCCATTTTAAGCCACTGTGCGGTGATACCAGAAGTGGTTAAATCGGCTTGGGATCTTTCTGAAGGTGTTATCACCTCTCATACCGCTCTCATGAAGGATTGTTTTAGTGATTTGATATTTTGTTTAACATCATTTGCGTGTAATAATGTGGATGAGGAAGTTGCATTGTTGAGTATTTCGTATCTGAGAGTATGTGGTCATTGGCTTCAGTTTGGATTAGAACCTCCACCGGAAGATATACGGGATGCCAGTGCGGTAGCTGAATGGGCAAGTAGATTTAAGGGTGCTGATAATGAAGCAAATGCGGCACAGCTAATTTTTGGGGTACCGCGGGTTACACTCTCTATGGTTCCTATCACTTCGCAGCAAACTTTGGAAAAGCCAACAACTCTTAGCGTGAAAACGAATTACCATTTATGGATGTCAATATTGGAAGGGATGATTCCAATTATCTTGGTTCATCCCTCTGTGAGAGTTAGGGCGCATGTTATATGTTCGCTATGGGCTCTTATTGAACAATATGCTATTGCGTTTGCCACAAATATACAAGAATCTCTTTTTACTGGAATTCTAAGACCTGTTTTATGTAACCTTCTTATGCATGCACCAGTCGATCAAGAAACAGTTATTGATCCTGTGGACTATAAACTGTTGACATTACTGAGTCTCAAAAGCATGTTTTTAGCCTGTCGTCTTCATTCACACCTTTTAAAACTTGCTTGTGAAACCTTTGTGAAAATTTGCACTACAGATGTTTCATTGGAGCATGTTCAAGCAGGCCTTGTAGACGTGATATTGCGTATATGTGTGGACCTTGAACCGCGTGGATATGTTCATCGGCTTGGTTTGCCTGAGACAGCATCAGAGTTATGGGTAACTAGGCTTTTACATGAGCTTTTTCAGATTGGTTACATTGATGTTATTCACTTTAAAAGAACCACAGGGTGGACTGAATTGCATCATGCAATAGCGGTTACCACGCCTCGTATAGATTTTGACCTCAATATAGAAGAGGAGGCACGGAGTATTATTATCAATACGGTTCTTACCGCCGTGTTTGATGGTATTATTGTTCAAGTTTTTGCAGCAATGAATCGTTGCAGTTTACAAGAAGAATATTTGCTTCTTTTCAAGGCGATGCGACGAGCATACCTGGTGATTGCTTTATTTTGTTCGGCTGATAGCACTGGAAAAGTGTTTCCTCGGCTACTTAATGGGCTCTCTTCCTCTTCTTTGGTCATTCCTGAGCAACAACTCCTTATTCCTTATCTATGCGTACTCATCGAGTTTGTGTTTGCTTTGCGTTCAAACACGCCCACAATTGCTGAGACTCAGGCATTACGAGAAGCCATGACATTAATGTGTCAAACGATTCGACAATCACGTGAATTTTGTATTCAAAACCAGGCTGAACATATCGCTGCTCTAGAGAGTGATGGAACAAAGGAGGAAACCACAATTGCTTTTAAAAAACACAGAGGACGGACGTTTGTGGACGTATTTCGTTCTGGTAGAGCCCCTTTGAATTGTCGTGCACAGCACATATCCCGAACTGTTCCGGAGCGAGTTCTTAACGAATGGAGGTATCTGACACACACATTAGGGTTAAGATATGCATTTACTGTTGATGGTGTCACAGCCAGATGCATGCCGGTTGAGTGCCTGCACGAACTCATACTGTTGTTACCCAGTGAATTGGAAGAACAATTAGTTGAACCTTTTATTTGCAGTTGTTGGGAGGAACTTGATGTGGGGATGCCCCTCTTGAGAGTTTCCGTCATATCACAGACTCTTGGTGTTCTTGAGCGAAAGCGGGGCCTATTACATTCATAAGGGTCTATAAAGAAATTAAGAATAGCATGCATACTGATTACTGAAGATACCCGCTGTGATGTGTGTAAGTTAAACTGAATTTTATTTACTTTAACATCTGTGACTCTTGCAAATGCTGCGCTTTTTGGGAAACTGAAATCCTTGATTTGTGTTTTTCTTTCCCTGAGTAAATAATATTCCTTTGATTCTTCGTTGTTGTTTCTCCTCTAGCAAAGAAATTTTTGGAGAAATGACTTTTAAAATCTTTTTTTTTTTTTTTTTGTCCTGCGCATTATGCTTATTCATTTATTTATTTATTTATTTATTTATTATTTTAAACTATTTTCGATTTGTGTCTTTGGGATTTATTTTTAAACGTCTTTCTCAGCTAATGAAAAAACACAGTAAATATTATAGTAATTATACACACATAGCAGATCAAAACGCTTCTTTACACAGTCACTTTGGCGTATGTTTGAGTATGGAGTGACTTCAGAGCAGGGCGCCCGGAAGACGATGGAAGATCAGCACGCCATGGTTCCGGAAGCCATTCCTTTCTTTGCCGTGTACGACGGGCATGGTGGCACGCAGTGCGCCGAGTTTCTTCGCGACAATTTGCACACGTTAATTCTTAGTCATCCAGATGTCATGACGAATCCCGAGAAGGCGTTGCGTGATGGGATAGCCAATGCCGAGGCGGAGTTCCTCAAAAAATGTGCCAATGGGAAGTGTGAGTCGGGTAGCACATGCGCGGTTGCCATTATTGTGGATGACACACTGGTGACTGGCAATGTTGGTGATACAGAAATAGTGTTGTGCCGAGCAGGGTCTCCACTGGTGTTGTCCACAAAACACAGCCTGCAGAGCAACGGGGCAGAGAATGAACGCGTCAAGGCCTGTGGTGGAAGGATCATCAGCAACCGCGTGGGCCATCCAAAGTTCAATCCACAAGTGCTGAGTCTGGGTATTACGCGTGCTATAGGCGATGCAGGCTTCAAATTGGATGAATACACAGATGGCAAGCCGTCTGGCATCATTGCCGAAGCAGAGACTCGAACCACAAAGCTGACGGACGATGATGAATTCTTTGTCATTGGCTGCGATGGCTTGTGGGATGTCATGTCTTATGATAGAGTCGTGCAATTTTGCTCTCGACTTGCGGCGGAGGGCGTGCCACCGCAGGATATCACCGATAGATTGTGCCAGGAGGCTTTGCGGCAGGGGAGTACGGACAATGTGACGTGCATTTACATTAACATAAAGGCCAAACGACCCAACTCGAGTGACTGGCGTCCCCAGAGTGCTGCTTCTACTTCTCAAAAAAACGCCTAGGAAGCAAGTGAATGCATTAGTTCCTTTTCTCCTTTTCTCTCTTTTACTCTCTGTTTTGTGAGTGTCCTTGTTTTTGTGTTTCTGTTTTATTTTTTGTTGTTTGTTTGCTTTTGTGCTTTCTCTTTACCACCAATTTTTCTCCTGCACCGGTTTGTTTGTGTGGTGTTTGATACTCTTTCTCCCTATATATATATATATGTATATTGTTGTATTGTTTTCTTGTTTTTGTTGTTGTTGTTGTTAGGAGCTTGTGAAAAGAATCGTCGCGGGAGAGCTGGCTAAATTAATTAATGTATGTATATCCTGATAGATGAATGCGTTCATTATGATATTTTCTTCCGCATGAATCTTTTGGGAAGAACGCGACTTTGTAGGGGCGGGGAGCCGATAGAGGCCAGATAAGATTTGTTTTTATTTTGCCATCCCACCCTAACCCCCTTGATTCCCACCACGCGGCGGGGTCTTGTGGTTGGAGGACCAAAAAGTCTGCCACTTCGTAAGTAATAATATTCCAAATCCCAACTGAGGACAAAGGACCATGCTAATGGTCCACAGAATTCTATATATTGAATGAAAAGAAAACATTGAAGCGATTAACCAAAGAACCTTTTTTCCCTAACTTGTTTGGTTTCCATAGATAATTTCAGGATCCGGCCAGCTGCCCGGAAGATTATTCTTTTTTTTTCTGGTTTATATGCGTACTGCATTGAGTACGAGGGATATACCGTTTGGAGTAATCCTTTTTTGAACGTGTTGCTTGTATTTCTAATTTGTTTTTATTTCTTATTTATTTCATCACTTTTATTGAATTCACAAAACATGGAGTTGATGATTTTGTGGATAGCGAATTAAACCAGCAGGAACAATGTTAGGATTATTTTATGTATTTTTTTTTTTTGAGCAAAATGGAATTATATCGATTGGAAATTATTTATGGGATTTTGGCAGTTTTGTTTCATATATATTTTATATATTTCTGTGTATGGCATTGTGGAAATGGACTGGGGGAATTGAATTTATCTTAACTAGGCGGGTGTTTATTTATGTATGTGTGTTTCTAGATAGTTGTCATTGGTTCCTTTTTGTTTTGTTTTGTTCCTTTTTTTTTTTTTTTTCTCCACTGTGAATTATGTACACTTGTGGCGTTGTATAAAGAGGTCTTCTTTAGGTTCAGAAAACGTAGCTTCACGAAACGACATTGCATTTGCACCGTCGTTGGCAGTTGTCACGGCAAGCGCTAAGAAGGCGATTTAGACTTCTTTCTGCAAAGCAAAGGGTAGTAGTAAACAAAAAACAAAAAAATAATAATAATAAGGAGCCCGGCTACGTGCTGCGTGGTAAGGTGGGGCACGTGAGCGAGAATAGGGACCGTCAGGGAGTGACCAATTGGAGAGGGTCAAGGCGGATAGTGTAGAAGAAAAAGAAAAGGATTACCAACCCGGCGCATAGGAAGTAGGAGTGAATAGGGCAAGGGTAAAGCAAAGAGATTGTAACCAAAATGAAAGGAGACGTCAATGGAGAAGAGGGCGGCGTTACGTCGGTTCCGCCATCGCAACCATCCTCCGGTGTCACACAGTCACTTTGGCGTATGTTTGAGTATGGAGTGACTTCAGAGCAGGGCGCCCGGAAGACGATGGAAGATCAGCACGCCATGGTTCCGGAAGCCATTCCTTTCTTTGCCGTGTACGACGGGCATGGTGGCACGCAGTGCGCCGAGTTTCTTCGCGACAATTTGCACACGTTAATTCTTAGTCATCCAGATGTCATGACGAATCCCGAGATGGCGTTGCGTGATGGGATAGCCAATGCCGAGGCGGAGTTCCTCAAAAAATGTGCCAATGGGAAGTGTGAGTCGGGTAGCACATGCGCAGTTGCCATTATTGTGGATGACACACTGGTGACTGGCAATGTTGGTGATACAGAAATAGTGTTGTGCCGAGCAGGGTCTCCACTGGTGTTGTCCACAAAACACAGCCTGCAGAGCAACGGGGCAGAGAATGAACGCGTCAAGGCCTGTGGCGGAAGGATCATCAGCAACCGCGTGGGCCATCCAAAGTTCAATCCACAAGTGTTGAGTCTGGGTATTACGCGTGCTATAGGCGATGCAGGCTTCAAATTGGATGAATACACAGATGGCAAGCCGTCTGGCATCATTGCCGAGGCAGAGACTCGAACCACAAAGCTGACGGACGATGATGAATTCTTTGTCATTGGCTGCGATGGCTTGTGGGATGTCATGTCTTATGATAGAGTCGTGCAATTTTGCTCTCGACTTGCGGCGGAGGGCGTGCCACCGCAGGATATCACCGATAGATTGTGCCAGGAGGCTTTGCGGCAGGGGAGTACGGACAATGTGACGTGCATTTACATTAACATAAAGGCCAAACGACCCAACTCGAGTGACTGGCGTCCCCAGAGTGCTGCTTCTACTTCTCAAAAAAACGCCTAGGAAGCAAGTGAATGCATTAGTTCCTTTTCTCCTTTTCTCTCTTTTACTCTCTGTTTTGTGAGTGTCTTTGTTTTTGTGTTTCTGTTTTATTTTTGTTGTTTGTTTGCTTTTTTGTTGTTGTTTTGACCACCAATTTTTCTCCTGCACCGATTTGTTTGTGTGGTGTTTGATACTCTTTTTCCCCATATATATATGTATATTGTTGTATTGGTTTTTTTTTTTTTTTTTTTTTTTTTTTTGCGCGCTCGTGCTATTACATCCCGTACGAGACATGTATAGACAGCGAAAATTGTGCGGGTGATGGAAATAGAAATATTGAGACGAAGCTGGCCGCATTCATAGTGGAAGAAACAAAAGAAATGCGGAGGATCAATGGAGGTTGTGTAAGGGAGAGAGAGAGAGAGAGAGAGAAGGAGAGAGAATTGGGAGGTGGCGACTCAAGGAGAAGCGAGAGAGGTGGGAATGGTCGTGAGAGCAGGAAGAGACAGGGCAGGGCAAAAAGTGGTCGCGTTCATGGCGTGCGAGGATGAAAAGAAGGAGGAAATGTGGGGAAATATATCACAGCAATAATGAGAAATCTGGAAGGGAGGGGGAAAAAAAAAAAAAAAAAAAAGGAACAGGGTGAGACTTCCAATAGGAGGAAGACAAAGAGAGCGGAGGGCGGGCATTTATGGAGGAAGTAGATGTGCCAATCCATGCCTGTTCGTCTTTTTTCTTTTTTGCGAGGTGGCGCATGAGTTAGTTTTTGTTGTCAGAACGGGAGGGGAGGCATCAATTGTCAGGGGCAATAGCGCGAGTCAGAGTGATAGCAGCACACAAATTCACGTGACTACCGCAGCGGGGTGGTAGATGCACGACAATTGCATTTGCTTTGCTTTCTTATATGCGTCTGGTGGTCACTGTCTGGGGGGTTTCTACATGCGTGCTGGGGCTGGTGGATTGTACTTTGACACTCATTTCTCCTTTCTGCCTGTTGGAGCAAAGGAATCTATTTGAGGGGCATACGAAGGATAATTCTCCAGCAAACCGCAACTGGAAACTGGACTTAAAAACTGATAAGATGGAAAATGTAAGAAGGAAAGATGAGACCAATGACGCCAACGAAGAGTGTAACGGGTAATAAAAAGGCAGCGGAGTCAAGAACTGATATATAAAAAAAGTAAAAAATAAAAATAAAATAAAATAAAAATAGTCTTCTTGAAAGAAGGAGAGGATGTTTTCAGGGGAAAACTGTGGCGGGGTGATGTTTGCGTGTGTGTGTGTGTGCATAATTATGTATCTATTTATTGAAAGATGGAGTGTGTGTGTGTGTGTGCGTGCGTGCGTGTTTGCATCTGTTTGACGGAAAGCGCCGTAGGGCGATAACGAAGAGAGAAACAACAACAACAACAACAACAGAAAAAAAAAAGTGGAAGGAATTGGAATGCATTACGATGATTTTCAAAAGAATTGATAAATCATACGAAAGAGTTCAAGAGAGAGAAGCATGAAGACTGTTATTTATTGATCTCAATGGTTGTAACAAGTGGAAGAATGATAAAAGCCAATGAAGAAAACGGGAGAGAAATTTTGTAGTTTTGATTATTAATTATATTTCCTCCGTACACATCCGATTTTTTTTTTTTTTTTTTTTTTTTTTTTTTTGCGGGGGGAGAACCAAGACAGATGTATTTATGTAAATATGTATATGTTTATTTGTACGCACCCCTCTCCTTCCCCCTTTCGCCCTCCTCCCTTTTTTTTTTTTTTTTTTTTTTTTTCTTTTTTACTTCGCTGTGCGTGTTTGTAGATGTTGAATACACGAGTGAAGAGTTTTGTGCGGCGCATTACCACGGTTGTGATTTGCTGCTGTTGCCTTCACTCTTGTTGTTGTTGTTATTTGATGCCCATATTCTTTTCCGTTTTCCCTCTTTTTTTTTTTTCTTTTTTTTTTTTTTTTGCGAATGTGAAGCACCTCCGCTGTTTCTCTCCATCTTTTGGCGGGCGATCTCAATTAATCAATCAAAGAAAAAAAAAAAAAAATCAGAGTTTTGCTGTTCCCTCCGTTCTTTAATCTCTTTTCCTGTTATATATATATATAAGTGTGTATGCCTCTGTAGAAGAGAATGTTTTTTTGTTGTTGTTTTTTCTTTTTCCTTCCACCTGTGTCGCCTCTTCTTCTTCTTTTCTCCTTTTTTTTTTCTTCTTTTTTTCTTTTTTTTCTCCTTCCGTCTTTTTTGAGCTGTTCTTTTTTTTTTTTTTCCCTTACTGCACCTTTTCTTTTTTCTTTTTTCCTGTTGTTGTTCTCCTTCAACCCCCCTTGTTCTACTTTTTGTTGTTGTTGTTTCCTTTTTTTTCTTCCCCCCACCGCCGCCGCTGTGTATTCATCAAATACGAGGGATACGCGTGACAGGAGAGAAATAGATAGATGTCATTCATGAACAGCGGCTCCCAGAATGCGGCGGCTTTACCAGTATCTCTTTTACATGCATCAGAGGGTCATTTCAATGGGGTCGCATCGGCAAATGTCGATCCTGCAGACGCTCCACATTCGTCCATAAGTCCCTCGTCTTCGGGCATGATGCGGTCCCTTTTCCACTTTACTGCCGACGATGCTGTGATTCTTGCGATGGAGCATAACAATCATAACAAACTACTTGCTGTATCAACGTCTAATAATGAAGTGTTTGTGACCTCAACACGTGAAATGCCTTTAGAAGGAATTCAGGCGGAAAACGGGGAACAGTCTCAGTGGGACCCTGCAGAACACACAGTGCGTATTGATCATCTACGATTCCCCTGTACACAACTTGCATGGGCCCCTTGGCAGTATGGAATATACTTGGCTTGTGTCTGCCGTGGTAAGCAGGTTCGACTCTATCGGTTTTCACATGGCCACTGGTCATTAGACGAGGAGATAGCTGCCCAAGATTGCAATTCAGTGGCTTTTTCCGTCCATTTTACCATGGCATTTGTGACTTCAAAGGGTAAAATATTGATTTTTGTCCAAACAACAGCCAATGAAGACAACACATGGTCGCTCCACAGTACGTACTCGGAGGGAGAGAGCTATAATATGGCGAGACAGTTAAATAGCCGTGTTCGCAACGTAAAGGGGTTTACTTGTGTTTCCTGGGATGAAACAGGAACTTGGTTGGCCGTGGGTGACGATGAAGGGGAATTTCTCATTTTTCTTGTCTCTAATGAGGGTCGGAGCATTGTAGAAATTGCTTACAGATCAGAGCCTCGCTCAGATCGTAGGAAGGGTGTTCGACAGGTTGCGTGGTCGCCCGGGGCGGGCCGTAGTTTTCTTATTCTCGCTGTGGTGGCTTCCTACAAAGTCACACTTTTATTTTTCCAACGTACTCGAGTAGGTGTGAACGCTGGCGGGAACGGCACACAAATACAGGCAGGGCTGCAACTGCAGCTTATTACAAAGACAAGTGTTAGTATGGAAGAGGTAACGGAGCTTTCATGGAATACACATGGTGGTGGGTTTTCTACAGCCCACACGGATGGTGCTATTTGTGTGTGGACTGTAAATATTTCTTACCAAGAACGACAAAGAACATCTCTTGCTGATGTGGAAAATGTCATGGGAATGAGTAGTAATGGAGGTGGTGGAACACAGCACGTTGGTGCGGGGCAACCATATGATGATTTAACACTGGTGGCGTCAGTACGCAAGGTTTCTGGGGTGCATCCCTACCATGGAAGCAAATAAAAATGGTAGCAATCTCTCTACCTTAATGAGCAGTTTACACGGCGGGAGGAAAAACCACCTGTATTGAGGGATGTGTCTTTTTTTTCTCCCTTTTTTTTTTTTTTTTTGAAGCGACCAAACTTTTCCAACTACTTGTACTTTTTCTTTCTCCCCAATGTGAGAGCGTTGCTAACTCCCTTGATCTTTTTTTTTTTTTTTTCTTTTGGGTTCTTTGTGTGTCTTTTTCAAGTGCTTTTTTGTTGTTTGCATTGTTCATTTTTTGGCCAATGGATGTGCCCTTTTCGCTGCCACTTTTGCTCCCTTGTATTTTTCCACTTCCCCCAAGTTATTTGTCTGATTTATTTTTTAAATTTGCGGTCAAGACGAAGCAGAAACATTTGTACGATAGGTGGTCCTGCAACAAATGAGCGGACGTGAGAAAGGAGAACATAATAAAAAGCTCCAGCTTCGAGAGACGAGTCGGCTCCAGTGTGGCGTAAAAAGAACTGCCGAGAGAACTGACAGCGAGGCACCCTCCAAAGCGGCTAGCAGGACTACCGCGACAGATGCCGTGGGTGATGAGGTTGGTGATTTCGATGCTGCCGCCGTCTCGGAGTCGCGTGTGGTCACGTCCAACGAAGACTCTTCCAATAGTGCACGGAAGGAGGGGGATCAACATGTGCGGGTGCCCCTCTCGGATCCCATTTATCGAATCATGCACGTGTTGCCGCGGTCGGATGTTCTTGAAATCGTCAAGTGTCGTTTTGGCCGTGAGGAATGTGAGCGGGCCGCTGCATACTTTGATGACTCCTTTATGAAGAATCCACTGCGCCACCTTCGCCTGCAAGTTGGCTGTGATCGCCCCACAGGGCTGTACCTCTTCTTTCCCAAATTGCATTATCATCGGGGTTCATTACGTCTCCTTGATTTGTCCCGTAACGATCTGGATGAAGACGACGTGGCGACTCTAACGCAGCTGCTTGATCTTTGTAGCGACTCACCGTCACGTAGTGGTTTTTCCGTTTTGGAAGTGCTGGATTTAAGCTACAATCGTCGCATTGGAAATCGTGGGGCGTTGTTTCTTCTTTCTGCCTTGCGCCACAACGATCGCATCCGTGCTGTAATTTTAAAGGGCATATCTGTAGACGATACCGGTGCTGTCGCCGTTGCACCGTTCCTACGACAACGTCCTTTTCCTCGGATGCCGGATGGCGATGACGAGGCTGTTACTTTTCAGGAAACGTCTTTGCGTCGGCCTCCCACATTTTTTTTGAACTTTAATGAAAATCGAATTGGTGCTGTGGGGACAGAAGTTTTGGGGAAAGGACTCCCTGCCCATGTGTCCCTGACGGTAAGCAAGCAGCGTCCTTTTTGCGACAAAAGGGGACCCTTGGCACGGCGCTGACGGCTTTGCTGGCAATGTCAGCGAACCTTTATTTTTCTTACGGAACGAAGCACGCTTAAGCTATTTTATTTTTCGAACCCCAATTATTTATTTGTTATTATTTTTTGTGTGTGTTTGAGTGCGATTAGTATTTTTTTTTATCAATGTTTTTGTCGATTTTTTTTTCCTTCCCTTCTTGTTGATTAGCGCCTCGCATCTGTAGAAAAGTGGAGGCAGTCATTTTTATAATTGGCGTTTTGTGTGGTGCGTGGGAAACCCCGTCTTTCTTGTGTGATGACGGATGTACCCTCGGCGCTTGGTGATGCCATGGATATCTCGCAGTCGTCTGCGGTTGTGATCCTCAACACCCTTGTGGAGGAGGGGCGTCTAATCGAGGAGCGATCGGAGTACCTGAAGCAGAAGTTCAAGGAGATTCATAATCGTGTGCTGGCGGTGTACAAACGGGACAACTTCCTGCTGAAGCGTGCCCGACAGCTACGGAAGGAACTGGAATCACAAAAGGAACAAATTATAGTACGGGGTAACAATGCTCGTGAGGACGATGCGGAAATCCAGCGACTGAAGAAACTGCTGCTAGAGGCGGAGACAGAGTTGTCCGATGCCCAGGAGCGGGAAAGTATTCTTCAGGTAGAGGCATTGGAGTTTGATCGTAAGAAGCACACAATGTTACTTGAGCGCGAGGACGCTCTTGCTGCTGAGGAGGCGCGTCTGCGTCCCCGAATGGAGGCCATTCAAGCGGAGATGTCTGCGATGGGAAAAGAAGTTGAGGAAATGGCGGCGGAGATGACTAACGTTGTGTCCAAGCGTGAAGATATACTGGCCCAGGAGGCAGAGTGCAAGGAGGAGCTGGCGCGCTGGAGTACAGTCATGGCAGATGCTGCAAAGCAACTTTCTAACGTCGAGAATGCCCCTGAACGCGCCATTCGACAGACACAGCTAGTCGTGAAAAGTTATCAGGCAGCCCAGATTGAACTGGGTGCCTTGGATGACAAACTCCAAGTTCAAAGCGACATAATTTCAAAACTGGAGCTGAAGAAAAATACACGTAACACGGATTATGTCCAGGCGCTGGCAAACTTACAAAAGCTTAAAGCTCAACTTGAATCCAAACGCACCACGCTTGCCACGCTGAACACTTCACTAGAAATGGAATTGGAAGCACGTCAGGGATATCAACAACGCATTGCGCAATTGGAGCAACTTATTCAGACCACAAACGTTGCTCGAGAAAAGGAGATTGGGGAAGTTGAACATGTACGTCGGGAAAAAGAACGTGTTGGTATGGAATACATGGAGTTAGAGCATACGGTTTCAAAAATCATCAGAGATCAAAATGAAGTCAAGAATAACATTGTGAGTGCCAAGAAAAGATTGGAACGTGTGCAGAACAAACGCAAACAAAATACTCAACGCATTCGGGAGACTCAGCGGGAACTGGAACAGCGACAACGAGCTTTCATAAAAGAACAGAATCGTGGGAAGGAATTTGTCACGAAGGCAGAGTCCATAAGAGAAGATATCGAAGCCATTAAAGGCGAAATTGCCGAACGGGCTTTACAAGAGGAAGCAAAGCATCGTGAGACCCAAGCACTCGTTCTTCGGCGGCAGGAACTCAACCGTGACTGCGGAAGGGAAAATAGCCGAATAGCAATAGGGAAGAACGAGCTGCGTATGAAGGGGATGTACGTGAATGACGTACGCAAGAGGAAAGAGGAACTGGAGCAGCGATTGAGCGCCATGATGGATGTGTTTCAAAAGATCAAGACGGAACGTGGCCAGAAGGCTGCACAAATTCAGGCCATCACGCAGAAAATGACCGAAATGTCTGAGAAAAAGAAAATTGTTGAAAATGAGCTTGTTGTTCTTTGCCGCGAGTCTGCTTTAAAAGAAACGGAGTTGGTAAAGAAAAAACGTCAGGTGCAAGAACTTCGTCAGGTGTGCAAGAACCTCCGTATGGAAAAAAATCGACAACGTAAGTCTTTGGAGAAGGCGTTTGAGGATGAACGAAACGTCAAGATTAATGTGCAACGGACGAACGCACAGATTGCGGATCTTGAACAGGAGATGAATGGTGTGAAGCTGAGATACCATGACCTAATTGAGAAACGCAACTATGCCGGGGTCCAAGTACTTGACCGCAATGATGAACTCTGCGTGCTGTATGAACGGGTAAATGCGCAAGAAAAGGCCATAAATAATGGTGTTCTCATGAACAATGCCCGTGATGAGGAAATACGTACACTACGAATTAAGCTTGCCGATCTTTGCCGTGAGGTGGACGTAGTTCGACAATCTATTCCAAAAGTAAAGGAGTTGGAGGAGCAGCTGGCGAAGCTAACAGATGACATTGACGACGAGCGGTGGAAAGTTGAAGTCCTCGAAAACGACCTGACAAACCCAAAAAATTCACACCGATGGCGGCTTATTAAACGGACCACTGCAGGAAGGGCATTTCCTGCAGAGACAGAGAGCACACCGCAGGATGTGAATGGTACAACGCAAGCATCTTTTGCGGTGCCCCGTCTCTGCGGTGGCGTGGATGGTCCTTCTGATGAGTTTTTACACCTTCAACAGCGTTGCCAAGAACTAGAGGAACGGGTAAATGCTGTTAACGAACGTATTCGAGAGAAGGATCTCATTTTGGAGGAGGTCACAGAACTTTCTTCTCGTCTTGGTGAACAGGCAAAGACCGGACGAGAGTTTACGCTGGCGCTTGCCAAGAAGGCGAATTCTCACCACAGCAGTATTCGGGCTAAAACTAGGCAGATGATGGCAACTGTTTCTGAACTCTCTATTTTTCAGGCATCCGCTATTCAACTTCAACAGGAAGTGCAAAGACTGGAGGGACTTGTTGAGGAAGCGGAACGACTGATGGAGCAAGGAGAGGCGCCATTCGTTGAAGCAGAGGAGCTATACTTACGAGAGGTGGAGGCCAGACAACGGTATGCAAGCATAATACGACGGCGAAAGGAGGCGGAGGCAGAGGTGACAGCAGCCTCCATGAATTTTTTAACCACGGCAGAGCAGCGGCCAAACGCTTACATCCCTGATGATGACTTAGGCGTGCCAAAACCATATGGCGCACTTGTTCCGTTTAAGCCCACACCGACCGTGCAGTCTTCACGATTTTATGGAAGACAGTTAGAAAGCTATCAATCCAGGGAAATAACAGCTCGGCCGGGGAATACGGAACTCTCGGTAGATCATGCCTGCAGAAGAAGGCTTTACGCTGTCAAAAAGCCTAACCATTTGTCCGCGACGAATTGACTTTTTGCTTTGGTTGTGCAGCGTTGAAAGCGTGAGGAAAAGGGGGGAATGAATAAAAGGGAATAATAATAAGAAAAAAAGACGAGCAAATGCGTTTTTGTCCTTATTGCTTTCTTTTTTCACTTTTTTTTTTTTTTTCGGTGAGTTTTTGTGGTTGAAACTTGCGCCGATAATGATGGCGATGATGCGCATTTGGTTTTGATGCGATGGAGAGAACATGTGACCACTGTTTTGTTATTGTTAGGCTCTGAGTTTGATGTTTTTGACGACAATGTAAAGCGTTGAGTGGAAGTTTACTTTTTTTTTCCTGTGCGTGTGTGTGTGTGACCCTTCTGGAGACTAATGGAGATGAGAAGAACAGGAATGCAGATGTGCTTCATTAGGGGTATGTATATATGTATACATATTGACGTTTATGTACGGTTTTATTCTTTGTTTAGTTGTTCCGCTTCACTTTTCTTCTCATCTCTCTACCTCTTTTTTGTTGTGTGAGCGCATTGCACCTGATTCCTTTCTGTTTACTTATTTATTTATTTTGTTTTTGTTGTTTTCTCAATCATTTTGGACGATGTCACTTGGACGCCCGGATGGATTAGTCTCTGGGAGCTCTTGTTTTGGTAGGTGGGATGCTGTTTTCTTGCGGAAGTGTGGTGATGGGGCGCTTTTAGTGCGGGACGAGCGGAGGAGCATTCATGTGACTTTGGTCTCTCGGGAAATTGAGGAACCCCGTTTGTTGCTGGCAGCCTGGGACCCTCAGGACGTTGCAGTGCGGGTGAATCATATACTGTACGACACCGGCCCAGTCGAAATTAGGGCTGGTGATAAGCTTCAACTGACGAATCTGGGGGCGTGGAGCGATGAGGACGGGCTCTATTTTTGTGTGGAAAATGTCGAGACACCGGAGGAGGCGTTCCCTCTGGGCGCGCAGGACTCGGCGCCAAAGACAATTGCAACGGAAGCCCCGTCGGAAACTCCTCGTGTGTGTGGGGATGAAAATGCGTGGCGTGTCTTCATGAAGGATCGCCTTGAGAGGGTGGGCCAAGTGCTTTCTTTATGGACAAATTTGAAATCGCCGTCTTCTGTTCCCTTGTCGGCTGTCACCGCCCACGCAATGTAATCTATACTGGCTCAGAGATAGCTTATTTTACTTTTGCTTTCTTCTTTACGGAGTCGTGCGTTTGCAAAACAGCAACAACAACAACAACAACAACAGAAAAAAACGGTAGATATGCCTGCATTTGCATGCTTCCTCCATTCCTTTTTTTTTTTCTTTTTTTTCCTTAAAACTTTCCAGCGTGTGTGGTACCAGGAAATAGAGTATCCTGGTCTACCACACAATAGTTATGATTTTGGGGGCTTGGTCGGCTGTTGCATCATGTCAATGGTGTACATTCTCACTTCTTCGAGCAACCATGTTGGCTTTCTGTGTATTAAATGCAGCATGTGCCTTTTTATTTGCGTGGATGATGGACTCAACGGAGATGGTGGTTTTTCGTATTCCGGCGATAGAGCATAAGTGGGACCTGCGCGTAAAAGCGATGGCTTGTCGTCGTGCTGGGCTTTTTTTTATATTTTTTTTCTTTCTCATTTTGCTGGCACCGCTGTGGAACCTTTTACGCGATACGTTTCGTTTATTTCTTTTTCGTCTTCGGTTTTGTGCTCGCCGGAATTGCCGTAAAGTCGTGTTGCGTGATCAGCGTCGACCCCTCCGGTGGAAAGAAAGCGATTCGGAGATAGAAGAGATGTTAGGGCGCTAGTTTTTTTTTGTTGTTGTTTTTTTTTGTTTTTTTTTTTTTTGTTTTTCCCTTTTCGACTCAGGTTTTTGCATCTTTTGCCATGCTTCCCATCCCGTCTTTTTTCTTTTTTTTTTTCTTTTATCCTCCCCTTTCACCCTTCATGTGCATGTACGGGTATGTGCACTTATATATATATACTTTCCGCTGTTATTGTGAAATCTTGCAAACTAATGATGGGAAAAGAAACTGCAAGGAAAATGTCAGGGAAAGGAAAGATCCGAGGCGAATACTTGACGGAGTTTTTCTTGTAAAGCGTTGTTGTTGTGGTTTCTCTTTGAAATGTTCCCTACTCGGCCATGGGGAGTGCACATGGACATGCGTGTTCACGCAAGTACATCTGTGAAGCAGTGGCTGCATCTGGTGGCCAGTGTGTTTCGCCCTCCGCCTAATGGAACAAGTAGAAGCGGCGTTTCGTGTTTGTTACAGTCGAGACGACTTGCGAGAGTAAAAGGTGAAGAAAAAAACGGCAATAACAAATAAAAGGAAACGACCTTTTGGGAATTCTGAAATTTTGGGTGTTATTTGCCTTTTTGCTTCATCTTTTTTTTTTTTTTTTTTTTTTTTTTTTTTCGGATTTGCCTCCGTCAAGCTCATGTCTGGGAAGGTGTACGCATACATAGCCTTTTCCTTTCTGAATGCGGTGACGGCATTTCTCATAGCATGGCTGATGCACATTCGCATCAATTCTTTTGCCATTGTGGCAGTACTGAACGAGTGGAATCTGGACGAGAAGGCAATGGCGTGCCGTAATGCAGGTTTGATGTACCTTGTTCTGGCCGTCGGTCTCTTCCTCCACTCTAGTTACAAGCAGCATCGCACGCGTGCGGTGGAACAGCAGCGAGACGAGGCGGAAGCGACGAATATGCAGGAGAAGGTGCCGCTGTTGTACTCGACGGCACTTCAAGTAGACGAGACGATGCCGCGACACGGGTCCGTGCGATTTACCAGCGGCTACGGCTCTAGCAACAGCAGCTGAAAGGAGAGGAGGGTGCGTGCGTGTGTGTGTGTGTGTGGTAAGGGATGTGGAGAAAAACGCAAAGGGGGGAAAAAAGGGGGAGGGGTATTTGTACCGTGAAAAGATGTGGGCAATGAAGATTGGAAGAGGGACAGAGAAAACTGAAATATGAATGATAAAACAAAGAAATGGACAAAACAACAACAACAACTAAAAAAGTGTACTCAACCAATTGGTTTATTGGGATCCTTTGATTATTATTATTATTCCCTTTATGGGGGGAGATTGTGGTACCATTATCGTCATTCTTAAAAATAAGCCGCAGCCGAAGCTTTGCTTCATTTTTCTTTTTTTTTTACCGAACTGGCGCGAAACCCCAAATGCACACAAGTTTTCGCTGACACGCCGTTTATTATTATTATTATTATTTTCCTTGCGAAAACAGGAAGAAAGGGAGAAAAAGAGAGACAGTGAATGGGAAAATGAGAGGGTGAATGTGAAAACAGTATGCGATGTGCGCGGTGGGTGCCGTGGGGGTGGTGCTGCTGATTGACGCGAGTGTAGGTGATGCTGTTAACTCTTTTTCTTTGAATTTTACAAGAACAAGAGGAAATGAAAAGCGAGATGTGGAGACATTCCGCCTATAAATGAAACTAAAGTGGTTGTTTTTCCTTATTTTTGGGATGTGTGTTCCTTTTCTTTCTTTCTTTTTTTTTTTTTGTTGGTAACCTTGCGCCTGAATCGCCGCGTCCACAACTCTTCCTGTTGCCATGCTGTGTGACGACTTGCGCTGTGTGTCCGAGTGTTTCTGTGTTCGTGTTCATATACCTACCTCTGGTCCCAAGCATGAGATTCGTATATTTGCCTGGAGAGAATGTACATGGGATTTATTCCCTCTTTCTCTCTTTCTCTCTCTTTTTTTATTCTGCCGTTGTATTATTATTGTTATTATTATTATTTGCTTATAATTATTAATAATAAGGGTTTTTCCTTATTTGGGGTTCTTTTTTTTTTTTTTTTTTTGTTGGTAACCTTGGCCTGAATCCCCGTCCCAACTTCCCTGTTGCCTGCTGTGTGACGATTTGCGCTGTGTGTCCGAGTTTTGTGTTCGTGTTTCATATACCTACCTCTGGTCCCAAGCATGTTATTTGCCTGGAGAAAAGTACATGGGATTTATTGTCTCTTTCTTTCTGTATCTTTTTTTTTTTTTTTTTTTTTTTTTTTTTCCTTCTGCCTTTGTATTATTATTGTTATTATTATTATTATCTGCTTTTTTTTTTTTTTTTTTTTTGCTTTGTTGTTTTCACTTTGTTTCTCTCCGACAGCAGCTAGGCTTACGCGACTAAACCTAAATCTTCTTGTCAAGAAATAAAAATGGCCATGTTGAGGAAATTTCACGGTTCTCTTGCGGCAAACCGCAGCAAGAAGATCCAGCAGCTGACAAAGAAGACCTCCACGGTGAAGCGTAACCGCAAGTCTCCCCGTCTCTACATGAAGGCGGTGCTGGCGGGATACACTCGCGGTCTCCACGGCCAGAACAAGAACACCGCCATCGTCCGCATTGAGAACGTCAACACAAAGGAGGACGCCGCGTGGTATGTTGGCAAGCGTGTGTGTTACGTTTATCACGGCTACAAGATGAAGCGCTGTGTCCGCTGGAGCAAGGCTCCTGCCCGCCGCAGTAACACACGTGCCATCTGGGGCCGTGTTACACGTCCTCACGGTGGTTCCGGAGCCGTCCGCGCGAAGTTTAATGGCTCCGCCGTCCCTGCATCGGCGATCGGCAAGCGTGTTCGTGTCTACCTTTACCCCAGCCGCATCTAAACTACAATGCCATTGCGGGGAAGGAAACGGAGAGCCGGAATAAAGAGGGAGATCAGTCTAGGCCTGAGCAGCTAAGCATTCTTTTAATATTTTTATAAATGATTTCCTGCGATATATTTCGGAATTGAACCCTAGAAAGTGGGTGTCATTTGCAACATGAGCAAATAATTTTTTGATAAAATCTTTTTAATGAATGTGTTTATTGACGGATTCCGTATTTTTTTTTTTTTTTTGGTTCTTTTCTTCTCTTATTTGTTGTCTGCAAACGTGTTATGCGTTGAGGGAGGTTCCGGTGGAAAAGAGACAATTGCCGTCACTGATGGGTACCATAGATGACATTACGGTTCGTTCCTCTCCCCCCTGGATAGATGTGGTGGTTTCCATTGCGCCAGTGGAACTTTTCGACACAGGGGAGTTGGCACTTTTGGCTGTGCACCCTGACGGGTGTGTCACGGCGTGGTCACCGCAGGATCCGAGCGTTTTGTTGATGCGAAAGCGACCGATGAAGGCGTCATGTGTTGCTACTGCCCATGAAACTGTACAACACAGTGTGCTAGCATGGTTTGGTGGATCAAGCGCTGTTTACTGCTACCGCGTCCGTCGTCGGGGAGGTCGGTACGTCCACCTGCAGCTTTTGTACAAACTGCGGCTGGATGGCACTGTAGTGGTACGGGAGTTGCAGACCGACGGAAATTTGCTCGTTGCTGTTATCAATTCTGAGTCTCCAAAAGTGTTCTTTTGGCCCACCATTGGTTATTTAGCCAATGCCAATGACCCTTATGAGCAAGCAGCGCGTTGCTTTTCCCGTTGCATATTTGGTTCACCGGAAACATTCTCGGATGCAGCGCTTGGGAATGTGTCATCGTTGCTCATGACGGAATCGACGGTTTGGATCGGATGCACGAGTGGTGCTATTTTATTACTAGAAACGAGGGATATTGGATTAGATGCCACTCCATCCTTTAGCCTTCGAACAGCAGGGGCGTGCCCCGTGACGGCCTTGGCGTTGCTATCACATCCCCCACGCAAATCCATAGTGGTAAGTGGATTAGAAAATGGCGATATCATTCTTTGGTCGGCGGGGGCGGGGGCTCAAATTGGACAGTACTTTGTGCATGTTGGCGCAATCTGTTCCATGGCGTATGTGCCGTGGTGTGGGGGTTTGTGCACTGTCAGTACTGCGCGAGAGGTGTTCTTTTGGGGATGGCAAGAGTCACCCGATCTTTTGACAGTTATGGAGCGTGGTGTACTTGACGATGATATGGGTTCAACTGCGGTAAGGTGCTTGTGTCCCATACGTGGCACATATTTGCTGGCGTGTGCGGCCGAGACATCCCACATATTGCATTGGATGGCACAAAGCACGACGGACGCCATGGTGGGTACGCTCTCAACGATGTTACCTGTTAGTTCCGACGTCCTGCATGTGATGCCTGAAGAATTGCAGGATCCCGGCGTTGAATCCCGCCCATGGCAGGAATGTTACGTGTCCGACGAGGCGGATCATAGAACTCTCCAGCAAGACGCGCTCGTCAGTAAAACAGATTCCTACGGGCTTCCGACAAAGGTGGGAGAGGTTGGAGAAGGAACTTTCCAACAAAGCACGCAGCCTGCGGCTTACTTGCAAATGCCGGGCCAAACGCCTGAGAAGAGTCACGTGATAGAGACCCTAGCAATGCAACTGAAGGCAGCGCATCAGCAGCGAAAGGTGTTATTTGACACGCCGCATAAACTAGAAATGGAAAGGGAAAAAACGAGGGCATTCTGCGAAGCGGAGTTAGTCCCTCTAAGGGAAGCGAACATGGCGCTCGTGAGTTCCACTAAAACATTGAAATCAAAATTAGATGGCGGGAATCAGCGGTGTTTTTCTCGACGCACACCGAAAGAAGACAAGATGGTGGGCACCAGCGACCACGCGTCGGACCACCAAGCCCTACTCTCCAATGTTTCGCAACCAGAAAGGACTGTCCAGGCACCATCACGCTTTATGAGTTTATGCACGGGTGAAAAGAGGGAGGAAAATGGGACATTGCCGGGGATGAGTTGTGATTTTTCGGGAACGGTGTCAGAACCCTTGCGCGACACTTTCATGGACGGCCCAGCAAAGCAGTTATCGTTGGCAAATCATCCGCCGTTGGGCCATTACGTGACTTCACACCCGTTGCATGATGGCCCAAGTGAGTTGCTGCAAGAGACAGAGGAAAGCACGACTTCAGCGAGCGTTGTGAATGCCTTGCTGGTGCAGCTTTCACTTATGGAATTGTTGTTGCGGAATTACCGAGAAGCATTTGTTTCAAGAGATTCTCTCCAGATACACTCGACAAATATTTTATCGGATTTTTATTTAATGGCACGGGATATTTTGGGAGGTGAAATGGCGTCTGCAGTCGTCCAAGAGGCGTTACAAGGTATGCCCCTCTCAAACGAACATGAGGTGATTCGTAAACTCTTTTTTACTCTCTTTCATAGGTATCGTGCCGCTGTCTCGCATTTTCCTTCTAGATCCATCTAGGTGAGAAGGCGGTGAGGTGCACGCTTTGGACTATGAAATGTGTATATTTTTTGTTCATACCGTGTTTTTTTTGCAGACTTTGCGTCGAGCAACATCATGCGTGGATAGGGCAAAAAGGATGTCCTGCCACACTGTCGTCCATTTGTGTGTGCGTTTATTGATTTTTTTTTCCCCCACACCGCATTTTTCTCTATTCTTTTTTTTTTTTCTTCTTTTTTTAAGCCAACACCCGAAAAGAATTGTACCGCGTGTTGGATTGAAAGTTTTTGAGCCGATAAACAAACAAGGGGTTGCTGCCGTCGTGTCAATTGGAAGTAACTGCAAGTAGCGGCAGCATGGACCAGCATGATGAACCGAAAGCAGTCAGAGATTCCGTAGAAAGTGCCCTCGAGAAGCGTGCCGCGGCAACGTTTGATCTCCACAGGCGGCTGGCAACTGTTGCTTTGGCGGACTCGGAGGGCTGCGGGTGCCTCACGGAGGAGGATGACGACGGCGATGTGGAGTACAAGTGGCGGCTCACAGACGTCACTCCCGCTCGATTTAAACATCTGGTGACGCAAATGCAGTTTCGAGTAGGGGAGGGAAATGGGCAATGTCTTTATGAACTCGGTATCGCCAATGACGGATCCCCGAGGGGGCTGCCAAGATGTGAATACCAGGAGACTGTGGAGACGCTGCAAAAAATGGCGGAGGCACTTGGTCTTGATTTCAATATTTTACAGGAATTTTTGCTACGGTCGGAGCCAATTCCACTTTGGTGTGGCGAGATTCTCATTACGCAGCGCCAGGCAGAGTTGCAGGATGGAAAAGTTGCCTTCTGTGGCACCGCAGGTAGTGGAAAGTCCACGCTGATTGGTGTACTTCTTACTGGGTATCTTGACGATGGCATGGGCAGTGCCCGACAACTACTTTTTAATCACAAACATGAGGTTAGCACGGGAAAAACAACATCTATCGTGGCGCGGGCCATTCCTATAGACAGCAGCGAAGGAAAGAATAAGAATTCTACTCTTTGTCGCTTAAAGGGTATTGACTCCTCGTCACGTTCGCTTGCAATGATAGATCTTGGGGGAGATGTAACAAAACACATGCTTTTTGGTTTGATGAGTCGTCGTCCTGATTTTACCGGCATATGTGTTTCTGTTGAACAACCGGTAGTGGAAGTAACACTATACGCAAGAGTATTTCGTGCCATGCGGATCCCATTTTTTGTTGTTGTGACTAAACTTGATGTTGCTTTTGATTTTGAGGTGGATGCCTTTTTGTTTGAGTTAGCGGTTGAGTTTTCATTGATCGGCTGTGATTCTGTTCTCCTGGCGGATGTCGACGGTGTGGATAGTTTCCAGCGGTCGTGGAATAAATCGAATCAAGTTCCCGTGTTGCGTGTTTCCTCCGCGGATGGATCGGGCATAGAACTTTTTCGACACTTTATGTCATCTCTTCCTATTGGCTGTATGCCGGTTACACCGGACGGGGAATTTGAAGTTTTTCTTGACGGAAGTTTTTTTGTTCGTGGTGTGGGGCCCGTTGTGCATGGGCACGTGGTGAAGGGTTCAGTAGAATTGGGGTGCCAGTGTCGTATTGGGCCGGACTCAGAGGGAAAGTTTTACCCCGTCATAGTTCAGGGCATACACGTCGGAGGATCACATGTCACGCGTGTGCGGCCGACGGACGAGGCCACTTTTGCTCTCTCTGAGCTCCCAAGAAGTGTGGACATGGCACAAAAGGGAAAGATCTTAGTTCCAACTTCTGTCAGTGTTTGTTGGGAGTTTGAGGCACACTTAAAGGTGCTATCACAGGGCATGACGCCCCGACTGCAACCAATTCTTTACACGGGCAACATGCGACAGGCGGTGAAGATCATTTCTCCTTTACCCAATGATGCAGATGTGTTCTACAAGGGATGCCTGGTTCGATTTCAGTTTTTGTATCATCCAGAGGTGCTTCGGGAGGGTGCCAGTGTCATTCTTCAGTGGAATCCAGAAGGCATAGCCGTTGGGGAAGTGAGAACGGTGTTTTCTCACGCCCCTGTTCCAGTAGTAGGTTAGATGAGTGGTATATGTGTGGCATGGCTTTTCATCCTTTTTTTTTTTTTTTACTCTCTTTTTGTGATGCGTGTGTGCGTGTTTTGCTCTGTTCACTTCTTTTCTCCCTTTCTCTCTCTCTATATATATATATATGTGTCGTTGGTTTTTTTTTCAATCCGTACTCACGAGGCATCTGCGCTCTCTCAGATGTCAGTTGAAGAAAAAACAAATAGAAAAGTTCTTTGACTTTTCTCATTCAATTATATTTTTTTTGCATCATTTTTAGTTGAGTTTTTTTTTTTATGTCCGTGTTTATTTGTGTGTGTGTGGTGTTTGCGACTGTGGAATGCGATGCTTTGCTACGGCTCTTTTTTTTTTTTTTTTTTCCTTTTTTTCACTTTTTTATTGGCCGTCATATTTTCTGTCGCAGCCTTTTGTGCATCGTGTGTCCTCTCAAAGACGACATTTTTGGAGCGAGGAGCAAGAGAAAAAAAAAAAAAAAAGGAACAGCAAGGGAAATACCAGACTTCCTTTGGCTTTAAATGCGTTTCATTGCTTTGCTGCGGGGTCTGCTGCTGGCGTGTCTCATTCTGGGGGTTGTGAGGATATGCCGCGCTGCGGATGGAGGACCGAAGTACAGGGAGGTGCAGAGGGTCTCTGTTGATTGGAGGACGCGCTCCATTACATTTCTTTCTGCAGGATACACTGCAGAGGAGGAGGATCAATTCCAAAGCGACGTCAACAAATGCGTCGATGCTTTGTATGGCAGAGTTCGCGGTGTTGTTTCAGAACCGTGGAGTAGGTATGCGTCATCACTCAACATATACGCCGTGTTTCAGCCTTCAGTGGGCTCAGATACCACTGTGGGAAAAAATGAAACATTGAGGAATGAGCAACTAGATCTTGAATGCTCGATTAGTCACTCTTATCCATTCTTTATAGATTGCAACCTAAGCGCTGTCTTCGCATTGTCCACCTATGCCCCCACCCAGGACCTTATTGTTGTGCTGGTGAACAACCCCAAGAGTGTGGTAGGCGAGGGTGGGAAATCCCTTGCAATCTTTACCAACGCTCCATTGTTTATGCCATTCTTTGCTATTCGTGAACTTACTAAAGCCATTGCCTCAGTGAGTTCCGAGTACGTTTTGGGAGTCGAGGAGGAGCATGATGTGTACGTACCGAACTGCGCCCCATCCATTGAGGCGGCGCGTGCACGTTGGGATTATTGGATCGACCAAGGGCTAGCAGATAAGACACCGTCCCAAGGTTGTTTTTTCAATAATTATTACCGTCCGTCGGAGAGTGATTGCATGATGCGAAATTCCTCTATAGAGGGCTTATGTGCTGTCTGTAAGGAACAGGTGAATCTTGCTCTTCTTTCTGCAGACCCGAATTTTTCCCGGCCGACTACACGCTGCACAAGAACAGCCCAAAAGGTGCAGCTCGATAAATCTAAAGACATTCAACTCAATATTGGACAGATCACAGGAATGACAAACATGAGTGTGTCTTGGATGCTGGGGGACGGAACTATCTTTGACGCCGCCCACTCATCTCAGCTTGTGGTACCCAAGGAATTGTGGAAGAACTGGTCATTGCCAACTGAATTGTGTGCCGTAATTACGGACAATTCCCCTTACATCCGTCCAGTGGGAGATACGAAGCTCTTCCGAAGAATATTATCATATGAGCTTTTTTCAGATGAATCTGCTCCATTTGAAATGAAAATGTGTGGAATGTCCGATAGTTGCACACCATGTGAGGGGTCTATTTGTGATGATTCTAGTGGTTTCAACTTGCGGGATGTTGAATGGAAAAAGAAAGGAGTTGCAAAAGCTGGAAAGAGAAATTACGTGATTTCTATTGTTGTGTGCAGCAGTGTGGCTCTTTTGGTGCTTTTAATTGTCACTGTTTTATATTTATGGTGCTATTTGAAGCGGCCCCATGAGTTGTTTTCCACTTTGTTTATGGACATTTTAATTCGCAAATTTATTTTTATATTGTCACTTATTATCGTGGGCTTTTCGATTTTTAGCTTCGCGTCCGTCCTGCTTTTTTTGGAGGCTGATATCATTTTATATAAACAATTGCTTATCCCTTATGTTGTAATTACGGTATGGGCTTATTTGATTACGCTTTTGAATATTGCATTGGTGATCTTTCGTCTGTACGCGGCGGTCATAGTTTGCGGTGCTTTGTTGCTCGTTAATGGGTTAGTGCACACAGTCCTTGGTGCGCTTTGGGTAATTGTAGCAATATTTGAGGGAGATTTCTTATTTGGTTATTTGGCTTCTCGATGGATGAAAACAGCAATAAAGAATCCGAGTGAAATTGAACTTATTCAGTCACGTTTGCAATGCAGCGGATTCTTTGTCAGTTGCCTTGAAGTTACCTCGTCCAGCTGTCCAAAGGAGAGTGAGAGTAACATGTACGCCAAGCCCTGTGAAGAGTTTTTTATGCTGGACCTTTATGCTGTCCATGGAACTATAACGGCACCTGTGTTTGTAACGGGTATCCTACTTGTCGTAGTTGGACTTTTGGACATTGTGTTTTTGATTCGTTCGTTTTATCTGTCAAAGATTGGAATTCAGCGACGGAAGTATCACAGTGACCCGAAGGCGGCGGTTTTGCCTCTGACATTTGCGGAGGCAAGGAAGCTGCGTCGCATGTTTTACAGGGTCTCGGGCAAAACCAACAGAACATTGGCAGGTCGAGGTGTGACGCGGTTTCTGGAGAAAGTCTTCCGGACGAAACTCAAGCCGGAGGAGAAAAAAAAAATTGAGGATGCGGGTCCAGTGACGTTTGACAAACTCATGTCACTTTTTTTCCCGCACTTTATTACGTCACGAATGGACCCCCGTCAGTTAACTCCGGAGGAGACACAAGAGGTCCAGGGAGTGTTTGAATTGCAGAATTGCCAGTACCAGAAATTTTGTCGATTCGCCACCGCATCCGGAGCCCTTTCACCGGAGACACTTTTTAAACTGTTTCTTTTTTACACAAGTGATCACTTCACCGTGGATGAGAGTGAATTTATCTCGCTTATCAAGGCGGAGGCGGAGACAAACTGTCCTGATGCTTCCATGTGTCGGGGGTTGACGGCGTTTGAACTCGAGGGATTGCGCCACGTATGGACAGCGCTAAACCCAAGGATACTTGGCGATCTGAATGACGAGCAGATTGCTCTGTTCTACCAATGGACCCACAGTGAGCCTCTCAGCGGGGATAGCCATTTTCAGGAGTGGAAGAATTCCCTCGACGTGCGTCAGCGCGGCAGTATTGGGTGGGGCGAATTCTGTTATCCTTTTGCACAGCGTGCTCTTTTATGGAAGGCGCGTCGGTTTCTGAGCAATATGGAAAAGGAGGTTCCACCTGAGATGATCACGAAGAATTTGGTGGAGCAGCGATTTGGCTGCGAGGTTGCTAATGCCATTTTTCTGCCATACGAAGATGAGATCCCCATTGAGCGCGTCCTTGAGTATGTGCTGCTCTCTTCCAAGAGCAAATAGAGAGAGTGGAAGGAAAAGTGAAGATGGGGAGGGGAGAGAAAAAACAAAAAAAAGGGAGGGGGTTAATGTACATACATGAGGGATGCGCGCTTTTTTTGTAGTTTTTTTTGTTGTTTTTGTTGCTTTTCCTTATCCTGTTCCTCAGCATTGCAATGCGCACGCACGCATGCATGCACGACTCCTTTGTTTTCGTATACACACGCACACGCAAACGTGCACACACGGGCAATACATGCATTTGCATTCGTGTATGTATTCTTTTTACGTGATTTCTTTTTTTTTTTTTTTTTTTTTTCCCGTTGTGTGGGCCAATACATATTTATGTTTTTATAAAATGCTTTACTGCAGTGCATGATGCCTTGTCGCCACAAGAACGTTTTTTTTTTTTTTTTTTTTTTTTACTCTTTTACAGTTCCCGCGTGAAAAAAAGGACGTTATAAGAAGAAAGCCATAACAACAACAAAAGCAACAAGAACGACTATCAAAAAAGAAAAAAAAAGAGGGAAAAATAGGGGGAGGAGGGGGAAGGAATTTTGTCGTGATGGAAGAGAACGGACAGGTTTCGTCCTTGTCGTCGTCTGACGGCGCTGAGTGCTGGAGACGGGATTGTCTTGTTCTCTCCAATCAGACACAAAATCTTCTTGTCGCCATACGCTCCAACGGAAAGTTTGGCGCAAATGCCCGTTTTGCAAATGCGGGGCGAATCACTGAGCATCCCTTGTTACGTCAACTGAAGGCGCTTCAGCGTGAGATTATGACTCCGGCGTTGGTGCGTTATATCAGCGAGGAGGCCATTCTTCGGCCATTCTGTGATCTTTATAGTTCGGAAGAAATGGGTGACACAATAGTAGGCGTCGCCCTGGCTTCATTGTCAAATCTCATTGACCTTCGTTGTTCCTTTATTACAAGGAACGGTCTTGAGATGATCCTTAAAATTGTGCATGGAAAGAAGGGTGAAGCAAGCGATATTTCTACATACGAGGTAGTGCTCGCTAGAACTTTGCAGTTGTATGTGAGTTGTGCAGGCCATCCCTGCGCGCGAGGGTTGCCCGAGGATCTTTTCATTCGGATATTACGACGTGCGTGCAAAGTGGCACTTCATCCGATGGTTAGTCCCCTGCTTCGTCGAACGGCTGAACAAGCCATGAAGTCTATTGTTACATCTCTGTATACGTTTGTTGTAAAGAATAGGCCCCATTCCAGCCCGTTGGAAGAGAAGAATGAAACAGCGGTGAATAACGAGGCAGGGGAGGAAGAGGAGTCATTCCTTACGGGAGCTAATATGCTGCGTTATATTTGCACCCTTATAATGGGATCCGATAATGAAAGGGGATCTAATTCAGACATTCAACGCTCCGTCAATAAATCATCGCCCAAAGCTGCAGCAGTGCAGTTAGAAGGACTATGGCTGGTACAAGCCATGTTGCTTGTTGTCAATGATTGTCTCTGTGAACCTGGCTGGGAGGAGTTACTCCATAGTGTTCAACAAGATCTTTGTCGTGCACTTCTCGTGACAGGAGTGAGTACGGAGAATATTATTGTACTCTCTCTGATACTTCGAACAGTACACATTGTGGTGAAAATTGCTTCTATTCATGTGGTGCCACAGACCTTTTCTTTTATTAGGGTTCTCCATCTTGATCCAATTATGCGCATGACGGAAGAACTTCGCTCCGGTCCATCATCACCGGGAAGAAACATTTCTTCGCCCTCCATGGCGACCTCACCGTCTATGCCTACAGGATCTCAAGCGCATAGGAGTATAACACAGGTGATGGATCTATATGAACGTCGAGAGCTTTTATTGGAGAGTCTTGTAGAATTCTGTGGGGATGCCGATTTTTCCACATTCTGCTACGCGCAGTATGACCTTTCACGACGTTTTCCCCCTTTGTTTGATAGGCTGTGTGCGGTATTGGTCGAAAATTGTTTTTATGTAGTCGATGAAGACAGTTCCTCTGCCTTACGAAGGGAAGAACGCACTGGTGTCTCTTTTGATTTTGGTGCAGAGGGGTTTTTGACACAAATGGACGCACTCGCCTTGGAGGCCATGATTGGCCTTTTACGTCAAACGTCTCTGGCTGTTTCGCATCCGTTGCCACCTCCAGCAGAGTTAACGTCTTTGATTTTGTCTCGGCTGGAACAGAAAAAATTACTGATGGAGTTTGCCTCCCTTTTTCGAAGAAACGCTATCAAGGAGGGAATTCCATTTCTTCTTGGGAACGCAACCCGTGTGCCCGCCGGGTCATCCTACCGCAATATTTTTGGAAGTGGCGTGGCAGACACACCGGCTTTTGTTCTTGTTGAGCCCGCTGGTGGACGTGAGGTGGGTGCCTGTCTTTATTATCTTAGCGACGTGCTGGACAAACGTGCACTGGGGGAGTATCTTGGCGAGCTCGGTCGGGAGCTGCCCGCACCAGCATCTGGCGAGGGGGAAGAGGGCGCGGCGGCCCTTGCAGCCTGGGAATCAGAACGAGAGAAGTCTCATTTGCAGGCAGGAACTGTTCGTTTCTACGAGGAGCAGCTGAAGGGGTTTTTACAGGAATTTGATTACCGCAACAAGTCCCTGTTGTCTTGCATTCGTGAAACCGCCTACCGTATGTGCATGCCAGGGGAGGCGCAAAAGATTGATCGCGTCATGGAGGCATTTGCGAAAATTTGGGCTAAATCTAATTTTGATGCGGGGAAGGAAATTAATCCTTTTTGTAGTGAGCAGGGGCCATTTATTCTTGCCTTTTCCTTGATTATGTTGAACACGGATCAACACTCTGGTAAAATGATGAAGCCAATGAAAAAAGAGGACTTTAGACGTGTGCATCGTGACAGTGATGGTGGTAATAAACTTCCAGACGAATTTTTGGATCGATTATATGACGATGTAAAAGCCCATCCAATTATTATGGCGGAGATGATTGATGCAGGCTTCTCAAATGATGTCACCTGGGCATTGGAAATGCGGGAACTTGCCCTTTCTAAAGATGTGATATCAAAGGATGCCTTAATGAGATGCTCTATGCAAGTTACCGGATCCAATCCTAAGGATCAAGCTGTTGCTCAAGCCCTGCATGCCTTTGTTTTTTCTTCTTTATGGAATAATTGTCTCACCGCATTTTCCAACACAATATACATGTGTGGCATCTCCCTTGAGCAATATCTCATGGCGGAGGGAGATGTGGAGTTGGAAAGTACCAAACTTGATTCCTCCTTAACTCCGGCCGAAGAGGCGTATAATGTTGCGCTCGACGGTTTATGTTTTCTAGCCAAGACTGCCACGATGTTTGGCGTTGTGTCTGCCGTCAACCATGTCGTTTTGGTTCTTTTATCACAACTCCCGCTTGACATGCAGGATGCCAATGGTTCATTGGTTCGTCTCGGTAATCAGCGTTTCTCTCTGCATTGTTTAGAAAAACTGTTTTGTGTCCTCCATGACTGCATGCCGATGGTGATAGATGCCTGGGGGGAGTTGGGCAACTTTTTTTCTAAATCCTTCTTGCTGGGTGTCTTTGCGAAGGAACCAAACGTTACTTCGTCAACGTCTTCCTCGACGGATTGCACTGAAGTATGGGAGGAACTGCGCCATAATCCGAGGATAGTTGTGGCGGGAGCCAAACGTGCGACTTCTGAGGGTGGCTGGTTTGCGGCGTTGTGGGGCTCATCCATTTCCTCCGAACGTGCGAAAGCACAGGAAGGTGAGGAACGACGGGCGATGGAGCGTGTCAAGATGCTCTTCCCCACGATGGAGGAATTTCTGCGAATGATTGACAAGCTGGAGGACAAGGCACACCTTCAGTTTTTTCGTGCTTTGTGCGAGACGGGGAGAATGAAAAGCAAAGGGGCCGCGGACAGTTATGCTGCCTCATATATGATGCTTCTCGTCACAGAGGTTGCCATTCGTCGTTCAACCGATAACGTTGTGCTGGAATGCTACATGAAGCTATGTCAGCAGGTAACATCAAGCATATTTGCCACTATTAATCAACCGAAAAACTTGCGTTCACAGCAGAGCAACAACAACAGCTGCAATGATGGTAGTGGGAGTGGCTGCAACAGCAACAAGAATAACACGACTAGTGCTGCGATTGAATACGAATCTTCCCTGACTGAACCTAGCCAACCGATCCGTCCTGAAGCCCACGAGTATTGGTTGTCACTGGCAATCCGCGTGGTAAAGGCACTCCTTAGAGCTTTCAAACATTTTATCTGTCATTATTTGCAGCAGGAGGTGGGACCACAAGTTTTGGATCTGCTTACCAATGCCCCTTCCAAGGTCTTCACGTCCGTGGTTGCTCCATTACTTTCTAGCACCTTGCTAGAATTACTTTCTGAGCCACAATATCTACCGCACGTACCGACCCATTCCATCTTGGTTAGACTGTTGAATACGCTTTGCATGATGGCAACCGCATGTAGTCACCCTCTAGTGCAGTGGCGAACGAGGAAGGCGCTAACGATTATGGTGAAAGAGGAACATTACGATATTCTGCGAGATGGTGAGGATGTTATAAACGCCTTGGTCACCTATGCCCTGGAGTCATATAGTGAAGATGAAGAAGCTGTTGGATGTGTAGCGAATGCGAGTGAGGTGGATCAAGGTGAGAATTTGGAAAGTATTGCAGATGATGTTACCACGATCTGTCGTCGCCTTGTGGCCGCTCATGATTTAGGAAGTACTGATAATGAGAATACTGAGTGGCATCGGGTGTGGATTGCCTCACTTCGAGGCCTATGTGCTTTGGTTGTCTTGTCGCGCCAGTACCGCGATAGAAGTGAGGCCCTGTTATGCCTACAGCATTGCTTGTTGGATTCGGATATTAAGCGACTTCCTGTCGCTTCCATTTCTTTGTTATACGAAGACGTTGTTTTCCCTCTTACTGAACAGATTTGTGCGCCATCCTCTGCAGCTGATCCTGCACCGTCAAGGAGTACCAAGACACCCGCCGATACCGCCGTGAATCCGACTTCCACCCAAACGTTTGTGACAAGTCTTTTAAGCTCGTTTTCGCCGCGACCGACAGCAAAGGTGGCGACGAAGAATTCAGCTGACCCGTCCAGTGCTGCAAGGGAAAGAAACCAAATTGTGGCCATCGACCTAAAGTGCCGTGTTGTGGGCCTGCTGCCTAAGGTGCTTTTACACTACGTGAAATCCCTTGGAGAGACGCCGGAGGTGTTACAGGAACTTTGGCAACGTATACTGGGTACCCTCTATGCCCTTTACACCGCCCCGACAGAAAGTAGTTGCAACACAGTGACGGCCGATGCACAGGACGCGAGGGAGTTGAGGCGTTGTAACGCTCTAACGGAGGAAGAGAATGTTCTGCGTGAGGCCATCCAAGAAACGATAAAGAATATGATATACGTTCTCTCCGCGACGCTCTCTGAGCCTGAGTGTGAAGAGGTTATGCAGCAGACACCGTACTTTTGGACGTCCACCAAAAATTTGTTGCGTACATTTGATTTTGCTGGGCCTCTTCTCGCCCACATTGACGCTCTTGACGGTTGAGAGGCAGTTTATTTTTGTCCTCTTTTGTTTGACTTGGGGAGGTCTCTGAATAAAAATAAAAAAAAGGGAATGACGAAGCAACGCCTGGTCGGCCTGTCGTCAGTGCGGTGTAAAGAGAAGGGCGGAGAGAATCTGAGAAAGAGCGAGGAATGGAAAGTTAAAGTGAGAAGGAAGCAACGCGGTTTTGTCGATCCTATCCACTTTTTTTTTTCTATTTTTATTTTTTTTTTTTTTTTGCTGTTGTTTTTATGATTTTTTAAATTTTTTACCTTTTTGATTTCTGTTGTTTTTGTGTTTCTCTTTTTTTATTTATTTATTTAATTTTATTTTATTTAATTTTATTTTTTTTACTTTTGACAGGTGCGTCTTCAGTTGTGAAGTCCAGCCGGCACATTACACGATTTCTTTCGAATGGGGTCTCTTGTGACTCCCGGTGAAACGTATCGGATTCTCGCTCCGAGTTCCTCGCTTCGTGAGCATCTCACCGACAGCTACTGGTGCTCCGCGATGGAGGAGGTCTGCGACGGCAAACTAGACGGCGTGGCAGTACGCTACACCGGGCAAAACCTTGTCCTAATGCAGTTCCGCCCAAAACGCCTTTCGCCAGCCGGGTATCGGTACCCCTTATCCATGTCTATTCCTGTGGAGTACTTGGTGCCTGTAGCGAGCCGTCCCGTGGACGAAAGTACATCTGTGGGGGGTAGTTTTTACTCCTCCCACGAACCCGGCAACGGCTCGTTGTCTACGAATGGCTTTGCGCGACTCTGCATTGTCTGTGGAAGGTACAACGTCCCGGATATGGTGCGGCGTCGCCACGGATTTAAGTGCAGAACATGTGTGGGTAAAAAATCCAGCGCAAAATTGCGTTTGGAGGGTGCTCGTGGAAAGGACGAATTAGAAATTTAGGAGGGTATCATTTGGAGCGTGCGGGTTCTTCTCTGGCGTGGCAGTGAAAAAAGGAGAGAACAAACAAACAAGAAGGAGGAGAAGGCGAAGTGGAATGCACACCGCTGTAAAGGGAATGGTGTATGAGTGTGCGGGTGTGGCGGGGAGAAAATGATTCTATGCGATTTTGTGGGGAAATACTCGAAGAGATGAGGGAAGTTGAAAAAGAATTTCTTCTCCGCCATCCCCGAAAATCACAATAGATCTTCTCTCTTTAAAAGTTAAATTATTTAGGTCTGTATGCAGCATTGTTTTCATGTATACGTGTGTTATGTGAATACCTGCTCCCTGAACCGCCTGTATTTAACCCACTTCCTTAGTTATTTATTTACATTTCCTTTTTTTTTTTTTATCTCAATCTCTCTCTTACGCGGTTCCACCACGCCACAGGAAGAGAAAAGTAAAAAAAGTTGCAGTTTGAAATGGGAAAGAACCAAACTAATAAATCAGATCTTTTACGCCTCCTGTGGCTGTATATTAATGTTTTTTTTTTTTTGTTGTTGTTGTTGCTGTTGGTTTTTTGGTTTGTTGGCCTCTATTTTCCTGCATGTTTTATATACATATTATGGATCCACGGAGCAATTTCTTCTTTTTCTTCTTTTTTTTACTTTTATTTTATTTTGTGTGTGTTCTCTTTGCCTTTGCGTAGGTGCCTTTTTTGCCACTATTTTTCCGCAGACTCTGCCCACGAATGGAGGCGGCAATGAAGGATGAAGGAATTCAAACCGGAACGTCATCGTCCTCGTCGTCGTTTACGTCGTATGCGGACACGCCAAGCAAACGACGTGGCCCTGACAATGGCGTCGTCAAATGGCCCTCATTTGGTCAGCCCAATCTTCTCCACGGTGAATTGGATCCGCCAAGTGCGAAGTGGCTCGAAAGATTTATGTCCACTTATTTCTTGTGCGAGTTGTGCCACAGGATTGTGATGGATCCCGTGCAGATTTTGCCAAACACTATGATGACGTGTAGAAGGTGTGCGCTTTCGAGACGAGTCTCCACCGACGCCATGGCAGAGTTGCCCTTGGGTGTTGTGCAGGCGTTTGAAGAACTCTGCGAAGCACACAGACGCCATCAAAAACCCCGTGTATTTACTTCACCAGAGGCGGGGGCGACCAAAAATGCCGGGGACGATTCGATCGCCGGCCGACGTACTGTGCGAGTCAAACGCAACGACGCCATTCCAGGGAGCAGGGTGGTCAAGTCAATACCCTCCCGCACAAATGCAGATTCAATCAATGCGGCCAAACCAGCTGCTATTGAGCAGGAGGTTAGGGATATTGGCGAAGAGGAGTTTCTTCAAAGGGAGGCGATAGATAGAATGGAGGCAGATGAACGCTTGGAGTTACTGAAGAAGCATTCTGCTTCTGTGCGAAACATCAAGGGACGCAACCGAAATAGCAGTAAAGCACTGAAGGCCGAAGCGGACGCTACGTACGAAAAGGCGGAGTATACCATGGCATTAGAGTTGTATTCAAAAGCCATTGAACAGCAACCCCTTGATCGTCTGACTCGTCTCAGTGCTCTGCATGGGAATCGAAGTTCTGCATACTTCATGGCGCAACGCTACAGTGATTGCATTTCCGACTGTCTTAAAGTGATAGCGCTGGAGCCTGGCAATGTTCGGATGTATACACGGGCGGCGAAAGCGGCAGCAATTATGGGAGATATTGCCCGCGCAGTCGCCCAAATGGAAACAATACCAGAGAACCTGATAACAGATAGCATTCTTGCTGAAAAGAAAAAGTACAAGAGTGGGCTTGATTTGTTTCAGCGTGCTGAGCGTGTTTTTGGAACGGCGGAGGGAGATGAGATTTGGCTCATGCTGGTTGCTCAATTCAGTGATACGATTCCCTTTCGTCTGCGTTACGCGGAGTCGTTGTTCAAGCAGAAACGTTACCTGAAGGCGGTGGAGGCGTTAGAGGTGGTGTCACCTTCCCGTCGCTCCCCAAAGTTGTGGTACATGATGGCAAACTGTTTGTACCTTTCAGGATTTGAGCACTTTGAAAAGGCGCGTTCATGCCTTACCGACGTCCAACAACTGGATGACAATTGCGCTAATCTTCTGAAGCTGATCAATTTGGTCGATGAAGGCAAACAGAAGGGAAATCATCTTTTTCAACAGAAGAAATTTGCAGCCGCCGTGGAGCACTACACTTCTGCAATTAACGCCGCAGAAAATAACAATCAAATCTTGCGCATCTTGTACTGCAATCGGGCTGCCGCACACAAGGAACTGGGAAAATTTCGAGAGGGTGTTGAGGATTGCACAAATGCCATTCAATTGGATGCGGAATTCTCGAAGGCATATGCCCGCCGTGCACGTTGCCAGCAACAACTGAGTAACTTTTCGGCGGCCATCCGGGACTTCAAGAGCGCCATACAGTACGACCCGAGCGACCATGAACTAGTACGTGAGCTGCGTCACTGTGAACACGGCCTGGTGAAGGAGGCGGAGCGTGAGAAGGATTACTACTACGTTTTGGGTGTCAGCCGTAACTCCAGCGAACGCGAAATTAAATTGAAATATCGCGAACTTTCTCTTCGTTGGCACCCCGATAAATGCATTGCGCTTCCAGATGAAGAGCGTGCGCAAGCGGAGCGCAAATTTAAGATTATTGGTGAGGCTCACACAACTCTTATCGACCCTGTGAAGCGGCGTGAGTATGACCTCAAGCTAGACCGTGATCGCATGACGCGTTCAGGTGCATTTTCCGGATTCGCCACTTACAGCAGCGACACCTTCCGCGGACAGGCGAGTCGTTATCGCTCCGGCACCAGCGGATTTTGGTGAGAAAAGGGACAATTAGATATCTTTCTCCCTCTCTACCTCTCTACATCTCTCTCTCTTTATTGGTATGTATATATATATATATATATACATGACCAAAAGGAGCCCGGTGAGTATAAAAAGAAAGGACAAAAAAAAGATCATATGAAGAGAAACAACAACAACAAAAAAAAAAAACCAAGAGGAAGAAAAGCAACTTTGCGAGCAGGAAAAGCCAAACATTCAAATTAGAGGAAGCAGGCAGGTATGGATCTTTTATTATTGTGTATCGGTTGTTCTACAGAAGCAATTTTTTTTTTTTTTTTGGTTGTGTTTTACTGCTGCTGTTGTTGTTGTTGTTGTTGTTGTTGCTATTATTATTCCTATTATTTCCCTCTTACAACCACTACAGCAGTGGGATATGCGAATACAAACAGGCCGAATGACGCGCAAATTCATGTTCTTTTACCCCCCTTTTTTTTTCCATCGTTGTTTTGCCTTGTTTCTTTTGGCTGATGTTCTTTTTTTCTTTTTTATTTTGAGGAGCCTTTTGAATACTCCCACCCTCCGCTCCGCACTGTTTTTATCGCATTCCTTCGTGTCAGAGAAATTATTATTTGTGCTGTTGATAGCATTATCTTTTTGTTGTTGTTGTTCGAGGGGAGAGGAGTGCGAGTGTGGGAGATTTCATCGGGACGAGCTTAATGGGGAACGGGTGTGAGTTTTCTGATTGACCGCTGGAACCTCAGTGTGTGGTCATGCGTGTATACGTGTAATGTGAGCAATGACCCGGAATATAAGCAGGCATCGATTTGTGGTTCTTGTGGGATTTTCTGCTTTTCCCTGTTTATCGCTTTTTGCGTACATACTTGCAATTATATCGGTATATATGTGTGTGTGCACGTTGGCGCTGGGCTCTGCCCCACCCCCAGTATCGGGAGCAAAGGCACACATCCATCAAAGAAAAACAAAGGGGCAGAAAAAAAGAAAAGAGGGAAGCTGTGGCTTCATGAGACAAGAGACATCGGCGACAGAAATTTGGGGGAAAAGAGCGGATTGCCAAGTAAGAAGATAAAATAAAAATAAAAGTAAAAAAAAAAAAAGAAACACGAAAAACAAAAAATGAAAAAAAAAAAAAAAGAAAATGAGGCGGCAGTCGATGCGGAAAAACAAGTGGGGCTATGGTTAGTGAGCGTGTTGGAGTTTTTTTTTTCTTTTGTTGCTGTGGATGCTGCCGCTGCTGCCGTTCTTTTTTGATTTTTTAGTCATTTCTGATTATGGTTCTATTTTTGTCAATAGAAAAGAGGAAAGTGAAACGTCATGGCGGCGCACGCGCCCTTCTCTCTTTTTTTCCCTCTTATTCACACACTGTCTTTCTTTTATTGTGCATGTGTATTAGTGTGTGTGTTATGTGTGTGTAATATGCACTTATATATATATATAAGGAAAAATGAGGGGAGGGAAGATGGAAATGTGGCAAGAAGAAGGAAAACGCTGTGCGACGGTTCTTTTTGTTTTTATTTTCTGCCCGTTGGATCTTTCCGCTGATGTTTCATTTTTTAAGGAGCCGGAGTGTGTCATGGGGACCAAACAGAGTGAGCAGGAAGCCGGTATACTTGCATTATAATTTCTTTTTCTCTTTTTTCTTTTTCTTTTTCTTGGTCGGCGGGGTGTTGCTGGTGGTGGGTTAGGGTGATCATTGCGTTTGTCTTTGCCTGTTGTGCGTGGACGGAAAAGGCCAAGAAAAGAATGAACGAATTTCTCTCATATCTGTCTATCAACCTTGGATGCTCTTTTTTATTCGTTGGCATCTTGCTGGTGCTTCGCCTGCGGATCCATGAGGCCGCACTGCGTCGGTTTAGGCCCGAGGCGGCAGAGACGCGAAACCCAACGGACGTGGCCTCCCAGAAGGAAGCTCAGCGACCACTGAAGGTGGTGATTCTTCACCCAGACCTCGGCATTGGTGGGGCCGAACGACTTATTATTGACGCGGCTTTGGCCCTACAGAAACATCAGCGTGTTACTCCCGTCAGTGTATGTATTGTAACAAATCATCATGATCCGAAACGTGCATTTCCGGAGACTGTGGACGGTACTGTAAAGGTGGTGGTGAGTGGAGCGTGGCTACCCGATCATTTCTTGGGACGTGCAAAGGTTTTCTGCGCGACGTGTCGGATGCTTTGGGCTGCCCTCATGATCTGCTATTGCTACCCCGACACCGACTGTATCTTTGTGGATCAAGTAGCCGCCGTGCTACCGCTGCTCCACTTTGTTGCAACGCCCATCCCACGTCTCTTTTATTGTCACTTTCCTGATCAATGCTGTGACGCCAACCGTGATGCGCAGGGGCGTTTTTTGAAACCCATCTGGAGAGTCCATAAACTGTACCGACGCCTTTTTGATTATTTGGAGTCTTGGGCGCTGAGCTTTGCGGACAGCATTGTGTCAAACTCAAAGTTCAGCCGAGGGGTGACGGTGAGGGTTTTTCCGCATCTTGATTCGGTCATTGACGCCGAGTCAGATATTTTTTATCCTCCCGTTTCGTGGGCAACTAAGGATCTCCCGACCGACACGACGCCCGACCTCGAGAATGATGAATTGGCGCCGTTGCATAACAGTCTAGAAAACCGAACTGTGGTGCTTAGCATCAACCGTTATGAGAGGAAGAAGAATCTTCCACTGGCAATTGATGCATTTGCACTTGTTGTGGCGGCGGTTTCTAATGTCACCTCGAGGTCCCCACTTCTTGTCATGGCCGGGGGTTATGACGTCCGCTTGAAAGAAAATGTGGAGCACCTGAAGGAGTTGAAGGAGTTGGTGGCGCACCACAACCTCACAGATGATCAGGTTCTGTTTCTACAGAACATATCTGATGTGACTAAGGGCTATCTTTTGTCGCAGTGTCGCTGCTTAGTTTACACACCAGCTATGGAACACTTTGGAATTGTGCCAACGGAGGGCATGGTGTGCGCCAAACCAATTGTCGCCGTGAACCAAGGCGGTCCATGCGAGAGTGTGGGCGAGGGTGGGACACTTTGTGATCCCACACCGGAGGCATTTGCCGAAGCACTGACGGCATACGTGAAGGACGAGGCGCTGGCAAAACGTGTGGGTGCAGCCGGACGAGAGCGTGCATTAAAGCTTTTTGGAATGGATGTCTTTGGAGAAAAACTGGCAACAAGACTGGTGACCTTATGGGCAAAGAAAAACGGAGAGCTGAATTCTGCCCAAGACGAGGAGAGTGTTAAGAAGCAAAAGAGTAATTAGCATTTGATGTTAAAAGGGACAAAAGCATTTTGTTTGTTGAGAGGCATGACTCGGGTAGAAATGAGACATTTGTTCGAGTATATGTACGTCTTGCCTTTTTGTCTCTTTTTTTTTTTTTTTGTGGGTGGGGGTGGGGGGGAAGTGGGGAAATGGGTGGGATGATGTTGTCATGGATCGCTTGTCACTGGCTGTCATCTCCTTCCATTTATTTGCTTCTTCTTTTGTTTTTGTTTTTTTGTCCTACGCATAAATAAAAATCTATTGATGTGTCCTCTCTTGGACGCTTTTAATATTTCCATGAGGTTAATTTTTGGTTCTCCTGCTAATTGTGGATTTTTTTTTTTTTTTTTTTCCCTTTTTTATTCGTGCTTTCTTGTTTTTGTTGTTTCTTCTCTACAACCGACGTCTTCTCTTCTTTCTTGACGTGGGCATCATCAAGTTATCTTTCCCTGTTGAGGCAATGCAGAGTGAGCTCAGTGGCATTCTTTCCCGGATTCCGGCAGCGGTAATTGGAACGATTCTTGCCGATGAATCATGTAAAACGGTTTGGTTTTTCAATCCAAAGTCGCGTGAAGTCATCTCCATGGATGCCCTTCGCTCGCTACCCAATCCACCTTCCAATTCAGGCGCTGATGCGACGGAGCGGCACCTCGTGTACGGTATGATGCGTGTGCGTAATCAAGGTGTAATGTTTGAACGGGATCATATTCAGCGCCTCTACGAGAATTGCGTTCTTGCAGCTACTTCGAAGCCCCTCACCGATGAGGCTACGCTGCCGTTTCCTGTTGAGGGTGTAACGCAAAGTATTCGAGATTACATATTGAGCGAGCATAAGGAGAGCGGTGACATAAACCTCAAATTTGTGACCTGGCTGCCGCCCTTTTCCAACAGTTTAACCACTGCAGAGGCATGGCAGAAATTTCTGTCTGATTTTTCATATGTGGTGTACTTCGTAAAGTCCTTCTTTCCACCAAAAGAATGGTATACAGAGGGAATTCGAATCTCTCTTTTGTACAATGCGAGGAGACATACACCAAATGCGAAGATTATTCAAGCGCCGCTTCGTTCCCGTGCGAAGAGTCTTCAAGACAGCTCTGGGGCGTTTGAGGTCTTTTTTGTTTGGGATAAGGAGGCACATTTTCTGGTGCCCGAGGGATCTCGTTCCAATTATCTTCTGGTCACAGAGGACGGCCGTCTTTGTTGCTCCCTGCAGAAGGATATCCTTCGTGGCATTACACTCCATACTGTAAAAAGGGTCGCCTCTACCACTGGACTGGCAGATATCGAACACCGCCCTATTTACGTTGGCGACCTTTGCCTGGCAAAGGCAATCGCCATGCTAGGGACAAGTCCCGGTGTTCTTCCTGTGCGGGAGATCCAATTTTATTACGATGAGGAGAGTAAAGCAAATTTTATTTCCTCTCTGGACGACTACGAGCAGTGCATGAAGGAGAAGGGGGAATGTCCGTCGCTGCCAAGGGAGACCATTTTGTCCAACGGTGGACGGCTGGAGCTGGATAGTCCTCATAACACGATGTTGGCGCAGCTACGGGAAGCATACGAGGCAGAGGCCTTCCGCTGATCCTTTGCAGCAAAGGGAGGAAGAAAGTCTAATATTGGGTAAAAACAGAGAATAAAGCCGTTTGATTCGGCACCATGAAACCCCCCCCAAAAAAAAAATAAATAAATAAATAAATAAATAAATAAAAAAGAGAGAGAAGGGGAAAAAAAAACATTACGGGAAGTGGGTATAGATAGCAAAGAAGGAGGATTATTGGTTTTCGCCAAAGTGTAAATAAGAGAATTAACAAATAAAAAGAGTTGGGATATATTAAAATCATGAAATATTTTTATCGGGATTTGGCGGTTAATATTTACGCAGACAAGTATCGACATTTTATTTATTTTTTTTGTTTGTTTGATTTTTGGCTGGGAATTTTTTTGTATGAACACTTGAAGGGTGCGGGCTCGCATGGGTGTACGTGCGCTTGTTGGAGCTTCTCACGCATGTATACACGCAACTCTGTATTTACATCTCTTTCTCTTGGAACCGGGGGTTAACGTAAAATGCAGTTGAAGCATCAACAGAAGCAGCACCTTTTTCAAATCAAAGAAGCAAACACGATTCAAGAGGGGAAAAGGAGAAAGAGGGAGATAGTGATTGCCGCAAATAGGCCCCGAGTGGAAACAGGAGAGGGGTATTTTTTCCTTTAATTCGTGGTAAAGGCGAGGTGAAATATAAAAAAGAGAAGGACTGTGGAAGAGGGGGTGGATTGCTTTAGACGATGATGCGTCAGTGCCGTCGTCTTTTCATGATGGAGGGGGAACGGAAGTTTACCTTTCCAGGCACTCCCGCATCGCATTCTACCGGTGGTGTGCCATTTTATGGTAATATTTATGCTGGTCGTGTGGACACGCAAAACTACATACCGCCCATGCAGGAGGGTTCGGGTCTTATCAAACCAAAGTCTAGTCTCTGGGATGATCCACAAATACGTGCTAAGATGGATCGTTGTCCATACTTTGCTCTTTGCGATCAGGTTCTGTGGCATAACATGGACCCTGCCTATCTTGATCCCGGGCTTCTCACTGCGGAGGAACATCAACTACTGCTTCTTTTTAGTCGTGCTTACTACGAAAAATGGAAAGCCATACATATGCGTCCTCCCAATACGCTTCCAAGAGTGCGTATCAAGTACGGTGATACTCACTTGCTGGATGAAATGCTGGAGTTGCTGGACGTCCCCGCAAAGGTGCGGCAATCGCTTGTAAAGGAGTTTCAACTGGACGACGCGTCTTTGATTGCCATGAACCCGGATTGCTGGGAGACGGCGTATCTTGATCCATTTAATAGGGACCACTTCTCTGGTCGTGTACTGGAATTTGCTGGTATGGACGAGCCTTTGCGTGAAAAGTTCTTTCTTCTCTTGCAGCAGATGCGCCGTTTTGTTGTGGTACGAAAAGACACATTGGAGGAGCAGCGGATTGTACTTCCCTTCAGTTCAGGTATCACATTATTTGATCTTTACAAGCACTTAGGCCTTACCCCGTACAATGGGCAACTGAAGATGTATGATTACGTGGACTTACAGCAGACACAGCATGTGCTCACTCTCGGGGACGAGGAAACTTACTTTGATTTACTCGTGACAACTTTTTTTAAGGCAAACATCCGCAATGCAACATTGAGTGACGTTGCAGACGATACGGACTACACGGCGCGTTACACCATCACTGTTGAGCCGTACAGTGTTCCAGAGAAGCGCATTGGCCGTTGGTTTTGAACCATTGGCTCAGTAATGGGGCCGTGAGTGCCTTTCTGTGTGTGTGCGTGTGTGTTTTTTTTTCTTTCTTTGGGCTTTTTGTTTGAGTACGCCTTATGAAAGGGAATATGCCAAAAATGGGGGCATGAGAACTGGGAGATGGGGATTTTGTTGCCATCGTCTTGCACCCTCGTGATTTATTTGGCCTGACGGATGTATCTGCAGATTAGTATCGTATTACATGTTTTCATTGCACTCTCTCTTTGCTGTGGGATGTCATTCAGACGATATCATTGGCCGGAAGCCTTGAATTTTGTGGGTTTTTTTTTTTTTTTTTTGCGTGTGTAATGGCCTCTCTGCTCTCTTCTTTTTTCCCCTTTTTACTTTCGAAACCGCTGCGTTGATGACACCCACAGGAAGCACCACCAGTGACCGCAAGGAAGGTATTGGAAGCGGAGGTCGAAAGCAGAACAGAAGCCACCTCCATTTTGCCCCGAATAAAAACAAACAAAAGAAACGACACGTGGAGGCGGTTAGATTTTATTGCTTGAGGTGAAAGAGTGACGACACATCTGCGCCGACTGAAGTGTTTCGCAGCATACATATTTATTTCCTCATCCACACACACACACACACGTGTTTATATTGGCCTCAGCACACTACTGTTGACGAGTCCTTGAAGAAACACAATTGCGACTGCGAGGAAAATTTAAGAAGAAACAACGCACATGTCGACAACACGCGCTGCTGGGGGTCGTTTGACGGCGCCGGTTCGTACTGCGGTTCCGGCAGCACTGCCTCGCAAGCGTCGCTTTGAACTGACAGATGAGCAGCGACAAGAAATTCGTGAGGCGTTTGAGCTCTTTGACTCGGACAAAAATGGGTTGATCGATGTGCACGAAATGAAGGTGAGTATGCGGGCACTTGGCTTTGATGTTAAGAAGGATGAGGTGCTACGGATGATGCAGGATTGTGCCGCCCGTGATCAGCACAATCAGCCGCTGATGGACTTAGCTGGTTTTACGGATTTGATGACGGAGCGATTTGCGCAGCGGGATCCACGGCAGGAGATGATAAAAGCCTTTCAATTGTTTGATGAAAACAACACGGGAAAGATTTCGTTGCGTTCGTTGCGCCGTGTTGCCAGGGAACTTGGAGAAAACATGACGGATGAAGAGCTCCAGGCAATGATTGATGAGTTTGACACCGATCAGGACGGCGAGATAAACCTGGACGAATTTCTTGCCATCATGCTAGAGGATGAGGATTACTGAGTTCCTCACAACTTTGCTCGTATGGACACGAGGCAGGAATAGACCGACGAAAAGAGCAGATGATGAAAGAATAGAAATTTGCTGCACTGCATTTCCCCTGCCCTTTTGTGTGGAGGGCGCAGAGGTGGGGGGCGGTGCACGCAAAGATACATCTCTGCAAAGAAAAAAAAAAAAAAGAAGTATACATTTATATCTGCATGGAGTCTTAGCTTTGCATTGGCCGGTTCCCGAGAAGGCGACTTGTCTTAATGAATGAATGAATGAATTAATTAAACACGCATCATATTTGTTTGCTTGCCTTTTTTTTTTTTTAATTCTTTTCTACTGTGTTTACTTTATTATTATTACCTTCTTTTTATATATTTTTATTTATTTATTTTTTTTATTTTCGTTAGAAAACCCCTATTATATGAATTCACTAAGTATTTTTGAGGCTTGAGAAAAGGGATTAATTGCTGTCAATGACGTCCGAAAAGCTACAAAAGAAATCATGCTCTCTGTTTTCTTTCCTACACACCGCATTGAAAAATCGGGAGAAGGAATGCGGGGGCAAGTGCGGAAGCTGTTCTTGCATACACAGCGATCCGATCCCCATTGGTTTTCGCAAAAATTCATCTACCTTGCAGTAAAGAAAGTCCGGATCACTGCATCTCCATCGAAGGACCATTTTCTTGCTGTGTAAATACGCTGACTATCACTGACGCTAAAGAATTATCTTACAGGAGGGCCGGTGTTTCTGGTTCTTTTGGTTGTAACCGCCCCGACCTTCTTCGGATGTCATTTTCCAGGGGTTTGCTGCCCTGTGGTCGCCAGTATTCCCTAGAGAGCGAATGCAGCTCCACTTACAATGGCGGGGATGCAAAAACTGGGATGCACGAGCCGCCCTCAATCATGACCCGCAGTCAAAGGGCGTTACTGGTAGAGACGTGGCTGGATGACCAGTCCGAGGTGAAGTGAATGAATAAATAAGAAGACAAAAAAAAACATGTCATGTACGAATTCTCGCAAATTTCATTGCCGGGGCAGCGAGGAGAGCATGGCTGAGGACAATGATCGTGCTGGGATCTGCGAAAAAGTGCGGCATACACCGCCAACCCCATTCCCATTTTTTTATAATAATTCTTTCTGCCTTTTAGGCACAGGCGGCGGTGGTGATGAACACACAAGAAAACGCACATCCAGTACAAACCGCATTGAACGACGACAGAAAAATCGAATACGACAGCAAAAAAAAAAAAAAAAAAGGGGGGGGGGGGAGGGGGGACAGAAGAAAAAAAAAGGCAAAAGGAAAGAAGAGAAGAGAAGACAGCGGGGAATTCCTGAAGATCTTCTTTTTCTTTCCTTGCGCCCTTTTTTTTTTTTTTTGTTTGTTTGTTTGTTTGTTTTGTTTTTGTTTTTACCCATTCCCCCCTACAACACAGCCTTTTTTTATTTTTATTGTTATTATTATTATTATATTATTATATTATTTTTTTTTAATTTTGATTTCCCTGTAAGGACGCACATTCTTGTGTGTGTGTGATGTGGGCAATCACTAAAACGGGGTATTCCATCATTTGATAACGACAACAATAGACGACGGAAAGAGAGAGTGAGAGAGAGAAGAGAAAAAAAAAAAAAAAAAAAAAGATAAGAAGTGGGACTGAAACATACATAAGTCGACATAAATATATATTTTTATGCCCAGTACTTTATTACTTACGCGCGGTGTACTTATGTATACATACATGGTTGCATGCATGCAATACTATGGGTGGAATGGGGATTACTTAGGCATACTTATAAAGTTATAAACTTATAATTAAGTGAAGACCTATAAAAATGAATGTTGTGGTGTTAGGAGTGGTATTCAGATTTATTTATTGAATTGGGAAAGTGAAATAGATGAACAGAAACGTGTAAATACACACCGAGTCCTACTTGTGTGTAACCACACTAACAAAAACGTACATTTATAATTCGCTAACGAAAGAGAATTGTAGGAAGATGCGTTTTCAGCTTGGTGGCTTTGAGGGAGGCAATATTTCCTTGTGTTTTTTCTTTTTTGTTTGTGTACGTCATTGTTGTACGATTCACATGTGTCTTTTGAATTTTTTTTTTTTCTTTTTTTTAGCTTTCGTACGTGTGTTGGGCAAGAAGATTCCCACCCTCCCCTTTTTTTTTTTTTTTTTTGATTTAGTTTTGTTCTTGTAATTATTGTTGTTACTGCTGTGATTGGGTGTTGTCTTATCACCTTTTTTAGAAAATTTCTGCGCATATTTTTTTTTTATTGATTTGGGAATTCCCGTAGCCGTGAGTGACCATGCGGCTCAGCAAAGGACGGTGCAGATCACGTGCTCTGCCTCGCGGGAACAGTGCGTAAATGGATAATTGTCTCTCTCTCTCTCTCTCTCTCTCTGTGTGTGTGTGTGTGTGTGTGTGTGTGTGTGTGTGTGTGTGTGTGTGTGGGTGGGTGAATGGTTGCATTGTGGATGTTTATTGGATGTCTACTCATTGCGCCGTTTGTTTGTTTTTTTTGTTTTTTCCCTCTTGTTGTTTCTTCTTACTGGTTTATACATGCGTGCTCCGCATGGGCTTTGCTACGGCTGGTCGTTGTGACGCCGTGCATTTTTGGCGGCAGAAGGTGAATATCGCCGAAATATCTTCCAGGAGAAGGGAGAAACGAAGCGGGCACATTGGCGGTGTGGCGAGAGGATTAATGCAGGAGGAACACACGTTTGATGATCCAGAGGCGGCATTTTTTACCCCGAGCCTTTCCATTGCTACTGGTGACACTCAAATTTATGCCGCGCCGCTGGAGAATTACAGCAGAGAGAATGAGGCGCAGCATGACGAGCTAAAGACTTTTCTTGGCGAAACAGAGGAGTTGGAAGATGAGAAAGAAGCGTACGCCTCTTTGTTTCATGAGGGTATGAATGACGATGAGGAGGCGACATATAAACAGCAGATGGGACAACAGGCTTTGAGTGGGATGGAAGGCGACGAGGCCACATTTGATGCTGGCATATTCTTTGTGGGTAAGGATGACAATGATACGGGTAATGTTGATGGTGACGGGAATGAGGCCAATGTTGGTGGCGCATTTGAGTCAGAAGAGTTTCAACATGATGATGCGGATAGCGGAGACGAAGACGAAGACAATGTCACCTCGGAGAGGAGTAACAGGCTCAAATTCCCTCTGTCGCGTGTCCGGGAGCTGTTGAAATTCCACAGTAACTTCTCCATTGTGGCGAAGGACGCGGGTGCGGTGGCTGGGGAGTCGGTGGTGTTGATGCTGCAGGACTTGACAAGGCTGGCGGCGGCGGAGGCTGAGCGACAGAGGCGGAGGACAGTGACGTACGCGGATATTGCGCGGGTGGTGCATCACTTTGACCGCTTCTCATTTTTATCGGACATCATCCCACCCGTTTCGGTAGTGGCGGGCGGTGCAAAAGCGGTGGCTGTCGGTTCTGCCACTTCTCTTGCGGCCGAATCGAAGACAAGCCGCAGCGCCGCTCGTGAGGGAGCGGTACGAGCGCAGCTGAAATCAACGGAGACTGGGGGCGGCGGTGCAAGTATGCGACAGACGACACTTCGCTTTTGAAGTTGCAGCCAACGGCAAACGGCTTTTAATTTCTTTCTCTCTTTTTTTATTATTACGTTCTCTTATATTACAGGCCGGTTTGGGCTTCAACTGCCGTTACTGTCTGCCCGTGCGTAATATCCCTCACTGCTTGTGTCTTTCTTCTTTGACTTTTGTGGGGAATAGGCTTCATAGTCCCCTCTGCATCACATCCTTGGGGGTGGGGCGCAAGGGAAGGGCACGAGGCAACATAATTCCGTTTAAAAAGTAAAAACTGAAAGGGGGGGGAAGAAAAGAGCAGAGGGTGAGAGAAACCAACAGCCACAACAACGCAAAAACGAACAAATAAAAGGAAAACAGAAAAGAGAAAAGAAAAAAAAAAAAAAAAAGGAGAAGGTGAAAAAAAAATTACGCGTATATGATGAGCGTCTCTGTTCCCACCACACCGCACCACGAGAAGGATCGTGTACCACATTTGATGTCCGATGAGGAGCTGCGGAATGAGTACGTGCAGCTGCGCAAGAAGAATGCCTCACTAAATGACGAGTGCGCCTCCCTTCAGATGGAAATAAACGCCATTTATGAGGAGTCGGTTCGCCTTCAACAAAGCACAGAGATCGAGGAAGAGAAGTTGGCAAACCAGCTGCTCCGTCGTCTTCAGTCGGAGGAATTGCAAAAACGTCGGTTTCATGACCTTATCCGCCGCGAAGAAGCCGCCCGCCAAAAGATCATGAACCAAATCGCCCAAATCCGGACCGAGAAAACAGATTTGGCAGGACAACTGGGGAAGCAAGAGTCGCTGATGCTTCAGCTGCAGAAGAAGTTAATGGAAGTGGTGACGAAGAAAAGTGAGGTGGAACGTGAACTACTGAAGGAACGTCGTAGATACTTGGATGTGCTCTCCACGCAATTGGGTCTTCTTATAGAAGGATCCCTCAATGAAAAGAATGGGGAAAAGGCCTCTGACGCCGGCCAAAGCGTTGACGCAAGCGAGCAGAAACCAATGGAATCATCATCAATGGATGCGGACAATAAAACAATCAATTGTGCCACTTCCATCCCTGCATTTGAGGCCGCTACAACTGATACTCATGTAGCTATCAATCGCCTAGAGAAGCAGCTCAACCGTCTTCTCTGCGAGCACGCTGCTGCGGTTCAGAATTTGACAAGTAATGAGGTGTGCTGTGCGGAACTGGCAAAGAAACTGGACACCATACAGCAGGCCGCTTTCCTAGACCGTGCACGAGCGTCCAAGCTGAAGGAGGAACTCAAGGAAGCCAAATCTCGCTTAGCGGGACTGGAGCGTCAGATGTCACAGATGAGCAGCTCGGCTATTTCGGAAGAGAGTTCTGGTATACCAACACCAACGTTGTGTTGCCTTAGAAGCTTCTCACTGCGTGGCCGAACAAGGGGGGCTCTGTCATCACGTCAACGTGAGACAAGTGTCAGTTTCCAACCTTCCGTCGATGCATCGGATACAGGAGATGACTCACGCTCTTGTGCATGAGGGGAGTTTTGTATTCTTATTTATTTGCTTTAGAAAAGGAGGAACATTTAACACATCTGCCTGCACGAGAGAGAAACTGCGAGGCAGAATACGAGGGAGAAAGAGAAAAAAGCGGGCAGAAGCAAAAAAAAAAAAAAAAAAAAAAAGGAAGGAAAGGAAAGATCTGCATTGTTACGGCAAATAATAGGAAAAAAAAGAAAAGAGAATTCAAAGGGCGAACAACAAAGAAACGAGAAAAGGCGAAAACAACAAATAGGGGCATAAGTGCTGTACCCGGTCATGTCATCTTTTTTTTTTTATTTTTGTTTCACCCAGCGACAAAAGAAGTACGAGAAGGAAGTGAGGGGTTCCTCCCACAATAATACTTCAAGGAGCGAAGGACAGAGAAAGAAGGACGGGGAGGGCATCTAGAAGATGGACGAACCTCTCCAGCAGTGGCGAGACCAACGGGAAACGGGAGAGAGACACCGGAAACCTACCATTTGTTTTTTGGTGAGGTTTGACGCCGCTCCGTTGGAGGCTGCCGACGGCGTGTTTCGCGGCGCTCAGGCATTTCGATCCCCTTCGGAGATTGTGGTGCCGTTGAAGATGGCACTTGAAGAGGCCTCTTTGACTGCTTTACAGTCTGACTTCATGTCTCGCACATTCCGTCGATTTCCACAGCTCTCGAATCGTACTGTGGAAGCCTTTTTCGTTAGTGCTGAGGAACATTTTATGGCGTCGAGCACAGGCTTGAGCCGCCCGTACTTGTTGCGTCTAGATGCGTGCATGAACGGGGATGATACACTGGATAGCTTTTTTACCCCTGTAGCTACAAATGCTCCTATTGTGTATGAAGTCATTGCACACTGGGCCCCTGAAAAACTGACGGACACCGTCTCCAGTCACATCACCTTGGAGGGAGAAGAAGAAGAGGAGAATGGAGACGCGTTACCCAGTGACACGGTCTTAGAGGATACCATTCCGGCACCTGTTGTTTACCCTTTTGCACATCGTTGCACCTATGCGAGATTGATACCAATTCAGCCAGAGACTCCGGTCACAGATGGTTCTACGATTGATGAAGTGAAGGCAGAAGCCCCTCCTATTCTCAACGCCATGAGGAGGAAAGAAGCCGCACGAATGGCGCGACGGGAGATGGAATTTGTGGAGGGCACTGAACGAAGGAAACTTCTTGAGGAAGAGCATAGCGCACGCGGTGCGGTTGCTGAATTAGAAGAAGAGAGCCGAATACGAACAGTAACACTGCTTCGTTTGATGTATGATGACGTTCCGGAATGTGGCGTCAATTACATTCAATCACTTGCACCAAGACAGCGCTACCCGGTGGACACGTTGCCGCTCGCTCCCTTTCCGAGTTCAGTGTATATGAAGGGATTATCGAAGTGTGCGGAAGAAACTGCCCGGCTTTCTCATGTCTTTGCGACAACCGGGATATCTGGCTCGGCGGCGGCCGCCACCAAACGTGAAGATACTTTGGTTACACCTGTTCCGGCTGATAAATTAAACACCGAAAAAATTCAAGAAGAAACCCAGGAGGCTATTCCGTGTTCCGACACCGGGGAAGAACTCGTCCGGCACTATGCCGATTTGCGCCGCGACTTATTATTATGGGAGCGTACGACGTTTCGGGCTCTTACGACGGAAATGCGTCGCATTCTTGAAAAACAGAAAAAAATAGATGAGGAAATTGTGCAAGGGGCTTTTTTGGAGGAGGTGGAAAACGCATCTATACTTGACTTTGACAGCTATGCACATCATTACAGCCATGAACATCTTCTTGAGGGGCGCAGCGACACTCCGGACACGGTGACAAATTACATTCCTGGTGAATGCAAGGGTTCAAGCCATGTGGCGTCTCTCGTCTTCAAGCGACCTACAGAATCGCCTAAGTTTCCAGCGGCGCAGAAGGAGGTGGAGACCACTGCAGGAGCTGAGGTGGGGGCAACCCCCACAACTTTATCTTTACCAGGGGCTATTGGAACACCTTCTCTTTCTCTGCCAAGACCACGTTCTCCTCGTTCCCTTTTGGCGGAAGAGAAGCAGTTTCGTGAGGCACTGGAGCGAAGCAAAGCGCGCGCCAAGGCGGCTTTGGAAGCTATTGCCCTTGTTGACAGGCACTGGCATGAGCCTGTTGCGTTTAAGCTTGCGAAGCATCGACTTTTGCTTGATGAGAAGGGGTCGAGAAATGCGATCCTTGCAGAGGAGATGGAGAGCTGGGAGAATCATGTTAAAGAAGTCAAAAAAGTAGAAATAGGTTGGGTAATGAAAGCCATTTCTGCTCGAAAGCATCTTTTTGGTCCAGTTATTGGGGAGGAAGAAAAGTTTAGAGCAGATCTTGACGAGCAACAAGAGCGGCATTTTGCAATGCTTCTTTCCTTGTATTATCTGGGCATGGAGAGATAAGTAAATCTTGTATGATCAAAACGGGCTGCAGATGTATAGTCAGTATTTGTATTGTTTCCATTATAAAGATGATGATGATTATTGTTTTTCCAGTGATTCTTGTAAAATGACTGTTATGCGATTTACTTCTGGCTGAGGCAGTGCTTTTTGTGCATACATCATGTAGACCTCCTTGCTTTATGTGTTCTTTTTCTTTGTTGTTGTTTCCTCTTCTTCTTCTTCTTTCTTTGTTCTATGTATTTTGTTGTTGCTGATTTCTTGAAGCGGTCAGTGGCCCATTTCTTTCGGTCCTTCGCCCACTTTGTGTGCGCACGCGTGTAAGAGGAGGAGAGAAGAGAGAAAGAAACACATTTTACCGTAAGGAAAGAAAGCACCGATAAAAATCCCTCTTTTTTTTTTTGCCTTTCCCTTCTTTCCGGAAAGAGGAAGTTACAATAAAGAGCGGGACGACAAGAACGAAAAAAAAAACACGCACACGGAAAAGAAAAGCAAAACAAAACAGGCCAAAAACAAAAACGAGCTTCAGACCAAAGACACCCCGTTCGCCGTGTGATTTATTTGTTTTTTTTGTTTTTTTGTTTGCTTGTTCCACACCTCATTTTTTTTTTTTTTTTTTGCCCGCCTGTTTGTGTGTGTCTGCGTGGTCGTGGGCGCATGTAGTGGTTGACAGCTGTGGTGTTTGAGAGAAGGGTGTGACTTTGTGAAAATGGCCTTTCGACTTATTTTTGAACGTCGGTTGGCGCCACTCTCGAACAGTTGTAGGCGTTGCTGCCGCACGATGTTTTCTGGTCCCACGCCGCGAATTACTTCTGTGACGCGTAGTGGACTGAGAGGATATGTATTGTGGCAATCTCCACCTCATGGGAGTTGCATCTGCCCTGCGCTTTCCTCTTCTAGAGCTTTTATTCACTCGCCAGAAAGGACAACTATGGCTTCTTCGGAGGAATTGCTTGAGAGCCTTCAACGGATTGTTGGCTTAGATGAGAAGAACTCCAAGGACCTGTCTACAAAACCAGAACGCGTGCAAGACCTCCTTGGCTTCTTTGCGAATCAAAACATGACACCAGAGTCCCCTCGCGAGCAAAAAGTGATGCTTTTTAACTTGTGGGCCAAGGTTAAGCTTCCCAGGCACCGCGATCTTCTTGCAGACTACGTGAAGAGGAAAAAGCTGGATTCAACCCAAAAGGTGGATGCCGCCATACGCTTTGTGGATGCCATGAAGGAAGATGCTCTCTTTGATGCTGCAAAATTTGAAAAGGAATGTGGCGTGGACGTGGTTGTCTCGAAAGATGATACATTGCGGCTCGTAAAGACGGCATTGGCAGAGGAAGACCTCAAGGCATTGAAAACGTCATGGGTGAAAAACCCGAACATGCTGCTTGGCAAGATGAAGCGGGTACCGGGTTTGCAATGGGCAGACTTTGCTCTGGTGAAGGCCATCCTTGAGGAGTTGGTACCGCCCATGATTAAGGATGTTGTCATTGATGAGGCTGAACCCAAGACAGAGGAGAAGACCACCTCTCCACCTCGCACGAAAGGCGCTGAAGTGGCAGCGACGCAAAAGTGCCCACGCAACGCGGATTGGAAATGTGTTGTGGATCTGCATTCACTCCATCGCATCGGTGATTTATCTTCTATGCAGGAAGGTACCAAGGTGCGTGTTGTGGGATGGGCACACCGAGTTCGTCATCAATCGCGTCTTTCATTTGTGGTACTGCGTGATGGATCTGGGTACATTCAAGCCGTATTCAATGGTGAAACAGAACCCTTTCACCGCGAAACGTCTTTGGCAATTCGCGGTACACTGAAGTACGAACCCAAGGCTGCTACTGAATTGCAGCCACCATACGAGCTTCATGTGGATGAATACGCCATTATTGGTAACTCGGATGGCAGTATTGAGAACGCTATTACCCCTGAAAGCTCCCCTGATAAATTGTTGGATGATCGTCATTTGGTGCTTCGTGGAACCTATGGCTCAACAACCATTAAAGTTCGTCACGAATTAATTCGAGCTTTTCGTGAATACTGTTGGTCCGTAAATATGTTTGAAGTAACACCACCAACTCTTGTACAGGCTGAGTGTGAAGGGGGATCTACGCTTTTTGATGTCATTTACTACGGAACGACGGCTCACCTTACACAGTCTTCCCAGTTATACCTTGAGACATGCACTTCTTCAGTGGGAGATGTGTACTGTATTCTTCCCAGTTATCGAGCTGAGAAATCCAAGACGAGGCGTCACTTGAGTGAATACACACATTTGGAGGTTGAGTACAGTATCTGCGACTTTGAGCTTTTCCTCTCAAAACTGGAAGATCTTATTGTGGGAGCATTCAACCGAACAATTGAGCGGGCGGGAGATTTGATCGCCTTTATGAATCCGGAACAGTTGGTGGATCCAAAGGCAAACCCATTTGATCCCAACAACTGGAAGTTTGCACCCAAGAAGCCGTTTAGGCGTCTCAAGTATGCTGACGCCATTAAATTATGCAATGATAACGGCATTTTGAACCCAGAGACAAATGCACCATTCCAATTTGGTGACGACATCACGGATCAGCCGGAGCGGGCCATGGTGGCGATATTGGGGGAGATGGTGTTCATGACACATTTTCCTGCGGTAATGAAGTCTTTCTACATGGCCCGAGACCCAGAGGATCCGACACTTACAGAGTCCGTGGACGTTTTGGCTCCTGGTATTGGGGAAATTGTCGGCGGCTCTATGCGTATGTGGGATCATGAAGAACTGATAGAGGCGTACAGGCGTAAGGACCTTGACCCAAGTGTGTATTATTGGTACACGGAGCAGCGCAAGTATGGCTCCACCCCACATGGAGGCTTTGGTTTGGGAATGGAGCGCTTCTTGGTGTGGCTGCTGAACTTGGACTCGGTCAGGGAGGCATGTCTTTTCCCGCGTTACATGGGAAGATGCAAGCCGTAGCTAGGAGGACAGGACTAAGGAGAAAAAAAAAATTCATCGGTAGTAATATTAGCATACATAAATGAAGCGAAGAATCCGCAAGAAAACAGAAGGAAAAAAAAAAAGAGAGAGAGAGAGAGAGAGAGAGAGAGAGAGAGAGGAAAAGGGAAAAGACAAATAGGAATGAAAGATAAATAGGGATAAAGCGTTAGTCCCATTGTTAAAACGAAATTAGGAAAAGGTTTAATGAATTTGTCGTGGTTTACGATGAGCGTCTTCAATGAGTATTATTGAAGTGAATTAAAAAAGAAGCACATCTTATACTATTACATTCTTTGGGCGTGTATATAAAAATATAAATGTAAGTAAATAAATGTTTACTTGTCGTTACATAAATAAATACATATAAAATATATTGAAACATATGTGGTATATCTGCATGTTCGCTTCACCCCATTTCTCTCTCTCTCTTTCTCTCTCTCTCTTGACTCTTGTGAATTTGACGAGGAAATAATTTTTTTAAATGTTTTTTTGGAATGCTCGCAGGGGCGAGTGGAGGTTTCTCCGTCTTATGATTATATGAATTCTCATTTCCTCCCCCTCCTCCGCATTCCTTTGTGCTCTTACTGTGCTACTTTCTTGTTGTTGTTGGATCCATTGACAAAAATTTGTAGTTTTTTTCTTTTTCTTTTTTTTTCCTTCTGCTGCAGCTGCACCACTTGGGAGCGCAGCACACGGGCAAGACGTCTCTCACCCCCACCCCACCACACCCCGATACGCGCAAAAGCAAATTAGGGGAAGGAGTGGGGAAGAGTGGGACGGTGTGTGTGTGTGTGTGCTCAGGGGGGAAATGATACATTTTATCCTTTTGCAGAACCGGATGGGCAAGACAAGGCTTGCCAAGTTTTACGTTCCATGCGACGACGCCGAACGGGAGAAAACAAAGCGAGAAGTGCATGCGCTCATCAATGGCCGCGATGCGCGGATGTCCAACTATGCCGTCTGTGGCTCCCTAAAACTTGTCTACCGCCGTTATGCCGGATTGTTTTTCTGCTTTGGCATTGAAAAGGACGACAATGAACTCTTTTACATGGAATTTATTCACCTGATGGTGGAGGTGCTTGACATGTTCTTCAGGGACGTTTGTGAGCTTGACCTTGTGTTTAACTTCCACAAAGTCTACCTGATCATAGACGAGATGATTCTGGCGGGAGAGGTAGAGGAGGTGTCACGCGCTGTCATCATGGATCGTCTCAGGACTCTCGACATCACAAACACGTGAATGGGAGCACAACGATGATTGGCTGCCGCTTGAGTGGGTAATTTGCTGGAGAAGAACACTTTGGCCGCGAAGGTGAAATGTAAAGTCGGAAAAAAAAAAATAATTAGAATGCTGGCGGATATGTTAAGGTGTCACCGAAAAGTGGTGAGAGAGGCCGCAATGCGGGCGTTCGAAAGAAAAGAGAGCTGAGGGAAGGAAGAAAAGGGAAAAGACCCTGGCCCCTCTTACTGTTTTCTTTCTTTTTCCTTTGTTTTTTTTATGTCTCCTTTTCCCCTTTTTGCTTCGGACTGGAAGGATTTGTGTGTGCGTGTACAGTTTGTCTGCTTCTTATTTTTGGGACGACGCGAGGCGCCTTGTGTTGCGGCCTTCGATGCTCTCTGTGCGCCGTCGCAGGGGCCGATACGCAAATCACTTTTTTTTTTTCTTCCCCATAATCTTCTCCTCAAGTGGTCTTTGGGCCCTTTCAATAGCCGCTGCCTTTATTTTTGCCGTTGTGTGTAGTGTCGCTCACCTCTTTTTTTATTTATATTTATTTTCGTAATGCTCTCATGGGACCGATTCATATTTCCTGCGGGCCTTTTGCTCCTCGCCCACAGCGTCTACCTTGCGCTGTGCATTCGTGAGCAGCTTCAGGAGCACCACCACAGTGGCGGCGGCGGCAGCGTGACTTCCGCATACTTCCCCATGTCATCGTACCCAACAGGCGTCATGGCTCATATGAATGCGTCCACTTTACCCATTTTTGTAGAGCTGTTGGTTGGTGTTGTCGTCGCCATTGTTGGTTTTGTGAAGCAGTCGACATTTAAGCGAGCGCGTCTTATTGACAAGAACTGCCACCAGCGTTACGACGATACAATTTTTACGGGAGTAGGCTTCATGCACTTCAACCATCGTGGTTCTGTGATGGGTAACCACTCGGGCGGGGCCGTAAACGGTGACGCCTCCGTCTCAACATCAAAGAAGAAGGTGTGAAAGGATGGTGGCGAGGGAAATGTGAAACACACGCACAGAAACAGGAAAAAAAAAAAGAATGAGAGAAAATATTTATGCATGCATATGTGCATACCATAAAAACTAATGAAAGCTGCGAAAAATAATGGGGTTTGCTGCTTTCTGATCTTTTTTTTTTTCTTGGCATGTTTTTTTCTTTTGTCTTGGTCATTGTTGCTGCCTTTTTTTTTATATTTACTTCTGTGCTGCCATTTTGTGCGTATCTTCCACTTTCCTTCTTTCTGTGTGCGTGTATGTGTGTGTGTGCGGTCAATGAAGGCGGGTGATTCCGAGGCCAAAGTGTGACGCATGCGAGGGCCGCGGGGTGCGTGCAAATGTGCCGGTTACTGGTATATTTTTAGACAGAAGAAAACAGAAGGTGAAGTGCGGAAGAGGAGGATTGGAAGAGAAGGGATAAGAAAGGGAGGAAAACGCGGTGGGTGTGGGTGGGTGCACCCGAAGAGATGACGCAAACCATGCAGTTATTTGTACATATGCATGCAGACAAGCAATAGCATCATTGGGTAGCCTCCAGCCACCCCGCGAACAACCGAGACGGAGGAAGCGAATACAAGAGTAATTTTTGCGCTGAGAGCGACCGGTCCGAAAGAACAAGGGAGAGAAAAGTCTGCAATTGCTTGCGTAATGAGGCGCCTGCTGCAGGGATTGCATATATTCACCTTGTGCTTTTTCTATCCGTTTCTCTTGGGGATTTTGAAGGAAAAGGGAAGAAACGACAAAAGAGACGCAAGGGGCGTGGGGGATCAAGAGAGGAATTGGTTCTCGATTATTGCGGCTGTTGATCCATTATAACCTTAGTCCATATACCCTTTCTTAATATACACATACGGAAGGGGGGGCGAGAGAGGGGAGAAACAACTGATTTTAGTTTACTTGGACGCTTGTCATTGATGTTGCGCAGGAACACGTTGGCGTTCTCTTTGATTCGCCAAACGCTGCCGCTTCTAGGCAGCAAAGGTGGAACGCCGAAGCGAAAGAAGAATCCCATGCAGCTGCGTCGGAAGGTGTACGGCCTGCACTTCAAGGAGAAGTACTTGAAGACGGAGGAGTGGTATTACTGTCCACTTTGTGCTGAGCCAAAGAAACAGGGGGAGTGGTGTCGCCGTGAGGACTGTCGCCAAATCAAGCCGTAGGCTGGGCGGTATTTGAGAACGAAGGGAGTTTCTGGTGTGGGATAGCGAAGTGTTAAAGGAGCATGAAGGAACTTCTTTGCGTTTGAAGGCGATCCCAGTAATAACGAAGATGTTTTTTTATTTTTTTTTTCTTGTTGTATATCATTGTTGCTGTCTCTTTCTTCTGGACGTTGTTGTTTTTCTTCCATGGGCCTTTTGTGTCACATGTTGGTTTTATTTCTGCTTTTAACGTATGTACTTTTGTGTGTGTGTGTGTGTTCAATTGAGGAAGAAATAATGGATTTGATTTTTGCTGAGGGAACACGGACGCCTTCTGCAAAGCCCTTTGCGATTCCTTCCGAAGTGAAATCCCGTCTACGTGCGAGAAATCCGGCAGAACGAGAACATGTAGGAGGAACAGAAGAAGCGGGGAAAAGAAAAGAGGATGAATTTAGTGGGGCAGTGGCGGCACGAGGCCTGCCAGGATCCCTAGTGAAGTACATTCAACGATGCATCGAGTACGGTCAGAACTCTACACACCTGGAGGAGGAGTTACAGGCAGCAAACGGATTGACAGATTCTACGCGACGGTTGGCTGCGTTGCAATCGGCTCTTTCTATTCTATGTCACATAGCCGCCATGGACAAGTCCTATTGTTTTATTTCCAGTCGTTCAACAGCGCCCCGGAAACAACCACTCGCCAGAACAAGCAGGAACCGAAGCCAAACCACGAAGCTCATTTCAGATCCATTTTTCTCACTCTCAGATATTTACACGACCGTCCGAAGTCTAAAGTTGGAGTATGAGGATGTACTGAAACAACAAAAGAGTGGGATTGGTAAGCAGGAACATATGAGTGTAAATTCGGTAGCAGCCTCTGTTTCCACTATCGAGGCACGAGTGGATGCCTCACTGGCTTTATTGGAGTTTACCGTATTGCAGATGCTTCTCAACTTTGATCGAGCACGTGATATTTCGGTTGGGTACGTTGCTGACATGCTGCGAACGATGCCGCAGATTTTTGCCACGGAGAAAAGGCCTCTCACAGTTCTGCAGGGTGACGATGGTAAAAATAGAGAAAGAAAGCGTTTTCGCGATGGTGGAAATGTCGTTGACGATGTGGCTAATGCGGCAAATTCAATTGTTTTGAAAGCACTTCAAGCGCTGAAAAGTAAAGATTGCTTTCGCACCTTGAGCCGGGCAAACAGCGGTAATACTGTTCGAGCATCGGATGGTTCGCTGCCGGTGTCATTTGATGGGATGATGACCAACGCACTGGATGGCACATACAGAGGGCGTGGTATTTACGGTGCATTGCATGACGTGAAGATGCTTCTGTATGGATTATATGCCACCGCTCCCTCTGAACAGGAGGAGCATATCACATTAGCGCGTCTTCAGTTTGAGCATTCATTAAGAGAGGAATATGACCTTTTTTTGCGCAAGACAGGGCTCCGTGGAGAGGTGGAAGATCCGCTATTGCCAGAGAGAACCATGTTTGACGTGAATCCACTTTTTGCAGACGCCGACTCCACATCCTGCACTGATACACAGTTAAAATCTTTGAAGCTGTTAGATTTGATTCGTGAGGTGGATAACGAGAATTGGTTTGAGTACCCCGTGTTCGACATGGCCAATATAGAGCTAAGTAGCATCGAGAAATGGGTACGTGGCTCGATATTTGGTATGAAGACAAACCGTGAAGCCTTTTTGGCTCTCCGAAACGTTTTGGAGCAGATGGTGGATAACTGTGTGTTGAGCTATGGGCCAACCAGCCCATTTTCTCAAGTCATCACATTGATGCGGCAGCGTTTGGTTGATGCTGCCCGCGAGGTGGGCCTGTTGTGATGACATTTACGACGAGGAGGAGGAGGAGTGCGGAGTATTCTTCAGGAAACGGGTTTGAGGCGGCCACGTTGTTTTTTTTTTTTTTTTTTTTAGCAGCTGTGGCACATATAAAAAAAGATGCATTTTGAAGCAACCCTTTTCCCCTCTCAAAATAAATAGATGTAAGAACGGCAGCTAAGGAAGAAATAAAAAAAAAAAAAAAACGAAGAAGGCAGAAAGATGAGTCTTTGCTGGTGATATTGCTTTTTTCTTTGGGTTGTATTCTCCGCTTTGTGTGATAGGGGTGTTGAGACATCGGCAGTGGAAATAGACGAAGCCAACGAACGTACACACACACCAAAAAAAAAAAAAAGCAACGACAAGAAGAAAAAGAAAAAAAAAAAAATAATCCAAGAAGAGACTGGGCGAGAGAGTTGGAGGAAGCAACAACAAGAAAGGACAAGAGCAGACAAGGAAGAAGGAAATTCAGCATGCTCACTGTGCATTTTCGTCTGGATTCCACTCTACAGGAGGCTTTTGCAACCTTTCGGGAGGCGAATGCGCCGTTTCGCGCTCTTTTGGTCACGGTGGAGGACGAGGTCATGCGGCTTCATGGAAAGATGCTTGAGTCCAGCGCAAACATGGACAATGACCTTGCCAAGGTTAGAGAGAACATTACGACGGAGAAGCTGGAGGCCGCTTTTATTATTGTAAAAATCAGTGAGGGAGAATTTGCTCTTGTGTCGTTCTGTTTGGATAGTCTGAAGCCAAGGGTCAGGATGTTGTATGCGTCAGGTGCTGGGCATTTGGCAGATGTCTCCGGATTAAACTATATTCTAAAGGAACACGCGATGCGTGTGGAGGAAATTACATCATCGCTTTTTGCAAAGGAAAATTCTGCTAGTCGTACAGAACTTATGACGGAAAAGGAAAAGCTTTACGCCGCTATTGAAAAAATGGAAATTGCACCAATGCAAATGGCAATGCCGGGTGTCACAATGCCAATCACGGAAGAAGGGGTGAATCTACTGAAGGGGCTCAGCCGGGGTGATTTGAATGCACTATCCTTTGCGGTTGACACGGACAAAATTATAGTGGATAAAGTGCTTGAGGCTTCAGAGGATTTATTATCGTCATTGTCAGAGTTTGTGGAGACTGTGAAAGTTCTCCTCCCGGAAGACCACCCACGTTTCGTTCTGCTCCGTTTTCCATCAAACGAAACTGCAAATATAATAATGGTGTACGTTTCCCCCTCAGCATCCAAACCGCGAGAGAGGATGGCATATGCCTCCTCCAAATCCTCCTTTGTGTTGCAGGCAGAACAGCATGGAATTATTTTTTTGCGACGGTCGGAGGTGGGCAGTGTGGATGAGTTGCAGGAAGTTGTCGCGGACACATTTGGCATGGAGCAGAAAGAGGGAAGCGAGGAGTGACCAAAAACCCCACGCCCTCACAGTGAAAAAGAATGCCTCTTTAGGGAACAATAAAGAATACATCTACATGCGTGTGTGAAGGAGAGTCTAGAATGTGTAAGGCCTTCAGTTTGAGCCAATGTATCGCAACAATTTGGGTTTGACTTTCTCCTTTCCTTTTTTTTTTTTTTTTTTTTCTGTTTTCTTGCGTGTGTTTGTGAAGTCCTTCCCATCGTTGTTGTTGTTTGTTTGTTTTTTCGCTCTTTTATCGCCATTTTTTTTTTTCCTCTTTTTTTTTATTTTTGAATCCCACGAAGGAGGACGCGTATGAAAGAAGCCCAATTGAGGGTTATATTTTCCCCCACCTTTTATTTATTTGATTCCTTCTTTCTTTGTGTGACTTCACTGTCATATTTGTTGTCAACGTCGTTATATTCTTTTTTTTTTTTTTTATAATTTTGTTTCTTTTTTTTTTTTTTTTTTTTTTGCCGGAGCGTCTGTTAATTGGGAAGGGCGGGTCCTCTGGAGAAAGTAACAACCAAACAGCAAAAGGACAGGGGAAACAAAAGAAAACACGATGTACTTCCGGCGTGTGGTTCATCCAAGGCGTCATCTTCTTTTTTCTGCGGCAGTGTTGTCATGTATGCGTTGCGTGAGCAGCGGCTCGGCAAGCGCGAAGCCCCTGTCACCGGTGAATGTTGACAGCTTCACGCTAAATGAAGAAGTTGTAAAAAAGGACATGGAGGCGCTGCAGCGCTGGAACGAACTCTCGCAGATGATAGAGAGGTCACGGGCCGAGAAACAAAACGAGAGTATTCTAGCGGCTGTGGAAAAAGGACTGGCTATGCTTTCAGAAATGGGCGCCGTGAATGCACCAATACAATGTGAGACACTCCTTTTGTTGGAGGCGTCTCAGGCGCATTATAACCTGCAGCAGTTTGAGGCCGCATTGAAGAGCGCCCAAAAGGCGAAAAATATGCTTTTAGAAACCCCGTCAGCCGTGAGAGACGCTGCGTTGTTGGCGGAGGTGAATCAATTGATGGCGTATGTTCTCCTTGAAAGTGGAAAGACAGAGGAGGCAACCAATGCGTTTACGGAAATATTACGTTGGATTGATGTGGATTCAAAGGCAGCGATGCCGATGCAAGCTGTGGCTGCTGTGAACATGCGCCGGTCTGTAGTCACGGGTATTGGTTTTTGTTATCAGAAGCGTGCCGAAAAGGAAGCCGCGACAGGTGGCGATGGGAAAGAATTGTACGGTAAGGCACTTGATCTTCTCATTGAGGCGTTGAATGCTCACATTGATGAAAATGACTACGACCTTGTGAAGAAAACTCTTTCTGGCGTGTTAAGGTGCTTTGAGGGAGTTAATGACATCTCGCAGGCGATATCGACGGGCGAGAAGTATGTTGGTTGGTGTCGTCGGCACTCGGACGAGGCGGGAGTTGCTCAAGGCACTGCGTGGCTGAAGGAGCTGCAGGAGAAGCACGGAAAAGGAGGTGACACAATTCTGTGAAGGGGAAAGGTGGGGTATTACATGCACACATAAATGTACTTTTTTCCTCGTTGAGGCCCAGACATTCGGTTTGGTTGGGGGGAATGTACGTCCGCTTGAATAATGTTGAAGTGTGGCGTTTCAAATGGGCAAAGGCATGGGAAGTATGTGTCAAATCAAATAGAAGGGAAAAAAGGAGCGATAAACCGGGAAGTCTGTTTTTTTTTTTTTTTTTAATTTGCTAAAATTATGATACTCGTCTTTTGTGATGGCAGAGCCGTAATGCAAGGCGTTATGCAATGCGTCCTTTTTTCTCTCTTAATTAATTTTTATTTTATTTATTTTTATTATTTATTTATTTAATTTTTTGAAGTCCACGTGTGATTACACCCGCACGCGCGAACCGAGCCAAACGGAGGTTGTAAAAAGTGGGCGAGAAAACCCACACAAAAAGAGAAGTGTGTGGAGGGTAAAAAGAGACGGAGGAAAGGGGAGGTCGGAGGATTAGACCGGCGACTGATGGACGAGGAGGATGAGAAATGTGTGGACCTTCGCCACGCATGGAGAACTTTTATGGTTCCTCACAGCAATAAGAGAGAAGGGCCTCCATGTAGTCGATGTGATGGGAAGTACACACTCCTTCGTTCCTACCGTTTGGTCGGAACGGATACGGACGATCAGCCGCTTTTCTTTCTTTCTCTTATTAGTCCAAATCGAGAACTGATCAGCACGACAGCGCACCTGTTCGTTCAGTTCAATGGCCAGTTCCGTGACTGTGTGGCAGAGAACGAAAACAGAATGATGGCGATGCGTGCCCTTCACGAACGGCAGCTTGCGGACCTGGTGGAAGCAGAAAACCGAGATACCAGAGACATGGTGGTGGGTTCGGAGTTAACGCGGAATTTTGTTTTGAAACACCAGAGGGAACTGGAGGAACTGCAGCGGGAGTGTCGCGAAAGGGAAATATCTGTCGAGTTGGAGGTGCGGCAAAGTCTACTTGCCTTTTTGAAAACTTCTGCGCCCGATGCCTTGACTGCCCTTGCGAGGGAAGTTGGAAGAGAGAAATTGCGTGCAGATACTGATCAATTAACTCGTATCACAGACATGGCACACTTTGTCGCAGCACCAGTTCCTGTGCGGGCAGTGGAACTGCCCAATCCTCTCTGCCACGAGAAGGTTGGGGCTCACTCGAAGGATGTGTCACTACGGCCGGTTGTTGTGGACGTTTCACCGACAACATCTTTGCAGGCTTGTCTCACTTCCTTGTATTCCGCAGAACGGGAAACGGCGCCTGCTGTGGCGGAACATCTTCTTCGTTTATCACAGCAGACTCACGCTGTGCTGTTGCTTATTGGTTCGCAGGCGGAGGCGGAATCGCTTCTGTCGACTCCAGCTGCTGAACTTTTTCTGAAGAACTCGTTTTACTCCGGCGGATCCCCGCATTTTTTTCCGTTAAAACGTCACTGTCACCTGAAAATGATGCTTTCCACACGATTTTGGGGAGCCAATATTATTTTTCTTTGGACGCCGCCCAAACAGGAGGGGCATCCTTCAGGATGGCCACTTGTCGTGGAGGATGCACTTCAGTTGGCATTCTCATGGAACGCGGACATGTTCTCCGTGGCCGTAATGAAATCTTCTAGTTATTGGCAGGGGACATCCTATCGGAGCTCCATCGAGCAGGCACAGGATGTCTCCATGGCGGTTCTGCGTCAGCTGCAGCGTGGTGTGGCGCGCCTTGCGCATGAAGCAGCGGGTGTAAAACTCTCCACAACGTGGGGGATGCCAGAGGCACCTGATACACACACGTTACCGCGGCCGCAGCGATGGGAGGATGGTTATGTTGTTAAATCTCCCGCCTCAGTTGGGAAACCACAAGTGAAGTTTAATACACATATTGCTATTCGTGCATTTTTTCCGTTTTCTGTTTCTCAAACAGAAGAGGAGGAAGGCTTGTCATTGCGGGATAGCGCCCCTGTAATCAATTCCTTTTCTTTGCTACTGTTGCTGCTGATAACTCAACGGACCGGGGTCGACGGACGGGACGGCGGAGACGTAGCATGTCTACTGCATCCCTTTCAAGCGGTGGAAGTTTTTCAAGCGAGTTGGCGGTATCACATAAAAGAAGTTCTCGCCTGCAGCAGCCAATGTCTTTTAAGAAGTTGCTCGTGTACACGTTTGGTAATGCTGTTGTGGTTCATTGACTTCTCCGTTCTCTCTCTCCGTCTCCTCCTTTGGCTTCTTTACCTCTCGAACTGTAAAGCAACCTGCACGTGGCATCGGAACCCCTCCCGTTTTGGCTTCAAACGATGACCCGGAGGGGACATGGTGGTCATTACGGTCACATGATGATGGCTCCGAGGTTACGTTTTTGGCTTCCTTCTCGAGCTTTTTTTTTTCTTCTTTTTCTTTTTTTTTTTTGTTTTCTCTTATTCCCACAGTGCGTGTGAGGAGGAGATCTCTTGGTGGGTTCATACACATACAGTGTGAATATTTTAATCTTGACGAGTGAGGCGACAACGGAAGGGACACGGTGGGGAAAGCAAGAAGAAAAAAGCGACTGAAGGGCACAAAAAAACACAGGGAATCATATTAAAATAGGAATAGCAAAAGGAAGGGGGCATAAAATAGTTGGCGGATGTCATCGAAACAAATTGCGAGCCCGCAAGTGAACCTAACGCCGCGCTCAGCGGATGAATCATGGGACAAACATATTGATGCTGTGCTCTCGGAGCTGCGACGAATTTATTTTGAGCGTGTTCGTCCTGTTGAGACGAAGTTTCAGTACGACGTGTTTCGACCCTCGTGGTTTGCCGAGTCAATTGTACAAAAGAGGCCGTTTGTAACTTTCCTGGGACCCTTTTCATCAGGCAAGTCCACCTTTATCAACTATTTGTTACAAACCAACTATCTCTTGACGGGACCCCAGCCACTCACCGACAAGTTTACTGTTATCATGCATGGTGATGAGTTTCAGCAGATCCCTGGACGTGTACTTATGGCGGATAGTTCCCAACCTTTTCGTGGGCTCAGTCAATTTGGCGAAACATTTGCGGAAGTCTTTCAAGGGTTAATTGTGCCGCACCCCCTTTTGCAGTCCGTGTCACTTATCGATTCCCCTGGCGTTCTCGAGGCGGCGGGCGATATCCATTCACGGCGGTATGACTATGTTAAAGTGTGCCGATGGTTTGTAGAAAAAAGTGATCTTGTGTTTTTTCTCTTTGACCCGACGAAGTTAGACGCCGGGACGGAGCTTCGCATGGTGTTTAAGCATGCCCTGCGGGGTCATGAAAGTAAAATTCGCATTGTCTTAAATAAAGCCGATTCCGTTGGGCCACAAGAACTATTGCGTGTGTACGGTGCTCTTTTTTGGAATCTTTCGGGTCTTATCAGTACGACGGAACCACCACGTGTTTACATCTCAAGTTTTTGGGACCAACCATATCAAAAAGACACCGATCACAGTCTTTTCACGGATGAAAAGTCCGATCTTCTCTATGATCTTACGGAATTAGTACCGCTACAATCCCTGGATCAGCGGGTGAGTTCAGTGATGCTGCGAGCTAAACATGTTCTGATCTTTGCACTTGTGTGTGCCAGTTTCAAGTCACGAATGCCTTGGCTTTTTGGAAAGGAAAAGGCCCGTGCGGAGTTCTTTGCGCAGCTGCCGCAAATTTCAGAGGATCTTGCGAATACGTTCCGTCTTGGCCTCACGGACTTCCCTACGCGTGAAGAGATGGCGGATTTCTTGTCAAGGGTTCAAACCGACGACTTCTACGGTATGGATCACCTACGAAAGAAGGGGTGGCCACAACTGTTAAAGCGGACGATTGAGGAGGATCTTCCCGCGCTTCTCAACCCAATTAAACACACGGAGGTGGTGGATCCGCGCGATCGCAAGCATGCCATTATGATGCAACGCAATTACATCAAGCAAATGTCGAACCAGTTGGCCGGCCAGCGTGGGATACAAGGGGGTCTGGGACAGCAGCAGGCACCGGGACACCGCGTTCAAACAATGCCAAATGCTGCTTCATTGAACACGGGACTTAATTTCCCCACGCAACAGACACAACAAAGTTTTCCTTCTCAAATGCCGGCGGATCAAATGTCAATGATGATGCAGATGATGCAAAACATGATGTTGCAGTCGCAGCAGCAGCAGCAGCCACAATTGCTCCAGCTAGAACAAGCACCCACACAACAGTTAACACCAGATCAAATGTCAATGATGATGCAGATGATGCAGAACATGGCATCCAATAATTCTTCTTAGTAGGATTGTGCTAGTGCATATCTCGAGTATATATATGTATACTCGTGTCCGCCTTAATTTTTCATTATCCCTGTATGTTACCTGTTTGTTTGCCGTTCTTTCCTCCTTCGATCCCTCCACTCAACCCCCCAGATTCTTTTAGTGCGTCCCTTTTTTTTTTTTTATTGTCTTGTTGTTGTTGTTTTTAGTGAGCTATGAGGGACTGGATTTGGGGGGGGGGGGGAGATGTCTTGGTAACAAAGTCAAGAGAGGGAGGAAGAAAATAACATGAGAAACAAATAGAGCAACCCACATACACAAAAGCACAGGCACAGGCACAGAAAAAAGGCAGAAATAACACTGTGCTTGTCGCCGGCACCTGTCGTCTATCTGAGTGCATTCACATGTACTCCATTGACTTATGGCGCGACACCGCATTTTTAATTCTTTAGCAAATGGATGTTATTTGATGCCAACATTCCCATTTCCTTAAATCTATTTTCTTTTGCATTTCTTTATTCTCTTGTATTCTTCCCTCCTTGCTTGTGTATTGTATCGCATGTAAAGGAACAACATTTTTTATTTGTTGTGTTTTCTTTATTTATTTCTTATATATTTTTTTGTTTGTTTGTTTGGGCCTGGCCTCCTGACGTATACATGTCCACAGCTATTGTGAACTATCTGTTGTGTGTAATGTGGTGGGCTTCTTCCGACGTTCCTGTTTCTTCAAGAGCAAACCGAGGCCTCTGGAAATAATATATATATATATATATATGCGTGTCGATGCGGAGAACAAGGGAGGAATATGTAAACAGCGGTGAGGAGAAGTGTTTACGCATGGCACGGCTGGAGGGCGTAAATAATGCGAATACTGTCTCAGTGGAAAGCGAGATAAATCCGTTCACAAATAAGCCGTTTTCAAAACAATACTACGAGATTCGTGCCCTTCGAGCCACGCTTCCTGTGTATGAAAAGGCCGAATTGCTCAAACGGTATGTGCGTGATCATCAAGTTGTTCTGCTTGTGGGAGAAACGGGGAGCGGCAAGACCACTCAAGTCCCACAGTTTATTGCGGAAATGGGTTATGCAGGTATTATTGCCTGTACCCAACCTCGAAGAATTGCCGCCACATCCGTGGCAGCACGTGTCGCCACGGAGATGGACGTTAAGCTTGGGGAGGAAGTTGGCTATCATGTTCGGTTCCAGTCCATGATGGGTGAAAAAACGAGGGTGCTTTACATGACAGATGGTATACTTTTACGGGAGGCCTTTTCGGATCATAATTTGTCACGCTTTAGTGTTGTTATTGTAGACGAAGCACATGAACGCACAATAGATACCGACGTTCTTCTTGGCACTTTACGCCTTCTTATGGAACGCCGTTCTGAGTTTCGATTGATTGTGATGTCTGCAACTCTTGAAATGCAAAAATTTCAGGCATATTTTTCTCAGGCACCGTTGTTACAAGTGACAGGTCGCAAGTATGAGGTCCAAGTCAAATATACTACACAACCCGTGAAGGATTATGTGGAGACCTCTGTTCAGCGCGTGTATGATATCCACATGAATGAGCCACCTGGGGACGTCTTGTGTTTTCTCACAGGCGAGGCCGAAATTGAAAAGGCGGTGACGTGGACAAAAATGAAACTTGACGCATTGCTGGTCCGAGATTCAGAGGCGACACATGATATTCGTCAGGGACCAATGTGGGTGCAGGTATTGCCCCTGTATGGTTCACTGAGTATGGAAGAACAGAAGCGTGTGTTTGCCCCTCCTGGTCCTCATACAAGAAAAGTGATATTTGCTACGAACATCGCGGAGACCTCACTCACCATTGACGGTATTGTTTATGTGGTTGATTGTGGGTATCATAAGCAGAGTTTATATAACTCAGAGGTTCGTGTGGATTATTTACTTCCTGCGCTCATTAGCAAAGCCTCAGCAGAACAACGTAAGGGGCGTGCCGGCCGAACTCGGCCAGGCAAATGCTTCCGTTTGTTTAGTCCGCAGGACTTTGCTACTTTTCCGGATCAGACGCATCCTGAAGTACTGCGGTCGAGTTTAGTCAATACCGTGTTGTTGTTACTTAAGCTCGAGGTGGAGAATCCATATCAATTTTCATTTATTGATCCACCCTCCCAGCAAAGCATCATGGATGCATATTACCAGCTGAGTTTTTTTGGTGCTGTCGATGAGGATTTACATCTGACAGAGTTTGGGAGATTAATGGCAGAGTTCCCAGTGGATGCCTGTCTTGCTCGTATGCTAATACGCTCTGCGGAACACCGTTGTGGCGCAGACGCGGCAGTTATTGCTGCCATGTTGGAGGCTGGTAACGTCTACGTGCGTCCCTCAGGGCGTGGAAATGAGGCAGATCAACAACACACCACGTTTCAGCATCCAGATGGTGATCACCTGACACTCTTTAATGTGTTTCATGCATTTTGGCGCAACAATCAATCGCCACAGTACTGTTTTGACCATTTTCTGCGCTATCATGCCCTGTTACAGGCTACTCGTGTGTATGCGCAGCTAACAAAACTAATGGGGAAGAAAAGTATTCCTGTTGTCTCTACGTATGATGATAAGACGAGATTGTTTGACTCCGTGGCGCTGCGGAAGACGGTGCTTGAGGGATTCTTTACACAGGTCGCCTACAAGCCGCCCTCTGCAGAGCATTACAAGACCGTGAAGGATTCTCAATGGGTAGTATTACACAATCAGTCGGTGTTGTCAAAAAAGAAGCGTCCTCCATGGATTGTGTACGACCGCCTCGAGGTACATGGAAAAGAGGGAACGTTTATTCGTTTTGCTTCAGTGGTTGAACCGGAGTGGCTGCTTGTTGTTAGTGACTTTTTCACGGACCCTGCGGAGTTGTCTGACGGTGAGATTTGTCACATCTTGCAACGTCTAAAAAACAACGACGAATTAAATTTGTCTTCTGCTCACCCATAGTTGTTGGTCGAATCAGTTTCTCATCACGATGCCAGCAGTCACGGGTGGGGAGACAAGAAAAGAAAGCAAAAAGAAAAAAAAAGTGGAAAACCAAGAAACAAATAAAAAGGGAGATTTTGAGGTGCCATATGTTTCTCTCTTCTTGCCTGGTTGGGTCCGAATATTGTGATCCCTTCGGGTGTATCTTTTTTTGTTTTTTTGTTGACAAATTTTGTTTTTCTGCTCTGTTCTTTTTGTTCGCCTTTTTTTTTTGTGTATGTTGTTGTACAATCATGAAGCTAGCAAGGCACACACACACACACACACACACAAACACATGGAGTTGCAGCAGAACGGCGACGGGAAGATTGAGCTCGAGGTTGTGAGAAAAGACGGGCGTCCCATTGTCTGTCGTCCAATCGATGTGAACGAGTTGCTCAGCAAACAGGGCCACACCATCGACCTGGGCGATGGTGTTCGGGTTCGGCTAGAGGAATACAGCAGCGACACCTTCTCCTCCTCGGAAGAAGGAACGGAGGAAACAGACAGCGAGGCGAGTGCAAGTGATAGCAGGACCAGCGACAGAACAAACGTCCCACCGGGACGCCGCAGGTTGACTGGAGACGGTGCTGCTTTTGACCTTCATGGAGGCGAGGAGAAGGCCAAAACGCAAAAGCTGAGTTTTCACGATCCGGAGCGTAACAAGGGAATGGCAACGCAGCACGGGACAATCAGCGGCAGCAACGTTTCTGAAAAAGTGTTGCATTCTCGTCGAGATATTTGGGCCTCCTTTGCGCCCCCTATTGACCCGGAAAGAAATCATAATTGGCTCCAATCTACATCCATAATTCCAGGTGCAACTTCTAGAAGGTTCCGTTTACCCCCACTTATGTTGCATGCCACTTCGTCTTACCTCGGCCCGTCCGACCAAGGACAACGAATTCTCGTGTACGGAGGAATTACCAACTTTGGTAAAAAAGTCGAGAAGGAGCTTTACGAATTTTCTGTCTTAACGGGCCATTGGCGACGAGTTGAGGGTAAACATTTTTTTTTCCCTGGTAATTATGGCCATGCGGCGGTGGTTGTGGAGCGTCTTCAGCGTCTCGTGGTGATTGGGGGTATGAGTCCTGGTGGACAGCCGGTTCAAGGAGAAAGATATTCGGATGAATTCTCCAAACTACGAAGCCGCATCCTTTTTCCATGCCAAGATAAAACCAAGACAAAGCGACCACCATCTGTGCGAATGGAATTTAAAGAATCCGAGAAACCGACGCTCTGGTCGCTTGCAATGCGGGCAGAAGAGGAACCCCTGATTGGGTTTATGCCGGTATTATTTGAGATGAACTTGAAGACTCTTCGTTGGCGGGTCGTCCAGACATCCCCTGAGATTCCTGTGGCGCTCCACACAGCCGTGGCAACTTCTAACACGATTTATTTGTTTGGGGGTGTGACGAATCGATTACTTGTTTCAGCACAGCTTATAGGGATCCATGCGGAGAACAATAGTATTTCGCTTATTCGTTCCTCTGCAGTGTCACCAAAGGCACGTTATCTTCACAGTGCCGCCATTTATGGGAACTGGATGATCGTTTACGGGGGATTTGATGCCTACAACGAACCACTAGCTGATGTGTGGGCATTTGATTTGGTAAATGAGCGTTGGGAACAGCTGGAGTGTCACGGTACGCCTGCCCGTGGTGCACATGCCTCTTGCATTCTGGGTTCAAGTTTGATTGTCATTGGTGGATTCGAAGGTGCTATAACAACTGAGACAAAGCCAACTAGTAGTATTTATGAGCTTCAGCTAGTACCAACGAGTACGGGACAATATCTCTGGAAAAAAATAACCGTTCGACCTGCAATACCACCACTTGCTTTTTCGGCTGCCTGTCATTGCGCCGATGATGTTTCCTTTATTGTGTACGGTGGTTGCACCGTCACTGGAATAAAGGCGAAGAAACGTCCGCCTGATTCCAAGAGAGTGGGTCAACTTGCATTCACCAAAAGTAGAGACGCAAGGAATATTTCCAGGCATGACAGTGATGGCAATGTTTACAATGACAATTTCTGGCAGGGGTTGGTTCCTTTGGATGACGGCTTTGCGTTTACGTTTCCGTTGAAAAAGAATGATGCGACAGGCTCTCATGGGGATGGTAGCGGCGCATCGATACATGTTAATGAATTGGGAGTGGTGACTGACCCCGAGGAATTGACGCCGGAGTTTAAGGCATTCGTGCGACGGCAGGAAGAATTCATCCTCAAGAAAAACGCATCCCGCTCTCAGGCAATGAAAAGGACAATACTTGACGAACTTGAGAACATGGAACCAAATTTATATTTGACGTCAGAGGAGATTGAGTTGCTCCTGGAAAAAAGCAACCTCTTGTGCGAGAGCCTTACGGGATACAATATGGAAGCGATGCCGCACAACATTCCTGAAAGAGAACAACGACTACAACACACTGAGAAATGCATCTCGCTTAGTCGCCAGATACGGGATGTCCTCATGTCGATGAAGGGATACGCCCCTGGTGTGACGGCTGTGAAATCAAAGACTCATCGAATAAAATCCGGGGAGAAGTTCGAGGATCATTCAGTTGCCAAACCATTTCGTCGTGTAATTGTCATGGGTCTTGTGAGGGAAATTAAAACAGAACTTAAACGTATTCATAACTTGAATATTGTTCTAAAAACTGTGGAATGGCCTGAAAAAAAGGAATACTTGGATGCCGTGGAAACGATGCAGGAGCGGAAAACGGAGTTTGTGCAAGCTGTGAAGGATATTCTTGAAAAATACATTGAGCGGCGCGTAGAGTCTTTGATTTCCGCTGCGGATAGACAGAAGGATAACATGCGGCGATTGGCTGAAATTGTGGCGAAGATTCGGCATGAAAAGATATTTCAAACGGAAGGACCAGATCCACAGCGTGAGCGTGTGCGGCAGATGTGGAGCAAGGGAGAAGGACAAGAAACTCCCCAGACAGATACCAAGCGCTCTGTCTCACGTAGTCATCATCATCACCGTCGCTCTCGCTCCACCGGGGCTGGCTATTACAAGGATGAAGCCAAGGCTTTCATCTCGCTGCAGCCGAAGGAATTGCAAAAGCTACTGAAAAAAATACACCTTGTGCATAAAGTTGCTACATCATTTTCTTCTTACTGCCAGTCGAAGAAATCTGATGTGCAGAAGTCATCAAGTGAAATGCCGCCGCCGCCGTCACCATCAACGGCGCCTCCTGCCCTTTCCAACCCAGAATCTTCATCCCTTGCTGTTCCTGCCGCACTTGCCATTGTGGAAACGGTGCCCCCTTCCAATGTTTCTCCAGCCACGCATACGGCTGATGCAGATTTTGGGACGGCTTCCCCGAGTGAACTTGTTATACGTCAATCGGATGCCATCCGAGAAGAGGCCATAGAAATAGCAACTTCTGTGGGCCAAAGCGTCTGTGCATTTGCGAAGGAGCTGGAAACTTCTTTTGAAGCGGATACTAAGCCGAACTCCCAAACTGATGTCAATAAGGATGAGAAGAAGCCGACGCTTTTGTTTCTTTCTTCACTACGTCCTCTTCTGTCTTGCAAGATGCAGCTGGCACAACTCCGTGAAAAGATTTCTAGAATTCGCGTAAATCGTTGGGCCGTGGATGACGTTGCTGGCGCCCCTCAGGACGTGGAGGCTCAGAAACGCTGTGAGAAGTTATCAAAGTGTTTGGCCGCTCTTGTGCAACGCCTCACGGCGAGTTTTTTATCCAAAGCGGGAGCGAGACCGCCTCGCTTGACCTTCAGAAGAGCGCATTCTTCAGGAGCTTTGAAACCCCCATCGTCTTCTTTGGCTTCGCCCCCGCGCTCATCACCCTCCTTATTCTCATCTTCATCATCGCCGGCAACAGACAAGCATAGACGAGTATTGCAGGCCATTTCTACAGTGGATTCAAGTGACGTTGCAGCGTTGGAAAAGGGCGACGATTCTTCTCCGCAGGCGCAAGAAGAAACAGCAGAGCAGGAACCAGAAAAGCAGTCAACTTGCGTCTTTGGACCGCTCTCTACACCATTGATGCTTCTGGATACACCTCCTCTTTTAAAGGCTGCTGCGATGCCGGAAATACCCAGAACCATTTGCCTCACCTCAAATGAAGCGCAATCGCTTGTACCTCCATTTTGCACAACGAGTTCCATTTGTAACGAGGGTGCTATCATTCCATCTGTGAGGGATACAAAGGTCATTTCGAACACTCATCAGGAAGCATCCACCTGGTCGAACAAAGATTCTTCCATTATGGTTCCCCATAAGGAATTCTTTACCGCTGTGACTTGCAAGGATTCATCCCAATCGCCACCGCCACGCATTTTTGTTTCAAAGGGTCCACAGACGACCACGGCTGCTGCGGCCATGGCTATACCAGCGGAGTTGCCACCATTCGGGGAGTCGTTGTCTGCCATTCATATCCGGTCAAACACAGATGGTGATAAAAATACTTCATCTTGTATGGTAAGTCTTTCCCCAGGATGTTTTCATGGATCTAGCACATCTGGTGTTGCGGTGGACCCAATAAATCGCGTTGATCCCCAACAAGAAGCGTTATGTCTTGAAGAGGATTACTTTTTGTTTGGTCGCCGTTACGCAGCGGAGCCTGTGGCTTCCCCGTGTGTTGTGGAAGATGCACGGAATCGACAGGTTCTTGTGGCGAAAGATTCTCCATTAGTGGTCAGGAGTATGCATGCTGTGAAAGTATCACCACCTGTGGGTACGCCTGCGGCTCCCACTGTGACAGCACCGCGGAAGCGAGTAGTGAATTCGATTTTTCGGAAGCATTTTACTTCTGCTTCTCAACCTGGCGCGCCCGAAGATGTCTCTGCGAAACCCCTGAAGAAGGGATTGTTTTCTGGCAAACTAACGCCCGGTGAGATGCACATCATACAGGCAAGGGAGCGTCTGCGTACCTCCTCATCACGGCGTTAATTAACACACATAAAAAAAAAAAAAAAAGAAAAGGGGGGAAAAAGTAACTTCCTTTTGCTGTCCTATAGAAAAGAAATAGAAACAGGCAAGCAAGAAAGAAGTACAGCTGTGGAATAGGCTGCGAATGCGAAATAGAAGAGCATAGACACAACACAGGGAGTAAATTCAGTAAGAAGGAGCGAAGACGTTGAAGGGGGGAAAAAACACAAAAAGAGGAAAGGAAAAAAAAAAAAAGCGAAGAAGAACAGCAGCCGTTACCGAATGGGGAAGTGGACACGGGGGATGGTAACAGTGATTCCTGATAAAAGCCACAAGAATTAGGATAAAAGGAACCATCCCAATGGGTATTGTCCCCCCCACACACACACTTTTTTTTTTTCCTTCTCCCCTTTTTGTACGTATCCCAACTTGCTTCTTCGTCTTCTTTTTCTTTTTTCTTTTTTTGGGGGTTGACTTGCAGCTTTTCTCTTGCTGTTCTAATTGTCGACTCCATTCCCCACCCCAGTGCATTCCCTGTAAAAAGAAGTGAGAACAATACGTAAAAAAGGAAGCATAGAAACGGAAAGGCTCTGGAGGCAAGAGGGGTAGAATAAATTGAAGTTTATTTCTTTTCTAGCGGAGTAAAAGAAGAAGGGGAAAAAAAGAAACAGGAGAAGAGAAGAGAAAATAAACACAAAAATACATACACTGAGAGGAACCGAGACGAAAAGGAAAAAAAAAAAAAACAAGTGAAAAGAAGCAGAGGACTGTGGGTTAATTGTTTATTACAAAAGGGCGAGGGACGAAGAAAAACACATGCCGTTTTGGCGGCGGAGTCCATTGGCTCGTGAGTACGAGGTCACAAAACGACCCATTTTTTTGCTGGATGGCTGGAATATAGTGCAAGGAACGGATGCTGCCGCATATGTCTCCGGTAGTGTAACAGACGGTGTGATGTATGGCACCAACGGATATCTGGGTGTTCGGCACCGTAGTGAATGTGAGACAGTCGGTTTTGAATCAAATGTCTTTGTGAATGGAGTATACCACAACGTTCCAGTTGATCGTCAAATTGATAGCGAAGCCCTACCTTACGAGATGCAGATGGGGGCCACTGTTTGTACCGTCAATCTTGACTGCCTAATTGATGGCGATTGCGGTACCCTTCGGTCGGTGCCACCCCGACGGCTTGATTTGCGTAATGCAACGTATCACAGTGAATGCCGTGATGTAATGAGTGGGGATGGTGGATTAATGTTTGATGGAGATTATCGTCGTGTCGTTTCCATGAAAGAACTGGACTTATGGGGAGCGGATATTGTTTACTCCAATTTTACTTTTGGTTCATCGCCATATGATCTTTACCTCGGTGAATCCCCCAATATTTTTTACGCAAACAATATGAACTCTACGAATCCGGATGCATCTCCCTCATATCTTTTGGAGTTTGTTGTGACAATCACCGTGGATTTGAGAGAGTGGGCTATTCTGCGAGGTGACAGTGTAGATGATATTTTGCTGCAGTCCCGCACCTCCGGCGTCGTGGAGAGCATCGTTACGCAATCCACCTGTGCTGTGGATTATGAAAACAGTTCCGTGAAAATTACCCCGGAGCACCAGTTACTGTGCGAGACGGGAGACCACGGTTTGATGGAGCAAAACTTTTCTGCGGCAGCCCTATCGTGTCCAAGTGACAGCGAGAGTGATCCCGGGTTTGGTGGTCGCATTATTTCTTCCTTTGAGAATCAAAAAAAGAAAACTTTATCTTTTAAGAAGCGATTTATTCTTTCCATTACTCCGGACACACTGCCAACGAGGGTGACGGTGACATATTTGGCCCGGCACCACAGCGGCGGTATCCCCTCCGCGCGTTTATTTCCCACCATTTCAGAAATAATGGAAGATCAACGTTTGATCTTGAATGAATTCTGGGATCATTTTTTTATTGACTTGCAGCAACAAGAAGAATTAACACCGGATCGGCTACGTCTCTCCCTATTGTTCAATGCATTTCGACTGTTTTGTGTTTCCCATAACTTACATAACGGGCTACCACGTGGCGGTTGCTCGGCTACAAAAACGAGCCTTTTATATGATCTTCATCAGTACTTGTATCATGGTATATTTTACACATTGACTTCACCACCCCGCGCCCTGGCATTACTTCGGGGCTTGTATTCGCTTCTTCCCCAGGCAAGAGTCAACGCTCATCTTATTTCTCTCAAACATGGCGCTATTTTTCCGCGTAGTACAATTAAAGGAACGGAATGTGAGCAACACAATACCGTAAGCCAAGCACGATTACATGTGAATGCTGAGATTGGGTACATCATCAACTTTTTCTTTGCTGCTGTAGAGACTATCGACCAAAAAGACCGTCTATGGCTTTTAGAACTTATGTTAGAAACGGCACGTGTGTGGCCTCAGTTAGGTGAATGGGTAGAAAGTGAGGGTGTGTTTCGTCTGGACAATATTGCGGGACCGGATGAATATAACAGCACGGCTTCTGGAAATTTTTATATTCATTTGTCCGCCAAAATGCATATGCGATATGTTCTTGATCTCTATGAACAACAACTGGCATTGCTTGGAGAAGAAGCTATGACAAATCTGCTAAAACAAATTGACATGGACAAATCTGAGCTTGAAAATTTTCGAGCCACATCTGATGGTATTGTTATACGTCGTAATGATCATTTAGGAGTCTACTTGGTACATGATTACTTCCATACACTTAAGGAGTGGAAGGGTGAGCGTCCTAAACACCCATTGTCAATGAATTATCATCCTCTTGCAATATTTTCTCACATGCTTGTTGATATTCCCGAAGTATTGCTGGGGATGCTTCTGTATCAAGAAGAATTTGAAAAAAAGGACTTGGTACGAAATCTGGCCCATTACGAGGCGCTTTGCACATATGATTCACCCGAGTCTCTTGCTATTGTGGCGGCTGTGGATTTTCAATCCAATGGATCATTTGCTCATGGTCTGCCGTTATTACGCTCATTGATGAGTCTGGATGTGGATAATGTCATTTACACCGCCGATGAAGGACTCCATTTTGGCGTCATGTCTTCTTCTTGGATTGCCATTGTCAGTGGCATCGGTAGACTCAAATTGGGTAAACGGACTCTTTATTTAGATCCATGCTTTCCTGCAGGATTATCGATTGTCAAGTTTACAATTTGTTGGCGTGGGTCAACATTAAGTACCACGGTAGACAAGGATTACGTTACATATGAACTTATTGCAGGGGATAGTATTCGTTTTGTGCATGGCGATGGCCATCGTATTCATCTTCACACGGGATTTCACCGATATACCGCCAAGAGGCAAGTGTCTGTGCCACGGTTGATAAGAAGTGGCGAGGGGGAATTTGACGGTGCCGTTTTTCTTTGCGAGACGTTATTTGATGAAATTACAGATATACACTACATGGCTTGGTATAAAACGCTTGAATCCCTCTTTGAGAATTACCGAGCGCTGCATCTTCGTGAAATTCAGCCCTTAACCACAGAAGAATTCTTTGAAAAAGTTATTTACCAAGCAGAAGAACGTGAAATTGCATTCAGTGGCATACACAACGTCTTATTGGACCGTGGGATTGATCTCGAGCTCGGTACCCCGGACGACGCCGAGATCGTCGAGACACGATATGGCCTGGCGAACGCCAAAGTGGCAGAAATGGCGGAAATACTCTCTCGCATGACCCCTCGAGTGAACGCTGGCATGCACGCATTGTTGAAGGATCTCTCCAATAGCGGTATTGCGCTTGCGGTCGTGACATACTCACGTAGTCTCAAGACGCTGATGCACTACAATCCTGAGGTTATGCCACTGTTTCTCGCTCACATTGACGGTGAGGAGGCATACGATCGGCACATCAAAAGCCGTCCTCATGTTGATATTTTCCTTCGCGCCGCAGAGAAAATTCATGTGAATCCGGCGCGCTGCGTTGTTTTCTCCATGTATCTTGATCGCGGCTTTAAGGCCTCCAGCCTTGCAAACTTTCGCATGTTTTTTGATGTGGAGGGGATATTTGCGACAAAACGGATGTCGCAGCAGACGCAGCCGTATCCCACGCTCTCCAACGATGCAGCTGCCGCAGTGGGGCGCGATGGTGTGCCCCTTATTTTGCGTCTCTCGCGGGAAAACCTGCCAACGACAATTGACGCCCTGGAGGACATGTTGTACGGACGCTGCAACGCGGTAGACGAACAGCATGTTGCTTCTTACACGAAATGAAACGCTAGTTTGAGAAATAGGTCAGGGAAAAATGACAGTGGGAGTCTGCGCATGGGAACAGGAGAGCCACAGGAATAAGAGAGAAAATAAACGGTCCGTTATCTACAAAGTGATGTGGGTGTGCATTTGAGAGTTTAGTTATTTATCGATATTAGTATTATTATTCTGCTGTACACTTAGATATTTGCATAGATTGGGAGTCATTTTGAGAGCGCAAAACCCGTAGCCAGTCTTTTTTTTTCTTTTTTTTGCCTTTTTTTCCGCCACTGTTCGGTTTAGCTTTTCGCTGTGGTTATTACCCCGACAACGATGACCATGTTGCGTGAGAATTGCTGGCTCGTTATGAATTTTCTTGGCTGCCACCGAGGATTTTCATTGCTGTTTTGCCCTGCTGTCCTTTTGTTGTTGTTTTTGCTTTCTGCTTTTTGCATGCAATATGTTTATTTAAATATTTGGGGCGGTAAGTCGTCATGTCCGTTACCGATACATTAGGGCCTTTGTTCACATTCCTCATCATTATCAATGTTATAGGCACGGCCCTTCCACTGCTACGGCATCGCTTTGTTTTGTATCCTTTGGCATTTGTACTCTTTGGTTTTGCCGGTCTTTTTCTCATACTGGCCGTTATTTTTCTTCTTGGTGATGCAACGGTTTCGGTCTACAACGTGAATGCCAAGGGGCAGGTGAAGGTGCAGGCGACCGTTCCTTTTGACCTCCCGGCTTTTTTTCGGCTCAATTTGACGATGACCACATGGATGCTCTCATCCGTTCTGGCGATGGCGACTTGGCTCTGCTACCAGTCTCGCAAGGGCTGGCATGTTTACATCGTGCCAATGCTGCAAGACCTGAACACACTCGAGACGTCATGTTGGTCCAATACGCTGGATTTGCGTAACCGTGTTGCCCCAAACACAATGTGACGCCACACTTTTGACACAGAATGAGAGATGGGACGGCGAGAAAAGGGAATTTGCGCCGTTCACATAATAGACGGTGCACAACAAACAGAAAAAGAAAAAAAAGACTGAAGTTTTCTTTTTGTTGTTTTCTTCTCTTTTTTTTCTTGCACTACTTTTATTGAGTTTATTTTTTTTTTTTTTTTTTTTTTTTTTTGCCCTGCGGGTGTTGGTAGAACACATATTTTTTTTTTTTTTACTCACTCATTCGCTCGCCTTACCCGTCTGCATTTTTACGTGACTCTGCGCTTCGCTCCACCGCTCAAGACGATTCGACATACCCGCACTTTGTACAGGGCCATCAGGTGCGCACTGGGGCCCACTCACCACTTAAATTGCCAATTTTTTGGGCAGAATACCGGTGCCACAGTCGGTGCGCTTCGGACAAAGTCGAGTATTGCGCGGATGGCGCGGCAGCCCAACACTGTCATTGTGTTGCATCCTGTGAACAGCGCCATTATTACATTAGATATCTGTTTGCAGCTTAATGACTCTTTGAGCTCCATATGGCGAAAGAACATGGCGAGAAGTGAGGACGAGGTGGCAATGAGGACAATTGAACGGCTTCAGATTTTACTGGTTCAACAGAAGGAAGGGAAGAATAGCCGACGAATGAAAAGGGAAGATTTACTCAAAGACTCTCAGCCCATTCACGTATTTGGTTTGGAAATTGATGAGCATGAAGCGGAAGGTCAAGCAACAGCGCCAACTTCCAACACCCTTAAGCCTTTGGACACATCCATAACTAACAAATTATTTTGGAAGCGGGCCAAAGAGATGTTAATTGGTTCGACTGTTGTGAAGATAAAGTACAACGTTCCCACCATTACATCCATTGTCCCCCCATCTGCGCTTTATGTGGGATTGCCGGCTCTTTGCTGTGGCATAACCACATTGTTTACATCAGAAGTTGGTATTCTTTATGAATGGTGCTTATGCAGCACGGATTCACGCGAACACACAAACATAAGTGTCATTTCGACGGATGCTGTTTTTACGCCTCTTGAGGAGCATCTAGGGAAAACTTTGGTGCTCCGTGTATCACCTGAAGGGGACTCTGGTCTCTGGACACAGGTTGATTTACCCCCTGTTCGTGCTGCATTGACACCTGTGGATCGGTGGAAGCACACAATGGCGCCAGCAGAGGCACCTGCTTTTAGGGTAGTAACGTACAATGTTCTCCACGATGAGTTTTGCAGCACAAGCGCGGCAAAGAGACGTATTTACCCCTTTGCGACCGACGACATATTGTCATTGGAGTACCGCCAAGTGCGCATATTGCAAGAACTTCTCGCATACAGAGCCGACGTGATTTGTCTTCAGGAATGTGGGGAAAAAGTTTACCGTCAGTTCTTTGAACGCATCTTACATCACAGTGGCTATGATGGGCGCTACACGAACAAAAATGGGGGCGTAAAAGAGGGTTGTGCATGCTTCTGGAAAAGAACTCGTTTTTGTATGAATGAGACCCTTGTTTTCCCGTTGAACTGGACAACTTTACAGGAAGATCATCCCGATTTAGTGGCACGTGTGTCACTTTACCCCGAATTTCGGGAAGCACTTGAAAAAGTCACGTCTATTGGGGCGTTGGTTCTCTTGAAGGATCTTCAAACCAAAGAGGAGCTAATTGTTGGTAACACACATCTCTTTTATCACGCTAACGCTTGTCATATACGTTTGCTGCAGGTATATATGTTGTTGTATAAGCTGAAGATTTTTGCTGTGTCGCAGCCTTCTGTCGTTCTCTGTGGAGATTTTAACTTTACTCCCACAACGGGCGGGTACAGGCTTGTGACGAGGGGTCAGACGGAGGCGGAACATCATTCCTGGAAGAAAGGTGAGCTTTTCTATTGGGGATGTGATCGCATGCTGGGTGTCGGCACAGAGGAAATGGAGGGGGTGGAAGAAGCGGCTGAGGAGGGCGCGTCATCGTCGGTGCCGGTGACTCAGCCGGACAAACGTCAGCCGCCATTTGGGGCATTTCGAGAAACCCTTAGTGCCCCATTGCAACTGAGGGATGCGTACAGCGAGACGGGGCAAGAATTGCCCTGGACAAATTATGCCATGACTTTTCGCGAGGTCATTGATTACATATTTTTTTCACCGACGCGTCTCTCCGTTCTGCGCACCGTTCCGATTCCGCCGGAGAGCGAACTATCGGAAAATGTGGCGTTACCAAACAAGCAGTACCCATCCGATCATCTCGCGTTAATTGCTGACTTGGTGTACACGTCCTCTTCGTCGTCGTCATCGTCGTCATGCTGAACGCCGTTCGTCTGCGAGGAGCTGAAGAAGAGCCGCCGGAGTTTCCCTTTTTTTTTTTTTTTTTTCTTTTCTGGTCTCTCTGTGTGTCTGTTTGTGGGCTACACCATTTGTTTCCTTTTTGGGTATTTGTGGTGGTTCCTTCCGTAGCATTGTTGCTTCTTTCTTTTTTGTTTTTCTCCATTCAATTTTGAACGGCTGTCGGCCCGTGAGTCCGCTGATCGATGGATTTGGCACACCGCCACCCAAAATACGAGGAAAAAGGAAGAGGGATTATGTTAATGGCGTGAGAAAATATGTTTTTATTTGTTCGTTCCTACTGTTGTTTTTCTTCTTGAAAAGCGCCTGTTTTTTTTTTCTTTTTACGTGTGTTTTATGTATGCATGTATTTTTCTATGTACGATATTTCTTCTTTGCGTTTGAGGCTGCTGTGGGGTGTGGGGGAATATACATACATGTGGATGTAGAAGGGAGAGTGTGTGAGGGAGGGAACAAAGAAAACAACACGGGACACCTCCACAGAGAAAACAGGACATTTTACTCCGTTGAGTAGTGAACTGACGGCGGCACGAGATAACTCCCCCGCCCCGTCCCCTTCCCTGATGTTGTCCATCACCCGTCGCCGCGCGGATTTTGGGAAGGAGTTGTACGGCAAATTATCGACGCTCCCGGGAGATTTTTATGAGGCCTGTCGTAGTCACTTTGGAATTACCCTGCACCAAGACACATTCATTGGAGTCCGTTCGTCACAGGTACGAGGTTTGTTTTTGTCTACCAGCAGTACACCGCTGGAGGCCAATAAACCAATTGCCACTATTCCGCTGACAAGTCTCTACACGGTTTCTAACATTCAAAGTAAACCCAACACACTTCGTCACGTGACATTAGATGGTGTTCGTAATGCCGTGCGAGAGGAGGAGTTTAAGATGATGTCACCTCAGTTTTATCTGGGTCTTCAGTTCAGTGCCATCATCTCTAGTATTCCCGACATCACTCATGCGCGGGACGCAGAGGAAGTGGAACGAATTACGCAAATTCTCCGTGGTGGAGCCATGCCATGGGCTAGGTTGATTGATGATGAGGATTTTAACGAGCAGTTCATTTTTGGTATGTACGGTATGGCGCTGGATATGTGGCAGCGAAAAAGCTACGAGGAAATGACGAAGTTGTTTCATCACAATATTACAGCCATTCATGAGAAATTTCAGCCACCGTTTTCAGTAGACACGTTTAGACGCATCGCACGTTTAGTTCTGGCGCGTGTGGAGCACATGCCTCCACCGGACTATTACGACGGTTCAGCCGTGTGGCGTCGTGTGCGTCACTACATGCGCCAGTGGATAAAAAAGCCAGACCCGTCAGAAGTGTGCATGGTGCCACTGCTTGACCTGGTGAATCATTCTAATCGACCCAACTGTGGCTTACGCGTGGGTCCGAGTTCTGTTGTGGGCGGCAAAGGTGCCATAACACTTTATTCCATTGCCCGCATCAACCCCGGCCAAGAGATTTGCCGGCATTACAACTTTGCCATTAATCGTCCCAATGCCCTTTTCCGCTATGGGTTTTTGCCGTTTGACTTGATTTCCATCGTGGAGCACGACGCCATTGACGAGTACCTTGTCAAGAATCAGCACATGCTGCGAGAGGAGTCGGAGGAGGTGCGAATGAAGCAGCAAAAAGAGAGGGAAGAGATTCAGAAGCTGGAAAAGATTTTCCAACACGCACGCTCGGGAAGATGATCCAATAATGCAGTAAAGAATTAGAATCTGAAAATGCGCTTTTTGTTGATATGTAGTTGGTTGGTTGCTGCAAGGGCATTTCCTTTTTGTTGTTGTTGTTTTTCCGCCGCTGTGGGCATCGTCGCAGGGTTTTATTGTTATTTATTATTGTCGCCGTTACGATGTGTTGCTGCCCTCTTCACTTCCGCGGTGGCTCCCACATACAACTTTTTGTTTTACCACCCCTTTTTTTTCTCTCTCTCTCTTTTGGTGTCAGCACATTGGGCTGGTGGCTGGGAGGGAACCGTTTCCGATACGAAAGGAGGGGCAGCCGTTGGTGTTATTATTCATTTATACGCCAATACATGATCCCGCCCCAACTCCACTTTTGGTCCCGCAGCTCTCTCATGCGTCGCCTTTACGGAATTCATGCGGCTTCCCTTCCAGCTTATTGTGTTTTCACCGGGCAAAGGTGTGAGAAGAGACACAAGAAGACGGACTGTACCATGGGACGTGGGAAAAATGCTGCTGGCGTTGACGAGATGGCTGGTGATTCCTGCAAAGAGAAGCCTGTGCCTGGTGAAAGGCAGCCGAAGACGGGCATCGGTGAAAATGTGCGTTCAGATGTGTATTCTTCATTAATTACTTTCACGGAAGTCTCTACAGGAACAGGTGTGCGATGGTTGGATGTTGCCGGACGAACCCATTCGTGGGCCCATGACTCGTTTGTAGAAGAGGGCGAGTTTGTGGCTCATGCCATGGACGCACTTCGTCGTGGAGAACTGCCACCGGATATGATACTCAAAGTCAGTCATAATGTACGTCCGTTGCCATTTGTTTACGTTGAGGAGAGTTGGGCTTGTTTGACGTTGCGTTGTGCGCGACAAAACCCTTTTTGGTTTTCTATGATTTTGCCCGAGAAAGTAAAAGACTTTTCTGCGCCCGCATTGGACGATATACGGCGGTCAAAATATTCCAAATTGCAGGAGAGTGGAGAGGATGAGGATGACACTCTGGACTTTAGTGACGCGGACGATGATCAGGTGCGTCGTTATCAAGGAAAGGCATTGGGCAAGATGAAGAATGTTCGACGTAGAATGTCGTCCCAAGTCACGATAACAGAGTCAACAGATCGTCTTCATATTTTTCTGTTGAAAGAAAGCCAGACATCAAATGAAAAGAGCGACAAACCGAACAGGTTCCATTTGGGCCCCCAGCAAGCGGGAAAAGTCTCTCAAAAGGGCGGTGGAGACAGTAAATTGAACCCGTGTGCCGAACAGTGCTGGATAGTTACGGTCCACCGACACCGTTTGCCGTTTTTGGAGGAATTGTTGAACCAGTGGGTGAGAAGCAGACGACATGGGGATACATGGATCGACCTATTACGGCGAATTGTTCGCGGCGCTACGATGAGTGTACAGACTCTGGATCACAAAGATGCAGAGCGTCTTGATGAACTTGAAACGGTCTTGTTTGGATCTGCCACAAAATTGAATGAACTTTCAAAAATTCTCACGCAGTTGCATATTATTAACAGACGATTGAAGATACACGCTAACCTACTTCGTGAGACCCAACGCTGTTACATGAAGCTTTTGACAGTGTTGAGCCTGCCCGTACAAATTGAAGACCAAAGGGAGTTAGTTTATCTCTCCACTGTCTCATCGCTGGCCGATGAACTTCATGATCAGTCGCGTTTTCTTCTCGCGCTTCAGTTTTCCGTTGCAGTTTACGTGCTTGAGGATCATTTTCGTATTTTGACCCTTTTTACAACTTTCTTTATTCCCCTTGAATTAATCACCTCGTGGTTTGGGACGAACTTCGTTGGACTAGAAGACTTTATGGAGGATCCATGGGGTTTGTTCATTGCAGGGACCATGCTGGTGGTAACTGCAATTATCACGAGCGTGTGGATGCGTCGCCCTGCCGTGTCTTTGTCCTGAAAACAGTTTTTTTTTTTTTTTTTTTTTTTTTTTTTTTTTTTTGTGGCGCGGAACTTATTCCCATGGCAGTAGTGAAATCCCTTCTTCTTCTTTTATTGAAGCGAAGCGAAGTGGTGGTATGACTTGTGCAAGTTTTGCACGTCTGTAGTGGTGGGGGGAGGGACTCAGGGATGCCGCGTGTTGATGAGGCGCGTTCTTGCTTTACTTTGTTTCTTCTATGTTTTTTTTTTCTTGTTGTTTTTCCCATGTATATGCGCCGTGTACCAATGCTGTGGTTTTCCTTTTTGGTTGATGTGTTTGCGGCTGCGCCCGCGTGTGTGTGTGTGAGTGTGAGTGAATGGAGGGGCGCCTTGCTCTCTTCCCCTCCCTTCTTTCTTTCCTTTTTTTTTTTTTTGTTGACTACATGTTGTGCGTGCCTCGTATTTTCTGTTTTTCTTGTCTTTGTTGTTGTTGTTGTTGTTGTTGTTGTTTTTGTTGCGTTTTTTCTTTTTTTTGTGCACTTTATTTTGCCTGAGGAGAAGAGTTAACGTAATACGGGGCGTGAGCATCATTTCCAGACAATAGAGCGAACTTCAAGGAACCATTACTTTACTTTTCTGGTTCTTGCCCCCGCACAAACACAAACACCAGCGATCTATTCAATATATAATTAATAGGAAGGAAATAGAGATAAGGAGAAAGGGCCAATGAAGCCGTTGAATTCAAGACGTCGGACGCTGAAATCTAAATGCCCTTTGGCGGCCATTTTTCTTTCGATACCGCTTTTTTTTATGGTATTACTTTTAACGAGCATTGTTTTTGCGGAGGCATTTCCGTTTACGAAATTCTCTGGCGTTGTGGAACTAACGCCTGCAACCTTTAAGAATTTTGTGTCTTCCCACAAGCCAGTGTACATTCTTTTTTATGCCCCGTGGTGCGGTCACTGCCGCAGAATTCACCCAGAGTGGGAGAAATTTGCTCAGTCTGCCTACGGCACCGTCCGCGTGGGTGCCATCAACGCCGACGAACACTCGCAGATTGCAGGGCAGTTTGGCATTCGTGGTTTTCCGACCATAAAGTACTGGAACGTGGGTGAAAAGGACATCAACAAGCCACAGGAATACAATGGGCCGCGACAGGCGAAGTCACTTCAAGCCAACGCGATGAATCAAATCACTTCCTCTGGGATAAAGACAATTACGAGCAGTGATGCCTTGCGGGAGGCAGTACAAAAGGCACCTGAGAAGAAAATTGTGGTTCTCTTCTCTTCCAAGCCACGTATTCCCGCCATTTTTGCTGTTTTGTCACATTCCCCACGTTTGAAGTCTATGCCGTTTTATTTTGTTGGTGAAAATGCGAAAAAAGAAGTCTCGGAGGAATTTGGAGTGCAGGAACGCCCGAGCATCGCTGTTCTCAACGCCACGGAGGGCGACATCAAGACTGTAATATACCCGGGAAAACAGATCGCCTATGAGCCCATTGCGAAGTTCTTGTTGGCATGCGCAACAGATGATGCCGATAATTTGGATGCCGCGAAGGAAAATGCAGGAGAGCATCCACAAGAAAACGACAGTGGCAAGGGCAAGAATACCGCTGCGGCTGGTGGTGGGACACCCACGCCAGCATTACCCGTGCGCCCCGTACGACTAACCGCACAGTTGTTGGCGGACTTCTGCTTACCGGCGACACTGCGCGTACATGAACGAGCACCGCTGTGTGTGTTGTCGTTTACGTCCGCGTTTACTCTTGAGCGTGTTCACGAGATGTTTCACAACGAACCCCTTTTATTCTTCGAGGCAGATGCCGAGCGTGATGTCATTCTTTCTGCCCTTCGGAATGATCTTGGTCTGGAAGAGGTGGCCAACAGTGTTGAGGGTGGTGCCTCTCATCAGATGCTATTGTTACGGGCAGCGAAGCGTGACACGATCCGCTACAAGCTTCTTGACGGGATAGAGACAGTTGATGGCGCAAATGAAGTACTGCAGAGGGTGCTTTCGGGAGATTTGCAGCTCGGGAAAAAAGTGCTGCAGTGATGACTTTACGGAGTCCGGTATTCTTTCGGCGTGGGTAGGAGGCATGTTTTTTTTTTTCTTTTGAACTTGCGTTTGCGCATCTCTTTTTTTTTTTTTTTCCATGAACTCCCACGATTTGCATTTATTTCTAGAACCGCCATGATATTCTGTGTCTTTTTTTTCGTTTTGTTTTCTTCCTTTTGCACGTCCTTTCGCTTGTTGATATGGACGCGTAGGAGTGCGGCGAGTGTTTACCAACAGGGGGGAAAGGAGAACGAGAAAGAGAGAGAGAGAGAGAGAGAGAAGGAGGCGGCCGAGCGGGCAGTAAGGTGCCTTTGAGAGCGGTAGAGGGGGATATAAACAAAGGGCAGAGGAGGATCTTCTTTGGCGACGGAGTAAAAGTTGACAAGGACATTAGCGCGGACGAATTCCACACAGAGTAAGAGAGGCGACCAAGGGAAGGAAGAAGAATGGGCGCATGTATTGCCCCTGGAATAATCCACGCAATGTGGGGCGCGAAGCAGCGGAAGTCAAAATTGATGGAGAAGCATTACGAATTGCAGAATGGCGGCGATAATGGTAGTGCAACTGGGCTGTTGCCTGCATTGCTGACAGAAAAATTGGGGCTTGTGAGCTCTCAATCACAAACATTTCTGGAGGATTTTATGGAGGAGCTTTGCCAGGGTCCATATGCGTCACTTTTTTTGGCTCATCCGGATTTGTTATTTTCTAATCGAGCAGCTGTCATGTGCACAGGAGAATTTGCTCCGGGGGAGGTTGTGGGAAAATACTCTGTCCTGGGTTCCTTGCCAACAGGAACGGTGGGTCGAAGTTTTCTTGTCAAAGCACCACCGGAGGAAAGAGGAAGGGGACGAGGCGGAACGATGGGAAAAACAGGGAAAAATGTGGGGTCCGAAAACAATGTGAGCTATCAGCTTAGCAGCAGTCTCACCTCACAGTCTCCAGAAAACGTTTTTAAAGTGGTCACGTTTGTCACCCGCATGAACTTGGCCGAGCGTGTCTTGGATGACCATAAAGTGCTGACGAACTTGATTCACGATAACGTTCTGCGCTGCGTGGATGTACTGGATGATGGACAGCATGAGAACTTTGTTTTTGTCTCTCCGTATATTGAAAACGGCAGTTGTGAGGCTCTCGTAGGCAAACTGGAGACGAAGGAACGATTACTCTCCCTGCTGCATGATGTTGCCGTCGGCCTTCGTGTCCTGCACTCTCATCGAATCTACCACCACAACCTCAAACTGGACAACATTCTCATCAAGAACAGTGGCACGGCTTGTATCGCGGACGCTGGATTTGGACATATTTTTGCCTCTCAAAGTTCTGAAGGCCTTGTTTTCAATGGTGAGTTGGCTTGTATGCCGCCCGAGGTTTTTCAAACCGAAGATGTTTCTGCAATAAATCATTTTAAGGCGGATGTATGGGGCTTTGGAGTTTTAATGTATCGCCTCGCCTACGGCCGAAAACCGTTGGATGTTGAAGGCAAACCTTTCGGAACGATACGGGATTCTGTGTTGCATGGGAAAATAGAGTGTCCGGATGCGGATTGGGTTTCGGATGTCAGTTTCCAAGATGTTGTACTGTGGTGTCTAGATCGTGACCCCAATAATCGGCCTTCCATGATCGAAGTGCTGCGTCACCCTCTTTTCGGGGAGAATGTAAGACAGAGCATTAGTGGGAGCACAATTTCTCCCCCCGCTGCCGCAAATTCTCATTATGGCGGAAAAGTTGGCTCAATTGCTAGTCTCAGTACCATCGGGGCACGATTTTCGCGGTCTCAGAAGCGAGGTGGCTTGCCAATAAGTGAAGCTTTTGTCAGGGGGCGAAACTGTGAGACGTTTCTTGTAAACTCGGCTCGTAACATGACGAAGATTGTTTTGAAGGTCATGAGGCGATCGGTAATGAAGAAGTTGGAGAATTTGTCCTATGCAGGCAACATTCTTCATGACTTGGCCTTCTGCCGTGTGGCCCGTCACCCCAATATATTGCATCTTGTGGAGATTGTGGAGAACAAAGATGGCTGTTTTGCGACGCAACCCTATGCGGAAGGGGAATTTCTTAGCATGAATTTCCCTCCGCTTACAAATATTGAGGATCCTTATTTCACTTTAAAGGGGATGCTTGTGGATGTTCTCAGAGGGTTACATTTTCTTCACACAAACGGTGTCTCACACTTATGTCTAACGCCGTCTAATATTTTCTATCAAAGAGGCGTTGGTTTTGTGTTGGCAGACTTTGGCCCCCTGTTTTTAACCAGGGACGAGGCATTAACAAAAGATGATATGGGGAATTTTTGGTACTCATTTCCTCCATGGGTTATTGAAGATCTTAAGAAACCTTTACATAAGACAAAACATGCCGTGGACACTTTTTGTGTCGGATTACTTGCGGCCTCAGTGATACCAGTGGTGTATAAGCAAGTCTGGCAATCCTTTTATAGTGGAAATGAGGGCGGTACTATTGCGCAAAATGTCATTAAGAAGGTTGAAGAATTTTTAGATCTTCTTACCCAACCAGTTTTGAGTTTTATTTCTAAGGCGATCACGACCAAGACGTCTGCAAAGGAGCTGTTGTCTCACCCGTATTTGGCGGATGCGTTTGATGATTCCCAACTTCTTGGTGTCAAACCTTTGCAGCTGTCATCTGCTTCTATAAAAGGTGCGGTATCTCTGGATTTTAGTTTTCGTGAGGAGCGCCGACTTATGGACGTGGTGGGTCAAGATCCCATAATTGATACCGAATTTTTTGGTAATTCGAACTTTGTGGATTCCATTGTCCATGAGGAAAGTCGAGCCAGTGTGTTTGACCCCAAAGAATTGGATTCCTCTGTGCTATTGCATTTTAAAGATAAAATTGTCTGTGGACTCTGTCATGTGGATTTGGCAATTGTGGTATTTCGATGTTCCGTATGTCCTTCGTACATTCGATGTGGAAAATGCGCCCTGAATGACGACCATGAGGAAGGTCATGAGATGAAGCCGTATCTTATTCACACCATTGAACATAAAGGGGATGGAAACCAGGAGGCCATGCTTCTTCCACCAAGCAGTATTCACAATGCACATGTCTTGGAAGAGGTAGAGATGCAGGCCAACTTGCCGGCTGGATCTATTGTGGATATCACAAATTGCCTTTCGTCACCTAAAGGAATCTCATTGAGTCATTTTAAAGTGCAGTGTAGAAAAAATAAAAGTAAAAAGAAGCTTCCCAAAGCCTGTGAGATCGATGATTTGTCGTGGGAGGAGGAGATAAACAAATGCCGTGAAAATGGTAACCCAGAACTGTTGTTGTATCGTTTTGATCTGACCTCTGTACCGAGGGAAGTGTTTGACCCGCCGCTACTTCACGTGGTAAGTTTGGATCTTAGCTACAATAAATTAACGAGCATACCGCATGAGTTATCGTTTTTGCACAAACTTCGTAGTTTGGTGATTGCAAGCAACGAGCTATCGGAACTCCCAGATAGTTTGGGTAACTTGAGCCAACTGGAGCGACTGGATGTAAGTCATAATCAGCTTCAACAGCTCCCGCAGTCTTTTATGTATCTGTACAACCTGGCTACTCTTTCCATGGACTACAATAACTTTGCCGGTATTCCGGAGAGCGTTTTGGAAATTGTGACTACCGCCCCGTCGATGGCAATGTTATCTGTCATTTACTTGGCGGAGAATCCACGCATTACCGAATTCCCAGATCAAGAAGTTCTTGAGAAATTTCCCAAATTAAAGCTAGCACTTGATAATGAGCCGAATGTATACCGAACGTACATTTCAGAGAAATTGGAAGAAAAATTGCCCAATGTCAGCATCATGTGGAACAAAATTTACCCTGATCGCATTGTTGAGCATGTGTACTGCGGTAGCCTGCGGAGTGCACAGTCTCAGCTGGTGTACGATAAACTTTCCATTAAAAGTCTTTTAACCGTGGGCCGGGAACTTGTCCCAACACCGCCAATTGGCGGTGATCATTTGACGCTCAGTATTGATGACATTGAGGGTGCAGATATCAGACTTACCTTTCAGGAATCGGTTGACTTTATTGAAAAAAGCGTAAAAAAAGGAAGGGGATGTCTTGTACATTGCTTTGCTGGTATGTCGCGCTCTGCGACAACCGTCATTGCATATCTTATGATGAAAAGAGGTATGCGTCTTGATGAGGCGTATCTTAAGACTAAAGAGGGGCGTCCTGCCATTTACCCAAATCAGGGCTTTTTTAATCAGCTTTTACAGCTAGACGCCGAGTTATTCCCACAACAACGCCCACTGAATATGGCGGCGATGGAGAGAGATGATGTTTCTAGGCCATGACAAAGAAGAAAAATTAAAGAAAGAGAAAAAAGCAATATGTGTATATTTGTTTATAGGTCAATTTTTTTTTTTTTTCCTTCTTGACGGATGCTGTTTATTTATTTTCTTTGGATTTTTTCTTTTTTTGTTTGTTTGTTTGTTTTTGTTTTCACCGTTCATATTTGTTTTGTTTTTTTCCACGTACGCGGCCTTTTTCCATGTAATGAATCTTTTATTCTCTGTATATATATGTAAATACGTACATATTAGAGCGGAACCAAAGAGAAGGAAATGTGAGAAGGGGCGGGATGAATTTTATTCTCTTGTGTATTTTTGGTTTGTTTTGTCTTGTGTCCTTTATTTACTTATTTTGTGAATTATGCACTTTTAAATATTTTGACTGCTATTATTTGGTTTGGCTTTTTTTTTTTTGTTTTTTTTTTTTGTTTTCATGGAGATGGGTTTGTCTCTGATGACATGAGGAAGAGCAGGCAGCCACGCCACCGCAGTACGTCGCCCCCTCCACCCAACGTGCGGAATTAAATGGTGACAGACGTCTGTCTCTCCGTTTGTGTGGGTGGGTGTGTGCAGGACGCCGGCGACGCGAGGAGGGGGAGGAAAGTGCGGCGCATCCTTCATGACAGAAAAAAAGGAAAAAAAAAAGGCTGTATGAAAGAGCGGGGACGCGTATTCTGTTGCGTTTTAACAAATTATCCCACCGTGTCTTTGGGACGCAAATTAATTCTGTGGCGTCCGATCACGTTCACGCATGGAAACTTCTTTCCTGACCGTGTTTTTTATTTCTCTGAGAGGCGGAATTCCCATCTTTTTTTTTTCTTCTTGCTGTTGTTGTTGTTGTTGTTGTTGTTTTGAAGTCTCTTTTTGTTACAATCGTCTCCGTGGTGCCTCATGCAGCTTCTGGATGTACAGCCATACGAGACGGCTTTGCAACGATTGCTGCGCGCCGGAGTCTGCAGCGAAGATCAGTTGCACGATTATCATCTCTCTCAGGCATTCCGTAGCTTGGCATATGCTGTGAACCGTGCGTCTCTCTCCGTTGCTGCTCTGCTGCCCTCGCACGGTCCTCCGATATCCAATGAAGCACCGCTTTCACCCCCGTCGTCCGGTCTAACATCCTCATCCACAACCAATGCGGATGCAACAGGCAGTGCAGTCGTACTGTGTCGCATGTGTACATGTGCGTTGGCCTCCCAGGCGAGTTTAAGAACGCTGATATACGTATCCACACGTTTACTGTGCGATGAGGCTTCGGCATTTGGTGAGGGGAATGAGCGGCCGTGTTGCACAACAGCGTGGGTCGAGGCACTTTGTTCCCCTGGTGTCAGAAGATCATTCCTACACAAACAAATGGGTGTTCATCGTCGTCTCACGTTGGGCTATTTGCTTCTTCTTTCCGGTACAGTCCGCGCTGTGACTCATGGCTGTGCCAAGGGCAAGCGACTTCATAGCCATTTTGTGCAATTTGCCCAACAACTACTGGCTGACGTGGTGCCGTATGTGGCACTGATAGCGGACACAAGAGAAGCCACGACACTGGCAGACGCTGCTTTTGTGGACGGTGATGACGCATCATTACGGGATGGGACAAAAAAGGAGTTGCTCGTGCCTTCTCTTATGACAGTGGAGGCGAACAATACACTGCTGCATTTATTTCATGGGATTGCGCTGGATGTATTGGAGGTTCATCAACATGATGAGAAGCAGACAACGACTAGTCGTCGTGCGGTGTTGGATCGTGATGCTCCGTCCCGTATTTGGTCTGTGGTGTCTATTTTACAGAGGGCATTACTCCGTGCGCTTGAATGGGTTCAGAGTGAAATTATTTGGGAAATGAGTTCCATCAACTCTGCGGATCCTTCAACGAAAACGCAGGCGGTGAATGAGACCTTCGCAGTGGTCAGAATTGCTCTTGAGGATGGATTTGCACAACTGATTAAAAAACAAGAAACACTTGAATGTTCTCGGCGAGCTGTTGAAAAGCAATTTGGGCAAAATTCAAAGGACTATCACGCCATCAGTGGCATGATGTGGACAAACACGTTGCGACTTTTCTTTTTTTGTCGGAGCTTATCAAATGCGTGGACATACATTTACGGCGGCCTTGGTGAAATGGGGGTGCAACACACCGATGAACAAATACTCGCTCTTATTGCCTCCTTTGTGTCTTCTGTGCCATCATTTGAGGGAGAAGAAAAGGAGCATGACGTGTTTCTTGCCACCACAATGCTTCTTTCAGGAGCGCTTGCGGCTGTAGCGGCGGCCCCTGCTCCATCGATGCAGGCTGCACTTTGGTTCAGTGAATTGAATTTAACCCAACAAATTCATAATACGATTGTTCAACGAGGACTTCGATACCGGGACGAGAATGTGCAAAAGTTGAGCGCCTTGCTGTCGCGGCTAATATTGTACAGCTCATCTAATAACTCCGCCTTTCGCATTATTGCAGACTCTCCCGATCAACTGTTGGAACTTCTTTCGAATGGCCGCGATGGGGCGTCGCAGTGCGTCATTGGAGTTATGATACGTGCGGCCGTTGAGCGACCCCATTTCATTCTTCCTTCACTTTTTCGCTTGTTGCAGCATGGGGACACCAACACGAGACGCAATGTTCTGGATGTACTCTCCGCGCTTCCAAAGGCCTCCGATGACTCTGCATACGGAGGAGCCATTGCACCCGAGCGGATGCGGCCTGTATTGCGACTTCTTTCGGAAGAACTGTTATTGCGTATTCAAGATGAGGAACTGCAAATCCGATTGCAGAGTTCGAAACTGTTTGCAAAAGTATGGCCGGAAGATGTTTGTCGCTCATTGTTGAAGCTGGCGACGCAACGCGACCGGTCTGTTAAACGAAAATCTTCGGCGCAGCAGGCTTTACGCTTAGTTGTTGAAGCCCACACTAGCGATGGTAGTGTTGTGTTACTGCTAATAAAAGAGTCCTTGACTTTGCTGGGAGAAAACGTAACATCTATCTGTGCCACCCCCTCCACACCAGCTGACATTTTGGCGTTTGCAACATTGCACTGCGGCACACTCCAAGATACCGTTGAAAGTCAACAAGTAACCAATTCCTCTACTGAGGAAGAGGGAAATATTAATGAGCGAATTATGCGACTTGTTGCATTGTTAGGACGACACTGGGCTGAGGGGGTAATAAACTGGACAAAGGCATGTATTCTCCCACTGCTTCAGCGTGCTATGGAGGCACGAGCTCCGTTGGAACAAGAACTTCTAGTTCGCGTGATGTCACAGATAGCTTATGTATGCGGTGCGACCAATGAGGGCTTAGTTGCACTCTCTTTGAGTTGTCTCCATATCATGAAGCCCACAGAAGAGGGCACAAGCAATTCAACTGTCTGGCTTGAAAATCTCACTGGGCCTTCAACGGCACTGAGCTCGGACGCGTCAATTTATCAAATAATAGCACCATTGCTTTTTCTTCGGGGCTGCCCCAGACGAATTTTTGCCACATTTGTCACGGTGACGCAAATGCCACCACCCGTTGCGGAGATATGGGAATTCCTGTGGAGCGTTCTTCTTAATCCAAATTATCGCGAAGAATTGTCACTCGATGCTCAGCGCCTAATACTTGAACTGGTGTGCAAGTACAACGCCTCTGTTATGATGGAGCAGCTACGCCACCTTGGGTCACGATACATGAAAGAGGGTTTTTTTTCACTTGTTGATGGTAGCATCGCCTTCTTCATATGTCGTGTCGGTTTCTTTTGTATTGGTTTCCTTCTGTCCCAAAACCAGGCATTATTTTGTTCGAAAGACATGAAATCTAATCTTGGCTTGAATGAGCATGAAGCTGAAGAAGGAGAAATGGTGGGAATGGTCGCCACTGCGGAAAAAGAAAGGGAAGAAGAAATGGAAGTTACTGAGCTTGTGAGTGGGGCACAGATGGTTGGACGTTGGGCCGAAGATGTTGTGTTGCCGTGGCTTTTGAGCGAGGACGACGCAGGGATCTGCGATGTTCCTTTTCCTGTGGATTTTCAGCGCCTAAGCCGGTCTGCAGTGGAGTGTTTAGCGATTGTTATGATCGCTGCGTTAAATCGCCAGGCGTTTAGTGATACCGTTACCCCTTTTGTCATGCTGCCACTCACTCAACTGGCACAGCACTGTAGGGAGCGGGTCAATTTTTGGAAGGAAAATTGCAGCGCCACCGATGCACTTGTTGAATGGAGTCCCTCCCCTCACTTGCTCGGACGATTTGAGTTTGCCATTCATATTCATCAGAGAGCCCTCAATCTGCTGCGGGCACACCCTTCAGGGGGGACGACGATAGGCTTATATTTTAAACACTACATGCCGCCTTTAATTGAGCTTGCCAATGCAATCTGTACCGCAGTTTTGCGTCTTGGTAAGAAAGATATTGCTCAGGTAGCCGTTGAAAGTTGTCACGCCCTGTTTTTGGCTGTGATGGCCTCAACCGGCGCATCTCCAGGATTATCTGGCGGCGAGACACTGAAAGGGCGGGCAGAAGCATCAAAAAGTGTACTGATGTTTCTTGATGTCACCGACCGAAACGCGCTAGTTACCTTTGCCGTGGGGAGCGCCAGGTACTCCGATCTTCCACAGGTGCAGTCCGAGGGAGTGAAGTTACTATCGGCGCTTTTGGGTGCAGCACCAGAAATCTTTGTGACGGAAGCTAACATGGATGAGGCACCGTTAGGAGAAGCTCTTACCGTCTTGGGGTCGGTGGCGTTGATGCATCCCGACGCCAAAACCCGCGTCATTGCGGAACAAGTTTTGGGGGTTTTACAGGCGAACTGATGCCTTTTCAAAGGTGTCTGCTTTCAGCGTCCCGGTGCAAATTTATTAGGTTCTCTGTTTTTTTTTTTGCCTGGGAGGGGAGAAAAACGTTATCTATCTGTGAGTTCTTTCTCTCTCTCTCTCTCAAGACAGAAATAAAAAAATATCAACAAGCCAGCGACGAGAAAAATTCATGTATTTTGCTATGCAATGGAGTAAATCTATTATTTATGGTTATTTGTTGTTGTTGTTGTTTTGCTTGCGTTATTTTTTAACTGCCTTTTTTATAGATGCATATGCGACCATGATGCACGCTTGGTATGCGCTACCATCCCCGGCAGCGGTGAATCTGCCAATGACACTCTGTGGTGGACAGTGTTTCCGGTGGCGTCGGACACCACGAGGCACATGGGTTGGTGTGGTGGAACGTGGAGCGTACGAACTCTCTGATGCTGCCCATCCGCCCGAATTCCAGGCAGTCTATTCACGTGGGGAAGAAAAGCGGGGAATGAGGCCCTCTTTGTCCCATCCTTCTGACGACCTCTCTGGGGATGTTCTTTGGTTTCGCTGTCTTCATCGTGAGCCAAAGAATGCATCGGATTTGTCTACAGAAGCCTGTTTTTTGCGGCATTACTTGGCGTTGGATGTGGACCTGCAGAAATTATGGCGGCGGTGGACACGTGACAATCCCATGAGAAACCATCCTTTGGTTCGTTACCTCACCTCCAATGCTGGCAAAGGGCCTTCTGTGAAAATTCGTCATTTGCGACAGAACATTCATGAGACCCTTCTAGCATTTCTTTGCTCACAGAATAATAACGTACAGCGCATCACAGGACTTGTGGAGAAATTGGCCACCTCGTATGGAGACCACTTGTGTGATTACAACCTTGAAACAGGCGATGTTCGAAACGTGGGTTATTTAAATCACAGCTCCACGAGGTCTACAAAAAATGCAAAAAGGGCTGATACGGGAGATGGAGATTGGATACCTTTACATACTATTCCCAGCATGGATGAATTAGCTAGACGGTCGGAAGATGAACTCCGCGCGTTGGGTTTTGGGTACCGCAGTAAGTACATCGTTCAATGTGCCTCCATCATTCAATCCAGTGGTGCAACCAGGCGGAAAAAGGAGGAAGGCGTGAATTGCTTTTGTTCCTCCATGCAGTCTTACAAGTGGTATGACGATCTTTTGGACCCTTGCCTTAGTTTGTCTGATCGGCGAGAAAAACTTCTGTCCCTTCCCGGAGTGGGACGAAAGGTTGCAGATTGCATCCTTCTATTTGCGGTGGGTCATCATGAAATTGTACCTGTCGATACACACATGGCGCAGGTGGCAACAGAGTACTTGGCTGGGACAGCGACATGCGGCAAAAAGGTCTTATGCAACGGAATGGGCGAGAAACGAAAACGCAATTCTGAAGGGAAATCTTCCCTGACGGCAGTATCAACGGATGGATCTTGTTGGGAAAAGGTTTTGGCAGATTGGTACAGAAAAGGAAAGGAGCGGGACATGAAAATGCCGGCGCTTTTGCACAAACATCATGATGCCATTCAACTGGGGTTTTGGCATCTTTTTGGTGATTACTGTGGTTGGGCACATAGCATTCTCTTCTACGCACGCATGCGAAGAGGGCAAAGAGACAACTGAATTTAAATTTCTATCCTACGATGCTTTGAGAGCTTTGGAGTGCGGCGTGTTAAAACTCTCTTTCACCAACATAAATAAAGGAATAAAATACATTTATTTTATCTCCCCAGAAGTAGAATGTGTGGCACATTCTTTGTTTCATGCGATGGGGAGGAGCATTATTTGAATAATTAATGTCTTAATTGTAGTGTATATAGACAGATATATATATGTGCATACATGTCTATTGAATAAGTCCGTTGTGGTGTGGGGATGAATTTGATTTTATTTCCATTTTTTTCTTCTTATTCTCCCTTTTGCACGTCTCGATGGGGTATGGAGATGTCGTGGAGTATGTGAGGCACACACACACACAAAAAAAAAAAAACATGTATATTGTAGAAATGCATTGTGGTGTGGGTTTGTCTGGCGGAATGAGTCTGCCTTGCCGTACGGTTGAAATTCACATCGTCAAAAGGTCATGACAAGGATCGGATACACACAGTTACAGGAGGTCCTGCTAAAAAAAAAATGACATCGTCATTATCCTCATTAACTCCGGCGTCACGTAATGCGGTTGTGACGTGCGTATCATCCCCCCGTCCAGTCAAAACGAAACATATTCCACAGTGAATGGGGTTATACGGGTTCTTGCAGGAAAGAATGAGTTCTTTTTCCGCTTGAAAGCACTTTCTCTGTTGGAGGCGCACTTTCTTGCATATTTCTCGCATCCAGTGCACATATTTTTTTTTTTTGTGAAAACATACTCAACGGGATGAAAATGGCGATAACGTGTTTGATACCGTCGGCACGTAGGGTAAATATCTGAGGATGTGGCAAGGTTCTGGCGGGAGCTGCCGGATGGTGTGACGGAGGAAAAGTTCAATGCGTGGATGCGATCGATGCCACTGCGTAAATATCAGGGGAGAGGATATCGCATCATGTGCCGTTTCTGGGCAGGACTTGTTTGTTTGGCAATTGCCTTCTCTACATGCCTACGAGTATTATTGGCGGCTCGATACAGATTCTTATCTAACGAGAGATATTTCATCTGATGTGTTCAAGCTGATGCAGGCAAATGACTGCGTGTATGTCTATAGACGCATTCGCGGTGAAAATCCATGCGTTGTATGGGATCTATGGTCAACATTTTTGAGGAGGGCCAATATGACGTTGTCTTCGGCATAGTTACAATGAGTGAAGAGTGTTGCCATAAGTAATATTAAGAAAGAGTACGAAGGAAGGATGTAATACAATAAATTTGAAATTGGCGCGATGAAGTTAAAACGTCATTCGCTGTATCGTTTTATTTTTTATTTTCTGGACACGGAGGAGCCGCGTGGCATCATGCGTTATCGTTGGGGTGATTTACCGGTACACGCATTTGGTGTGGAAGCGGTGATGCAGCGTGAATGCTGGAAGAAGTGCCAATTTGACCAAAGTTTTGCTGGGTACAGGAGTGGGAAGCAATAGGGTATTAATATTGTGTTAATTGGCTCTTTATCGCTTTTATTACTAATGTTATTATTGTTGGTGTTGTTCTTTGTCGCTTTTCGTGTTTCCTGCGGCATTGAAGTGTGAATATTTTGCCGCATGCTCAAAGAGAATGTGTTAAAATGTCTCCTTATGGAATGCAGGCGTTGTCCTCTTCTCACTGTTTTGGGTTATGCGGTGCATTTGCCGTGGAACTGATTGTTGTTTCTTTTTTTTTTTGTATGCATTTATTTGGAAGAATTGCCTGGTTTATTTACCTGTTACTTTTTAATGCATTCTACTCCTGCTGTGTTCCTTTTATTTTTATTTTTTCTTTTTTGTGTGCAGGGGGTATTTAGGTGGGTGGGGGAGGCATCTGTTGAGATGGGCGAGGCGTTTGAGCTTCTGCGCTTTGCGGCTCTCTCTTCTGCCGTTCATGCCGACGCTGTTGAGTGCCTTGTGGATGACACTCGCTCTGTATTGTCGCGGATTGCCATGGATACGGAGCGGCTGGAAGCCCTCGAAGAGCAGCTCGCCGGACTGCTGGAGGAGCAGCGGCGCATTCATGCCGTCCGTGACGTGTTGAGTCGGTCGAGAAGCACGCGGAGTACGACGGAACCCACAAAGCGCGGAAAACACCCCACAGAAATAAGATCAAAGTTGGATACGCGAAGTCCGGGGGCGTCTCCCCCTGGAAATTCCCGGCTAGGCACCGAGAATGTTTTGCGATTTGCCTCCAGGGCCGTGCCTGAGGAAGATGTTCCCACAATGTCACGGGCGCCGCGGCGCGAGCATGTGGCGACGGTGGAAATATTGACAGACGACTTGCGGGAGGAAAAAGCGACGGAGGGGGAGAAATGCATCGATGAGATGGTGGAGCGCGTGAAGTCAGAGATACGTTCACTGGAGAGTATGTCCGTCAAGACAAAGCTGCGTGAGTTGGAAGCACTCAAACGCCGGATAAAAGATTTGGATGCGAACGCCATCATTGAACGGTATGTGGAGCCCTTCCGGTTTGGTGACGAGGTGGAGAGGCTTTGGGATGCCCCGGATGCTATTTTGGACAATACAAACATGGACCTGTTCATTTCCCGGGCATGCCAACGCTTCTCGGGTCGTTACGAAGACGCTCTGGGTGCCATTAGCGACTTTTCAGCATATGAAGATGGTGATGCGGCGCAGTTATTTGGTTCTTTAATTTACCTTGAAGCACTAACCTCTTCGTCCAATTACGACGCGGCTGCCGTGAGGACGCTGCAGGGCTTAAGTAAAGAATCGCTCCTGGAATACTACAGGGAGAAGAGACGTGCCGCTACAGTTAGTACCACCGTGAGACGTAGTCGTGTGGAGACGGTTCTGGGACCGGAGGAGTTTGGATTTTTACCGGAAGATTGGTGGAGTTCGCGGGCTCTTTTTATTCCTGCAGGCATTCAGTTGCCACCGGCGCGGCACATTCTGACGGCGCGATTCTCCTTCGCCGATGCCCATGAGCTCAACACTCTTCAGTCCGTACGGGTTGATTTTCAACGGAGCGTGGTGGATGCCTTTATTCGCATGCCGAAGGCGTTAGCAGAACTTCGGGAGCAGATAGAGTTTCAATCAAAGCACGACGAAGAAAGAGATGTTAGCGCCTCTTTGCTCCGTCTTTTGGTAGAAAATGAGAAGGGTGGTGGTGGTGACATTTGGACGACGATAGCGCGCTGCAGCTGAACGAGTTGACTTTAGTGTTTTATTTATTATTATTATTATTATTATTATTATTATTATTATTATTATTATTATTATTATTATTATTATTATTATTATTATTCCCTTTGCCTTTGCTGCATGCACTGTTGTGTGATTTTTTTTTTGGGGGGGGGGGTTTTGCTTCCTGCTGTTGTTTTTGTTCGTTCCTTTTTGCAATTTCTCCCACCTTGTGCGTCTGCACACACACACACACACACACACACGGAAGCGAGCAAACACAAAAACAGTTAAGAAGTAAAAATTTTTTCTGTCAAGATACACGTGGAAAGCAAGCAAATAATTAGGGAAAAAGAAAGTCTAAAGGCTCACATTCATCATTGTGAGGCTTCACCGTACATATTCATTGGGACCAGCGGGTTGGCACAGTCGATCGCACCGCAAGTTTTACAAATCAACATTCGGGCAAACTGACAACTCAGGACATCCTTTCTTTTTTTTTTCATCTTCATTTTTTTGTTGGTTTTGTTGTTGTTGTTGTTATTATTGTTGTTTTACGGTGGAGGGAGTTTACCACTTCTTTCTGTTCTTGTAGACGGCGTTTTCTATTGGCGTTTCTGCGCGTGGTTGGTCAAACTGCAGGTTAGTATCGCCTCCCTCTACGGCTATCCCTGTGTTTGTCCCTGCGTGTGAGAATTACACTGGAGGGTTGTGCCTCCTCTGTGGCATTTTTCCCTAAATGCCGGATGCCTCTATTCGTATTGGGCTCCTAATCCTGTGCATATTGACCCTTGGGCTCTCGTTCGGTGTGGGTAGCACGACTCTCCTATCTGTCTCCGGAGACCAGGCTCATGCGCAGGATGCTAATTTGCTGAAAAATGTGGAGACGGAAAGCGCTGGCGATGAAATTTCTGCTTCCCGTCCGGACAACAAGGAATTGGTGCCGTCTTACCGCCTCCATCCCTCAAACAGACTACTGCTGTTGCACAAGGATGGAAAGATCTCATCTTACGGGCTTGATAATGGGGTGCCAATGTGGACTGTAGATACAGGCGGAGATATGTTGCGTGTAGAGATTGAGAAGCATCCGACTGAACGAGTAATTCGTCAAGATCCTCTTGCGCTCCCTTTTCTACTGGAGGGCGGCATGCTTTTTACGAGACGTTGCGTGGCGCCATTTGGGTGCAAGAAGCAGATGCCAGAGCGTTGTTTTGACAGAAAAGGGATAGAGGTGGAAACGCGTCCCGAAGCAAGGCCTGGTGAAGCGAAAACTAGAAGCGGCTCAGGGGATTCATGTGAAATACCCTTTTCATCAACGCATCCACGATGCTTTATGAATCTCTCAACGCTAATAGAAAAGAAACATGTACAAGTTGGCGAAACGGATATATTTGTTACTACATCAGCGCACATTATGGATGTGGATAGTAATGATGGAAAACCGGTACCGGAAACAAACTCACTTTTCTCTTATCTACATGTTGTACGATATGACTTTACTGTCCATGTGCGACGTCCCGGTGAATACAGTTGGCATATGAGTATTGCTCAATACAAGCTCTCTGAAAAATCTCCTCTGCAAAGTTCCGAAGAAAATTTAAGTGACCATGATCCACTTTTTGTCTCTCGTGTGCTTCAGAGCCTGCTTCAAAAGGGGGATTGTGGCGACAATGAATATGTCCCTTCAACGAATGAAGAGAACACTGTTGACAAGGTAAATATTGAGCCAGTTGTGGAAGAGGGTTCTCATAACGATATTCGTAATAAGCAATTGATGATCCGAGAAGTTGATAGGAATACGTACGTCCTTTGGAGCGAATTAAAGCATGCTCCTGTTTGGTCATCCGTCGTAAACCCTCTCAGTACGGTCATGTCGGCTTTTGTGTGGTTCTCAGACAGGGGCAAGGTGCATTCTCTTCCTGTTTACCGTCTTGAAACACCAAGGAGCATCGCGGATACGGTTGAGATTTTAGAGCCGGAAAACACGGACTCCCTATATCTCCCATCTTCTCTCAACAGCGACCAGCACCGGAGCAAAATGTCCTTTAATTTGCATGGATTTCCCAATACGTGGGAATTCGACATTGTTGCCGATGAGCTTGAACTCCGTGAGCTTCAAAACTTATATCAACAGTGTTCTTGGATTCATGGGTGTGATGGCTCATCTGGGAATATACCAAATCATTCTCCCAATCAAAGAAATCCTGCAATGTCCTCACAAATGTCGCTTGTAAGCCGCTTCCCGTTGTCTCACACAGATACAGGGAATACATTGCTCTTACTGTTTAACGTCTCCTGCTATGTCGTTTCGTTTCTATCAGCATTTTTGGCCGTAATCTTCCGCTGGTACTTGTGGAATACGACGGGCGTTGGGCCAGACGCCTTTGTGGATCGCATCAGTAATTCTTCTAGGCCGGGCTCGATAAAAATGAAACCACTGGATCCCAAAATCTCTGCGCCCCAAAGTGTGAAATCCATTGACAGCGCATACAAAGAATTGGAGGCGTCTCATGCCACGGAGGACGGAAGGAGTTTTGATTCCATCACTCCACTTGCGGAAGCTGAAATGCTCCCACCGAGCACAGTAAACGTGGTGGGAACAAACTCAATGCATCATGTAGATTCATGGTGGCGATACTCGGGAGATGACGAAATTTCCATAAGTGACAAACCCAGCAGTGAGTGTCGCATTCAACCGAATTCAAATGTGTCATCTCAACTTTTTCAGCAGCAGTTCCAAAAGCCCGAAAAGATTGGATCCGGAGCAGAAGGAAGCGTTTTCCGTGTGAAGCACCAATTTACAGGCGTTTCCTACGCCGTCAAGGCTATTCGTATACCAGATGACAATGAGATATACATCCAAGAAGCCGTGCTGCATAGCACATTTGATTCGGTTAATGTTGTGCGCTTTTTCAATGCCTGGATTGAACGTGTGCCCCGGAACTTTGCGGAGACGCTTGGCATTCTTCATCGTGATGACACCATGGACAACATCTCAGCGGAAACGCTGGAGAGTTTTCACGAAACACCTTTTACGGAATCTGCCTCCAGTGATGCCTGTTATACCGTGCTGTTTATTCAAACGGAGTGGTTTGAGCGCGGCACTCTGGCAGACCACTTTGTTAGGAGAAAAGGGTTTACTCGTTTGGAGAATTTAAAACATCTTCTTCAAATTTCTGAGGGACTTCAGTATCTTCACTCGCAGTGCGTGGTGCACTGTGATCTCAAGCCGAGAAATATTTTTATGTCTGACTCTGGGATTATGAAAATTGGGGATTTTGGGCTTTCGAGAAAAAATCGTAAGCGGCCCCATAAATTGCGCGGGGATGCCGATGGGTTTACATCCAACTCGGAAGCAGGTGACGAGGGACACGCCATTGCCGCCTTTACTCCTCTTTACTGCAGTCCGGAACAGAAACGTGGGGATGCTGCAACCACCGCGAGCGATATTTACTCTTTGGGGTTGATCGCTCTTGAGTTTTACTGTGTTTTCACCACGCAGCATGAGAGGTTTTGCACACTGGGCGAAGCACGCCAGGGTGTATTTCCAAAGGAGTTTGCGGATACGTATCCGGTGGAGAGGGCCCTCTTTCAGAAAATGTTGTCGGAGGACGAGAGTTGTCGTCCATTGATGAAGGATATCGTTAAAGCCCTGCGACAGGGAATTAAGGAGGAGGAGGAGGTGATGGATGGGTTGATCATGCGGTCTAAGACGCTTAGCCCAATTGACGAGTACGAATCCTCAAATCCCGCGTCTCCACTGGAAAAATTCAAAGAGAAGGGAAAATTAACACGGGTCGCTCCAAAATTTACCAGATTATCTTTGAGCTCGCTGGAATCCACAGAGTTTACTCAAAACACATGACGCGCAAGCAATTAAAAAAAAAAAAAAAAAAAGGAGGGGATATATACATACGGTTATATGTACATACAAGATATAGATATATATACACATAAAGGTAAGGACGATGTAAACGCCGGGTTTCGATTATGCGTAAAATATTTATATATTTATTTTGGGTTGCTGCTTTTATACGGACACTGAGGGTTATTGCTACGACAACAACAACAACAAAAAAAAAAGAAAATGAAAGAAAAAAGAAAAAAAGAAAGAAAAAAAGAAAAGTGACACGTACCAAAAATGAAAAGGAAAAAAAAAGTTTGAAAAAAAAAATAATGCAAAGCAAAAATGATAACAAAAGGAATGAGTGTATGTGCATGTTTTGATGGACACCAATGGAAGGCATATATATATATATATATACCGGGCCTCCACTACCTGTGAATTCGTTTATTTATTCCGCCCCTCTTTTTTTTTTTTTTTTTCATTGACTTGTGTGGCTCACGCAAATTCACTTTTCTTCCATTTTTTTCTTCACGTAGGCCGTCACAGCCACTCACGGAGGAGAAAAGAGAAAAAAAAAATTTATGTATATCTTGACAGAGGTTTTTTTCTTTTTTTCTTTTCCGGTTGTTGCTTTTTTTTTTTTTTCCGTTTTTTCTTTTGTTGTTTGCGTGTGTGTGTGTGTGTTGAATGGAGGAGCGAATTTGTATGAATTTCAAAGATCTCTGCGTCCAATGTGTCAAATTGGCCTCCACGCCGTACACCCTACCGACAGGATTTCAATTGCAGAGTGAAGTGGGGACTTACTTGTTGTGTGCAGCTGTTGGCATTGGTATCGATGAACTGCGATGATTCTGTTTGGGGCATTTGGCGTGTGGGGTCGCAACGATGACAAGGATTTGGAAGGGAGGAATTCGAGTTTATTTTGCTCTTTTTTTTTTGGGTATGTGGAGAGGAGGAGGAGTTGGCGAAGAAAAAAAGAGAATTAAGGAAAGAACGAATGTAGGTCTTGGTAAACATATTTGTTTATTTTTTTGCTTTTTTTTTTTTTTTTGGCGTGCGTATTGTTGTTTGTTTCTTCTTTTATTCTGTGGGTTTTCCTCCACTCCTTTGGGGACGCAGATGGAACAGTGGAAAGAAGGGAAACCTGATCCTTGTTGTGATTGCATCCAAGTTTTTTTGTTTTTTTTCTGTTTGTTTGTTTCTCTTTCTTTCTGTGTGTGCGTGCGTGTCTGGTCGTCATGCTTGTGTGTTTCATTTTGTCGTTTTGCCTCCTTTTGTTTTCTTTTTCATTTTTGGTTTTTTTTTTTTCCTTCTTTGTGCCTCGCCACCCCCTTGTCGCTCACACTTCGCGCTGGATCCCCGGCGTGCCATTTTATCGACGGTTTGTTTCTTTTTTTTTTTTTTTTTTTCGTGTGTGTGTTGTCGTTGGAGGGGGATGTGAGCGGCGCAATGAGAAGAGGACGAACGGCAGATGAGTGGGGTGGGAGGAAAGAAGGGCAACTCGAGTGTGTTGTGCGGCCGGTAAAAAAAAAAAAAAACAGAAATAAATAAATAAAAGATGTCGGGTGCTTTGAGAGGAGAGCACGGCCTTGGGGAAAAAAAGAGAGAAAAAAGAAAAAAAAAGAGGAAAAAAGAAAGAAGTGATTGGATGAATCGGATGGGATCGACACGCAATAAACAAAAGAAGGAGGGATACGTGTGTGCAATACATTTTTATTACAGGAGTTATTTGTCCCTCATTATTATTATTATTATTATTGTGGTTGCCGTGATGTGTTTTTCCCCCTAGTCCTCCGTGCTTAACGTGAGGCCAGCTGGTGCTTGCTGCTGTTTATTTATTTGGTGTATTTTTTATTTTTATTTTTTGCTTTGCCATTTTTTTACTTCAAAGGGATTGTTTTTAAAGAAAAAGAAGGGGGACCGGTGAAATCGCACCTCGTTATTTTTATTTGTGATGCACAGTGGTGGGGTGCAGAAGGCGGCGGCAGGAGCACCGCAGCTGCCGCCGACCGCCGCCTTTTGGGAGGAAATGGAGATGCAGAAAAAAGAATCGCAGGAGCTTCAGGCGAAAATTGAGGCGTTCTGCAGTCTTTTTTGCCCGGAGCAAATGCATCTGGCGCCGTTTTTATCCGTTGAGTTTTGCGGTCGTGAGGAAGAACTTGAAGGAATATTGAGTGCCATGTACGGTCACTCACTCTCGAAGATGCCTCGCGCGAAAGGCGATGAGGAGAAAGAGAAGGGTGCGCACTCAACTGGTGGTGCGGTGACCGATTCAGATAACGATTTTATGGCGCAGGCCGTGGCTCTTTCATCTTTTTTTGGTCTCGGTCGTCATTTTGTGCCGGCAGTGTATGCGCAGACGAAGCGTACGAGGAATCGAAGAAGAATGTCGTGGGGAGCGTGGCTGCCAAAGGATGAAGAGGAGTTGGGTGCAGTGGAAGGCGTAGGAAAAGAAGAGGAGCGTCACATAAAACAAACCGTTCTGTTTGAGGTGATTGCTGCCCTTTTCCCTGACTTTTTATGCACTGTTTTGGAGGAGGGCGACCAGCGCACTGCCTTTGTGGCTAAACGGCTAGCCGCCTTTTTATCGTTTCATGAACCTGAGAGTGAAGTGAAAAAATATCTTGTGTCGCACGGCGGACGCACATATCTTGGCAGGAGTTTCCGTAACGTCTTTATGAAGCACTATTTCTCTTTTCTCAAAGAGTGCTCGGGAACAAATTTGTCTCTTGATGACCTTGACGAAGTGGGTTCTCTCTCTTCCAGTTCTGTTGTGACAATCGAATCTGCGGGTGGTGGTGAAGACACAACGAGTCGACGCCGTAAGACGAAGGCGGTATTGCGTGAGTGGACTACAGCATACGGGTTGCGTGCGCACTCCACTCCAATGCCCTCTAGATCGTGTCCTGAGCTTCATAACGTGGCAGTTGACACGGAGGAGCTAAGTGCGATGGAGCGAATGAGGGCAATTAAGTTGCGATTGAGCCGCACGGAAATGGGAACGATGACACAGTCGCAGCCACCAGCATTTGGCTTTGATAGCACCAAACCCGCAACGCGTCGTTTCTACGGCACGGGAACACCATTTTGGGGTGGTGCTCACAATGAGATACATGCGGCCGCAGCTCGATGGAAACAGAAGTGGCTTCAGAATCCAGAGGAGCACATATTGCCAAATCCTTCTATTGTCTTGGAGACCAACAGCTGCCAAAAATGTCTCTTTTTAGAGGCACAACTAGCGGAAACCAAAGCGGCCTTTCAACGTGCCTCCAGGAAGTTTGTTGCAAATGAGGAGCAGCAGTATTATAACGAGGCCTCATGCTATGCGAAGCAGAAGGAAATTCTTTATCCCTTTGATTTATCCGAGGCGAATGGCTCTTCCTCAAAAAAAATTATGCCGCAACATTTTGTTCAACCGTCTCATGGGTGTCTCATGTGTCAAGATTTGCGGCAACGCATTAAATGTCTTGAGCAAAGGCTGCGCGAAAGCTATGATAATTGTCGTGAACTTATTGTCAAGTTGCGCCGCAGCCAACTCCCACTACCGCCTCATATGTGTGTAATTTCTTCTTCTGTTAACGAGGCGAAGAAAAGGGATGTTTCCACAATGACAGAACTGACCGGACAACAGTTAGATGAGTGTATTGGGTACATGATCCTGGAATCTTTGTAGGAGTGTCAGTGGGCCCAGTCGCTTTTTACTTCTTGTGCCGTCAGCCTATAATATTATTATTTTCCTTTGGTGTATTTATTTATTTATTTATTATTATTATTTTTTTTTTTTTTGGGGGGGGGGGGGGGATGTGATAGAGTTTTTTAAATCTTGTTGTTGTTGTTATTATGGCCCACATTTATTCCTTTTTTTTCTTCTTTTGCCCCCCACGTTGATACGGCTGTCTTTTACTTACTTTGTAGTCGTTGTGATTGGGAGGAAAAGGGGTATAAATAAACATCGAAAAGGAGTGTCCTCCGTGCCTCTCTATTTATTTCTCTCTCCCTCCATCTCTCTCTGTGTATGTGGCTGTCGATCCCTCCCTCACTGTCTGTCTAACTTTTTGCCGCTGGCATGATGCGTCATTTGTTATTTGCTGCTCGCCAGTTATTGTTTTGGTTTGTTTTCCGCAGCCCCCACTTCAGCCTTTTCTTTTCTTTTTTGCGGTGCTATGCATCGCGGTCAGTTGCAAACTGATCGGTGCGGCCCCCCACGTTTCCCCACCAAGGCACAGACACCGAAACTAAAGGGAGAAGTGTGCAAAGAAATTGGGAAATGAGTCGTAAAGAGCAGGAAAGTGTGACGACGACGGTTTACGCTGTGCGTTTAGTGCACGCTGTGGTGCTGTGGTTGGCGGTGGTATTCTTTGGGATATCTGTGGTGTTCCTTAAACGTCGTCTGCCGCGGGCTACTCCGATTTCTTTTTACTTCTGCTGTCTGTTGGGCATCGGCGGTGTTTTCGTCTCCGCCCTCTATCAGCTGGCCGGTCCCCGGTCTGCGCGCGGTGGTGGTGGTGGTATTTTTTGGGTGACTTGGGCGGGTCTTGTCTGCTGGCTTTTGCTTTTGATGCGCTCTGTGCGTCACGCAAATCTCCCAGACGTATTGTTTGTCTTCCTGTTGCTTGCGCTTGTGGGTATGGAGTGCACCGGAATAGTACTGCAGTTTATCTCCACTCGTTCTCGAATTGCGGACATTCTCATGGATGCGTTTATTGCGGTGCCGCACATGCTTGTCTTTGTGACGCTTGTGGGGTGGGATTGGCTGATGGTGAATGACATTGCCCTCGTGTTTCGCGAAAACACCCCAATTGAAGGAGACAGATACGAGGGAAATAATAAGGATGATGATGATGATGATGATGGCGGCCTTGGCCATGTCCATGACAAAAAGCCCCATGCGTTTTTTTTGCTTCCTCCTAGTCAAGATATTTTCATACAGAGCTCGGCCGCATCCTCCTTGTTTGGTGAGAGTTTGCGCTTTGATGGGCACACGTCCATCATCCGAACAATCGTGCGTCACTGGGGTCCGACGTACTTCCTGCTCGCACTCGTGCGTCTCTTGTATGATTTTGGTGGACTTCTTCCGGCGTATTTTCTTCGTCAATTGGTGGACAATCTTATGCAGGCGAAAACAAGTGGAAAGAAAGGGAAAGATGGAGGAGCAGACATCCACATGTCTATTATCAGTGTTCTGCTTATTGTTATAATTACCCTGACCTGCACGTTTCTTCGTGTGCATTACAACATGAAACTACAGAAGATGTCGCTTTACAACCGAAATCTTCTAACCATCGAGCTTTTTCACAGCGCAATCAGATGTCGTCGACACCAATTAGGAAACCAGAGAGAAGGGGAAATTATGAATTACCTTTCCGTGGATGTACAACGTGTTGCCGATGCTGTGCAAACAATAAATGATCTTTGGGCCTTGCCACTTCAACTGGCATTTGCCCTTTATTTATTGTATGTTCAGGTATCTTTTGCTTTTGTCGCCGGGGTGGTTGTCACAATTATACTCATTCCTGTAAATATGCAGCTGGCTAAGCGCATTAAACACGTACAGACCAGTCTTATGCGTGAGAATGACGAACGTGTACTGACTATCACGGAGATTATGAACAATATTTTATGCGTGAAAATGTGCGGTTTGTCACATATCGTGCAGCGATGGGTGGAGATTCCACGATCACGATACATGAAACATCTTTGTTGGCTTAAGTTTTTGGACGCCTTCTGTGTTTTTTTCTGGGCTGTCACACCCACACTTGTGTCACTTCTTACTTTCATCACGTTTATCTGGATGGGAGGAAAACTAACGCCTGGCAAAGCCGTCACCGCCTTGGCACTTTTTGGCTCCCTCATCCTCCCATTAAATGCGTATCCCTGGGTGATCAATGGCTCTGTGGAGGCGTATGTTTCTTGGCAGCGTTTAAAGCCTTTTTTTTTCAGTTCAAAAGATCAGGGCTGTTTTTTTGATGGAACCACATCGGTTATACCTGGTGCCGACGACGAAGTGGTGCTATGTGACGTGAGGGAAAACATAATAAATACAAATTTACTAGAAGAGGAACAGAAAAGTCTGCACATGCCGGGGGAAAATCAACCCCTTTTGCAGGCAACGAATCAACTCATGTGTGGTGTGCATCCCGTGGAACAGCATCAGTTAAATAGTCCTAAACAACGGCAAGAGATTAGCTCGGATGTTTTGGTCGACATTCAACAAGGGGATTTGATTTTAGCGGCATCCAGTGGAGATGATGTTTTGGAGCAGTTGTTTACGTTGCGTATTTCAAGGTTTCAGGCGTTGCGTGGTCAATTAATAGCAGTTGTGGGACACTCTGGATCGGGAAAAAGTGCATTTTTAAGTAGTCTGGCAGGGGAACTTATTATGACACCAACGTTTTCACTTACCGTTGCACGGAGTTCCATGGCGTTTGTAGAGCAGGCACCTTTTTTAATGACGGGGACAATACGTGAGAATATTCTTTTTGGGCTCGCATTTGATTCTGCAAGATACGAGTCAGTGATTAGGGCGGTGGCTCTTGACGAGGATCTCCGTCATAACTTTGCCCCAGATTTGGATCGTACATTTGTGGGCGATCGTGGTAGAAAACTGAGTGGTGGTCAAAAAGTACGTGTGGCATTGGCCCGCGCTTTGTATGCTAATAAGGATTTGTATCTTGTGGATGACTTTATGGGTTGCCTTGACACGACGGTGGCTCACCACATTGTCCAAGAGGTTTTTGTAACTGCAGCACAGCAAGGGAAGTGTGTCATTGTTGTGACTCATAATGAGGAACTTATACATTACGCGGATGCCGTGTATGAGTGCGCAGGTGGATGGCTCGCCATCACGGAGCGATCGAAAGCCACATCTGCCTCATCCCCCACATGGATGCCACGCGAAATGGATCATAAAGGAAAAACGGAAGAAGGAATAGGTAAAAAGACGGAGAATGATTCTATTGAGGACGCAAAACCTTCTTTTAGGGCCCTGGAGGTGAGTGAGCATGGGGTTATTGCCTGGAGCACAATGAATTGTTACCTTCGCCGCGTAGGTTGGGGATTAACGGTGTTTATTGTCATCTCCGTTGCCGCCATGCAAGTTGCTCGGAACGCGAGTGATCAGTACGTTGTGGTATGGTCGAAAGATGGCGACGGGGATACCGCCGCATTTATACATGTTTTAAGTGCACTTGCTGTAATTAATAGTTTGTTGGCATTTATCCGTGGATTTTCTTTTGCAATTGGAGGTCTACGCGCCGCACATCGTATCCACAACGAGCTTTTGCATCATGTTATGTCCGCCACTTTTCATTTTTTTTCCAATACACCACCTGGACGAATTATCAATCGATTATCAAGCGATATTTACACAATTGATGATTCACTTCCTTTTATTATTAATATTCTTTTGGCGCAGACATTTCTTCTTATGGGCTCAATGATGATTATTATTCTTAATTCCACGGGAATAATTTTATTGACTCTCATCCCACTTTCCCTGTTATATTACCGCGTTCAGCGTCCATACCGTATCGTTTCACGCGAACTGCGGCGTTTGGAGGCGGCAGCCCGTGCGCCAGTGCTTGATACCATGCGTGAAGTGTTATTGGGTGGAGTGGTGATTCGAAGCTTTGGAGTTTCTGTAGCTCGATTCTACATGCATCGGGTAAATGAGCAAGTTGGGGTTCTGCTACGCACACAATACAACGCAGTGATGTTAAATTCATGGTTTGCTCTCCGGCTTGAATTGGTGGGTATTTTGTTGCTTATTCTTGTTGGAGTGCTTGCTATTTATTACCATGGAAACTCGCACGCTCCCATGCTGGGATTGGCACTTGCATATGTTCAACCCCTGACATCATATGTAAATGGCGTTATTGGTGCGTTTAGCTCCACAGAAAGGGATCTTATCAGCGTTGAAAGAGTTTTGCAGTACTTTTACTTGGAACGGGAAGATGTCATGGAGAGGGATGTGCCTTTGCTTTCTTTTGATTCGTGGCCCACTCGGGGAAAGATTGACTTTGTAGGTGTATCTATGCAATATGACGATTCCGGCCCCAAGGTGCTGCAACACCTCACTTTTCATGTAGAGGCAGGAGAAAAATTGGCCATTGTGGGGCGAACAGGTGCTGGTAAGTCGTCTATTTTTCTTGCCTTGCTTCGTCTTGTAAAATTGACGGAGGGATACATCGCCATTGATGATATCGACATCTGTCAATTGCCGCTGGATGTCATTCGTACCCGTTTGAATGTGATCCCACAAAATCCAGTCATTTTTCACGGCACACTTCGTAAGAATGTGGACCCACTGGGTTTACACTCAGATGATGAAATCCGTGCGGCTTTGGCTTGTGTCAACCTTGCCGATCTTAGTCTGGATTCCAACATAGTTGACGGTGGCAATGTGTGTGGCGGAAAGCAACATCAAATTGCAGTCGCCCGCGTGCTGCTCAAACGATCGTCTCTTCTTCTGTTGGACGAACCCACATCTCAGCTAAATTCTGAGGCGGAATCGTTGCTTTGGCATGTTTTGGGCACCCACCTGAAAGAAACGACGCTGCTGTGTATTACGCATAAACTATCACACATTGATTTCTTTGACCGTGTGATTGTTATTGACAAGGGCCGCGTTGTGAATAGCGGCTCGCCTTCGATTCTTCGCCGTGATGGTGCATGGCCGTTTGCATAAAACGAGGCCTCTTCCCCATTTTCTTAGCGTTTATCTTGGGCTGAAGTCGCGGAACGTGTGGAGCACACGAAGGGGAATAAAGGGGAGGGTGGAGGTCATTGTGGTCGCTCGTCTGAAATAATGGCCAGTGGATGAAGTCGTGTATTGTGTTTCACGCTGACAGCTCTCTCTCTCTCTCTCTCTCTCTCTCTCTTTTTTTTTTTTTTAGGAAACATTTGTTTGTGTGTTTTGTTTTGCTGTTTTTGTTGCTTTTGCTTTTTAGCTCTGAGTGAATATGAAGCCGCGGCGTCAGATGGTGACCATCTTGACGGGTGCTGGCATCTCTGCAGAGTCCGGCCTATCGACATTTCGCGATAAGAACGGTTTGTGGGAAAACCACCGCGTTGAGGAAGTTGCGTGCCAATATGCATTTTTTCGTAATCCGCTGCTTGTTCAGCGGTTTTATAACGAGCGGCGAAGAGCGCTTTTTTCAGATTGCGTCGCACCCAATCCAGCGCATTTGGCTCTCGCCAAGCTTCAACGAGAGTACCGTGGAGGCCGTGTTGTGTTAGTGACGCAGAATGTTGATAATCTTCACGAGCGTGCGGGATCTGTATCGGTGCTGCATATGCATGGGGAATTGCTAAAGGTGCGTTGCACAGCCACGGAGGAAGTGTTTGATTGGACCCAAGATGTGGTGCATGGTACGAGCCGATGCAAGTGCTGCAATGCAGTGGATACGTTGCGGCCCCACATTGTGTGGTTTGGTGAAATGCCGTTACACATGGATGAAATAAATGCGGCGATGGATGAAACGGATCTTTTTGTCGCTGTTGGGACATCCGGTAACGTGTACCCCGCTGCGGGATTTGTGACGCGGGCGAGAGAAAAGGGGGCAAGGACGTTGGAGTTGAATTTGGATTCGGGAACGAATTTCAGTGAATTTGATGAATCCATCTATGGGAAGGCATCGGTGATTGTACCGGCATGGGTGGATAGGCTGCTTCAAGACGCGGTGTAGGAGTCTGTGGAACGCATGCCCCTTTTTCCTGCCACCATTCACCCTTTTCCTTCTCTTCACTAATTACTGAGGCCTTTGCCACTTTGGTTTCATTTACCTCTGATATATATCCCTTTTTTATTATTTGTTTTTGTTTTATTTATGTTTTCTTCCCTTCCGTACATTCTGTGCTGATGTTTCTAACGTTTTCTTGGTTGGTTGCTTGGGTTTTTCCTTTTTTCTTTTCTTTTCTTTTCTCTCTGTCTTTTCTTCGGCGCCCTTTTGCCTCCGCTGCAAGAAGAAGTGAAGTGAAGCTAAATTCAACCGAAAAAGAAGAGTAACGCGGAGCGTCTCTCCTAGGAAATTATTAAAGGCAAAGGAAGAAACCCCGAGGATAAGAAAAAAGGAAACATATACATATATTTATCTACTCTTTGGCAGCAGAGCCCCTTAACCACGGCCTGATGACGTTGCGCTCCGCCATCCGTTATATTGGGTTGGTTCAAATCCTTCTCATTTTCATTGCATCGGGATTTCAACAGATCTCCAACCCCGCGGTGAGTGCCGCCTTGTTGGCGAAGAGCAACTTTCCCACGATGTTGAAAATGGCTGGCGTTGGGTATCGACTTAGCGCCTCCGAATACACAACTTTAATTCAGGCGTCTGGTGCACTCTTTCTTGGTTTCTCTCTCTTTATTTTGTTGGGGGTGGGTCGGTGCTTCTTCGCCTTCATGTTGGCGTTGAGCACCGTCCTTGTTACAGTTGCCTTCCACGTGGACCCTGAAAACCCGGGGAGGATAAGTAACACGGATTTTTTTCACGTGTTGAAAAATATTTCCATTGTTGGTGCCCTTCTGTTTGTTGCAGGTAGCGGCCAGCGGACCCACCGTTTTTCGAGGGCGCACCAGGAGGCAGAGACAGAAAAGAAAAACCGTTAACCGCAATGGGAGTTTTTCTGTTGTTGTTGTTGTTCTGTTGACCCTCGTTGGGTGCACAAAGGGGAAGGGGAAGGGGAAGGGGAAGGGGAAGGGGGAGAGATAGAGGGATTTATTTTCATCTTTTTTTTTTATTTATGTGTGCGTGTGTGTGTGTGTGGTTGCTTTCTTTAATACTCGTATTTTTCCCGCCGCCTTGTTTTATTTCCATTTACACATTTCTTTTATTTCCAATGAACATGGAAGGCGCTCTGCGCGGAAGTTTTTTTGTGGCGCAAACAAAACGCACCGCGGGAGCCTCACGAACCACCGACAGGGGCTCGGAGGTGAAAAGGGGGGAGATCACAGTACGAGAGAAAAGAAGGGTGCGACGCACGGGACGTAAAAAAAAAAAATTTTTTTAAGGGTTTCTGCTGTTGGCATATGGCGGGGGACAAACACTGCAATCAAGAACAGAGGAAAAAAATGAAATGAAATGAATGAATGAATGATTTGAGGAAACAAAAGACGGAAGTGCGTCGATGGAAAAGAAGAAGAAAAAGAAATGGAAAGAATGTAAGAAAAAGAAAAAAAGGGGGGATGTGACATGGTAAGAGCAGTGGAAAAGAAGAAAAGCGGCTGAAATAAAAAAAAAAGAGGTTGGAAGAAAGGGTTAGAAAATAAAGGCGTGGAAGGACCCTTGTGGTCTCCATGACTGCACGTGTGTGTATGTTTGTGTATCTGTGCTCATTTTCGACCCTTGTCTCCGATGAAAAAATGTGAAATGGTCTGTTTTTCTGCCAGATCCATTTGGAGGCTTTTTTCTCCGCCCTTTGGAGCCTGCGGCCTCCAATGACCCCAACAGGTGTTGTCTTCTTTTCCCCATTTTCTTTTTTTGCCTCTTGCTTTCACGACTTTTAATTGTGGTTTAACCTCTCCCATCAAAGCGGGATCGTGCAGGTGAAGGGAGGTTGTTTTAGGGAGGGGGGGAAGAGGGGAAGGGGATCCAGCCAAGGACGAAGAGAATATAAATAAGAGAAGGGAAACCAAAAAGAGGAGAACAGAATTGAGGGAGAAGGCCTCTTTCTTTTTTGTTTTTATATTCACCCCCAAAGGAAAAGAAAAAAAAAAGAAAAGAAAAGAATAAGTAAAATTTTATGCTCGTTAAGGTGAAGACGGTAAGCAACAAGGTGATTGAGGTCGCATCGCTCAATGAAGAGAACACCATCGCAGAGCTCAAGGAGAAGTTGGAGGAATCAGAGGGCATTCCGGGCAAGATGATACGACTTGTGTACCAGGGGAAGCAGTTGGAGGATGGAAAGCGTATTAAGGAATACCCCATCGCAGCAGGCGCAACTCTGCACATGGTGGTGGCACTGCGCGCCGGAACGTGACGTGAGGTTTGTTTCTTATTGCCGTTTGGGTGTCAGGAGGGAAATAAAACACGAAACTCACAAAGTGAAGTTTTTTTTTTGGTGAAAAAAAGTGTTAATAAAAAAGCGAAGCATCAGGGAGTTTACGTCTCAATGTGGCGCCTTAATCAAGAGCGTAGAATGGGACTAGCGTGACTGCAGTGTCTTTTACTCCCTTTATTATTATTATTTTCTCTCTCTGAGTCTGTATCTGTGCGTCATCTCCTTTATGCGGTGTCGTAAAGGGTATTTTATTGTTTGGTTGTTGTTGTTGTTGTGTTTGTGTGTGCGGTTTGGCTGAATCACTCTTTGATGATTCAAGTGATTTGGGAATATCTTCTTCTGCGAGTTGTTTTTGTCTTTTTTTTTTTTTTGGCTGTGTTTCTTATGTCTTTTGGGGAGTTTCTCCCTGTTTTCTCTACTGCGTTGGTGCGTGCATCATGAAAGGACACTACTTTTGTTGTTGTTTTTGTTGTAGTTGTTGATCTGAGGGAGGGGTGAGGGGGATTGAATAAATAATTGTGTATGGGTGAGGCAAATGTCATTTTGGCCTTTCCGTACAGGCAATGATGATCGATTTCAAGTGAGCAGCAAGGAGGAAACAATATACGATGCAATCAAGGGTGAGATGCCTCCACACCGCTATGAAACAGAAGTCAGTAATTATTTAGAGTGGCGCTGGCGTAGGGGTTTAATCCAAAGTGTCTTTCCAGTGACATGTTATAGTGCGGTATTGGGTTTAGCACTGGGTTTTCGTCAAGCACGCTTGGAAGGACGATATATCGGTCGCTATAGGGTGTTATGGCGCTACAGTTCCACATTTGCTGCGGTAGGACTTTTGACCACAGCGTTCCATCATTTGCTTGTAGTGCGTAATAAATATAACGATCGGATGCATTATCCTATGATAGCTGGAGCATCGGGTGCCGTCGTATTGACAATGGCATCACAAATGGGAACCATTTCCCAAGGCATGCTTGCTGGCTCCTTTATCGGGGTTCTGTACACAGCTGGTTGTTATGGCATGACGTACTATCACAAGCGTCGTTTGAAAATTTTTTTGTCTCAGCAGCAACTGCAACAAGTGCCTATTCACAGGGTATCGCCCGAGTTGCAGCCCATGTACAGGGCATACCTTTATGACAACAGGCCATTGGAGGAGGAAGATTTTCTCAAACGACAGGCCGTTGTCTTATCGTTGGGCGAAGAAGACGTGGGGTTGGACGCAAAACGCATAGTCAGCAACATGGTTCCCGAGATTGTGGACTGGGTGAACTTCCCCGATTGGTGGCCGCTGAAGTTTCCTACACAGACAGAGGAGGAACGAATGATTCTTGAGCGCAAACGCCAAGAAGAGGTAGAGCGGCGGAAACGCCTTATTTTGGAGTCGGAGGATGGTGCCTTGTTGAAGCGCGTCAACAGAGCCAAAAATTACCGAGATGCGTAGCGATTTCTGCGGGTTTGTGTGGGAAGGGAAGAAAGATTGACCGTCCAGGTGGAGGAGAGGAGCGGTTGATGTGAGTGAATGTATTTTGGGTGGCACAATGACTGCAAAAGGAAAGCCTTTTCTTATGGGAAGTTTTTTTTTTCCTTGAGGAAAATAAAGAGGGAAAAGACAAAAGGAGCAACAACGACTCTTTTTCGTTGTTGTTGTTGTTTCTTAGCTATTGGTGCACACATAGAAATAGATAAAATACATTCACAGAGAAGGTGAGAGAGAAGGAGGTGCAATTCCATCGATTGTTTTGTTTTTCCTCTGCCGTTTTAGGGGATGCCAACGTCTGGTTGTAAATTTCGTGTAGCGCTTCAGCGCTTAAATATTGAGAGGCTCCTCCCTCCTCCCTTGCGTGAAAAGAGAGGCAGCAATACAGTTGGCCGTATTAACAACAATAGCGGTGGTGTCGAGTTGCGTGAATCTGTCAATAAAGATTTTAAGGACGTGTGTTCCGCTGTTGGGAATGGTGCTCGTGGGGTGTATTGCAATGGGTTGTCCTTTCATGTGCGGTGGGACCGCATTCAAAGAAACCTGGCAGTTTTAGGGCGTGTTTCGAATGGGAACACGGTGGTTCCTTATCGTGATAGTGCTGAGGCCTTTCGAGTCATGTGGAAGGCTGTGGATGAAGCCAAGCGAAGTGTTCTTTGGCAAACATACATTTGCAAGGATGATCTTATTGGCCAGATGACAGTAGAAAAAATAGCGGCTGCGCAGCGCCGTGGGTGTCAAAGCGAGTTGCTGTACGACTGCGGCGGAAACATCACGGGACGACGTCGTCTCATTGACAAGCTCAAACAGTCTGGGGCCAATGTTATTGAACATCGCCCTGTTTTACATCATGTTTTGCCGTATTTGTTTGGGGGCATGAAGTGGGAGCGCAGTCCTGCCATCCGAAACCACCGCAAGATCCTCATTGTGGATGACAAAATTGGTTTTTGTGGTGGACTGAATATTGGCAATGAATACTGCGGTAGGAGCCAGGGCGGGACGGGTCGCTTTCGCGATACACATTGCTCGGTAGTGGGCCCGGCTGTGGCACACCTTCGTGAGGCGTACGAGGACACGAAGGCACCAAAGCCGTGGCAGTGGAGCTGGACACGTTGGCGAAAAATTGCGTCCACGACGATGGCTCGTCGCTACAAGCAAGGAAGAAACGCGACAGATGATCTTCTTGGACCCATGACAAAATCTGTGCAGCAAAGAGGAAAGTTGTACCTGCAACAACAAATGGAAAGGGCCGAGGAGAAGAGGGTAAGATTTATGGAACGCATTCGATGGAAGCGGCAGCGCGAGCGATTAGAGTTATTTATGCGGTGGTATCCAAAAAAAGCCGCGAAGTTGTTACCACAAAATTTGGTTCATGTTGACGTTGAAGATGGCACTAAATTTCCTACGGAACGCGCAGTGGACACCGGGGCATCAACAGTTATGAAGCAAAGGATGGAGCACTATCGTATGCGTGCACTTAACAGAGCCAAGGCGGCGTTGGAACGACGGTTAGCTGAAAGAGCACTGTCCAAGGCGCCACTGAGTGATGCGGATCCTGTTCCTGGGGCGGAGGAATATGGCAAGATACGGTCCAATGCTACTCAGATCATATGTTGCAACCCTCACACACGGGACTGGTCGATTCCGTATGCCTTTTGGCAGGTTTCTCAAAAGGCGCACCGACGATTGTGGGTAACAACCCCTTATTATTTGCCGCATCGAAAATTGTTGCGTGCTATTCTGTATGCTGCTCGTCGTGGTGTTGATGTACGCATTCTTGCTGGAAGTAATTGTACAACCGACCCTTGGTTTATGTGGCACGCGTCGAATTACATTACCGAACGACTTCTAGCCGCAGGTGTTCGTATCTATGAATACAAGGGGGATCAGATTATGCATGCCAAGACGGTGGTGGTTGACAGTATTTGGTGTTCCGTGGGAAGTTACAACTGGGATATGATGAGCAACAAGAACATGGAAGTCTGCCTCTGTCATTTGGGGTATGAGATGGCACGGGAAATGGAAGGCCATTTCCTTAAAGATCTGCAGACAAGCATCGAGGTAAAATATGAGGAGTATCAGCGTCGTTCCTTTTGGCTTCGATTTACTTCTTGGTTTTTTTATGTGGGGCTTCAAATTGCGGAGAAACTGACGTTTCGCACCTTTTGGGATGCGGACCTCTCTTCAAAGGTTGACGATCTGGACTAAACGTGCGGTGCGCCTTCTAACACCTTTCCTACGCACAGACACACAAACAAACAAAAAACGATATCAATGGCACGCAACAACAGCCAATAAAATAAAAATGGATGGCTGAAAAATATGCAGGAATGTGTTTATTGTTGTTGTTGTGTACCTTTGATATCTTTTCTCTCTCTCTCTCTCTCTTTCTACTTAATTGGTTGGGTAATATTTCTTGGCTGCTTTTTGTTTTCCCTTTTTTTTATGTTTTTGGTTTTTCCTTCTGTTTGTTCTTCTAGAAAAGATGTGCCTTCGATTGTGGAGCCTCAGGAAGCCTGCAATAGACATGTGCATTGATATATACATGCAGACAACGGCTTCCTGTTGTTGCCGTTGATGTTCTTTCACGGCACTGTTCCACATGATTTTTGTTCGAATTGGTGAATGAAGAACGACCGGCTTTTTTTTGTTTTTTTTTTTTTTCGTTTTGGGAGAAGGAGGAAAAAAAAACAGGAAAGAAACGAAAACGAAAATTAAATAATAATAAAAATAATAATAAAAGTAAAAAAAAAAAAAAAGGGAGGGGTCAGTGGGGGGAGGGGCGGGTACAAAAATTAATTATTATTATTATTTTTTTTTTCCCCCCTTCTTTCCGTCATTTTATCCCTTTCCGTGACGATATTTGTATAGATATGACTTTGTGTGTGGAACGCAGCGAAATTTGTGCGTTTTTTGGCAACTGCGCCGGATGTTATTTGGTGTTGGTGATGCATTGAATGCCGGTCATCTTTTCTTTTTATTGTGTGTGTGTGTGTGTGTGTGTGCCAGGGCGGTGTGAGCCTCTTTTTTTTTTTTTTTTTCTTCTTTCTGCCCTTTTTCTCTTTCTCTTTCTTGTGGCTGCGGTTGGCGTGCGCAGGTTTGAAAGACAAAAGGAAGAAATTTAGTCAACGGTGCCTCTTGACAGCGTCTTTGACTTTACTTTTTTATTTGTGTGTTTGTGTGTTGTTTTATTTCCCATTCTTTTTTAAATAAATAAATAAAATTTTGCTTTGGGTACTTATCATCACAATTATCGTTGGTCACTGCCACTGCGGCTGCAGCTTTGCATCGGGACAGTTGGCGCCCCTACTGAAATGAAAGGTGCCGGAGAAAGGAGCTTCCTCTCTCATTTTTTGCGTGCAAGCGGCCATGGCGGGGCTGTGGACGACGTGTATCTGCTGCTACTGACGGCAATGAGACGACTCACACGCGATCTTCGGGACCTCGTTTTCAGAGCGGGCATGTCGCCTGCACGTCGTGAGGCATGTGACAAACTTGTTGAGGACCTGAAGGATGTTATCAAAGAAGTGGCGGCTGTTCCTGAAGACCGCGTCGTGGGGACCACTGGCGAACTTAAGACTCTACACGTCTTTAGTCACGGCAGCTTCGTTATTGACACGGCCCTTTATGACTCGGCTGTTGACGTTACGCTCGTAAAACAAGTGCATCCCTCTATAGACTACTTTCTGCGAAGGAACGTTGGCAATAACGGTGCGCAGAAGTTAACACAAATAAAGGGACTGTTAAGAGCTTCTATAGCGAACACGGAGGCCTCTATTCTTTTGCCGTATCCCTCATGCTATTCCTTGGCGCTGCCATTGATGCAGGAGCAAGACTTACTGATCAGCATCAGGGATGTTTTTGTCGGTCGACTGGGGCTGCAAATAAAGCAAAATGCCGCATTTTGTAGTAATAATGCACGGACACTTCGCTTAATTTCCCCGGCAAACCACATTGACGTGAATGTAACGGTTGACCGAACGGAAGCCGTAGAGGCATCGGCAGTACTGCAAGAACTACTGAACGACAGCAAATCAGCACACCCCGTTATTATTTTTATGAAGGTGATTCTAAAACAATTTAACGTTCATTCTTCGCAACTCACCCCGTATGTCTTAACATTGATGGTTGTTGCCTTCTCTAGGTTTTGCTCTTACATGTCTCCGTTGTTCAGTTTTAATTATTACCCGCATACACGCGAGACAGTTGAGCCAGGATATCTTTTATTTTCCTTTCTTAGCTTCTTCAGTCCTCTTCCGCGGGGGCAATTTGACCCAACACAGATGTGTCTTGTCCCTATTCACCCGCACGGTGTTGTTTACGAGACGAACGAAGGGGATCATTTGTCACAATTGGGTAAGAACGTTGGCGGTATTTATTGGCGTGTCATGGAGCCAACAAGGCGTGGTGACAACGCCGCAGCCTCGTGTGTATTGATTGATAAATCTCGTGACTTGTTTGAGCGTATTCTTGTCGTTTTGCTTCACCATTACACTGGTGTTGTCTTTACTTGTCCAGTGTTTGTTGACGATGCCCATGCACAAATTTTAGGTGCGGAGGAAGTGCCGAAGACGGAGAAGATTCCCATCGACAATCACCTCATATCTCTTTTGCTTCGGGATTGGTGGCTCAAGAAACAGAGTGAGTTTGTCTAGTCACTTACTTCTTTTTTTTTTCTTTTGATTTTTTTCTTCACACGGGCGTGGGTTTTCGGTGGTGCTGATCGGATAACGTGAACTGCTCTGCCTCCCATCTCACTTCTTTTCTTTTTTTTTTTTTTTTTTGGCGAATTATAAGGCCGCTTTTATTTTATTTTTTTTTTTTTTAAGGGGTTTGACGCTGGGAGGCGACATGACAGCAGAGCACTGGGAGAGGGGAAAGAAGATCAGGGGCGCATGTACGGTTTTCCCGTTGCTTGGAGTGTTTGCCGAAAAGAAGTGCGAGCCAAGGCATGACTTTTGTGTGCGTGTGTGTGCCGTCACTTACGGCGATCATATATGCGGGGGGCATCTTTTTTATTTTATGTTGTTGTTGTTGTTGTTGTTTTAAAAGTATTTTTTTTTTTTTTTTGCCATTCTCCTGCTCCCAGTCTCTACAGTCACGCGCACTCTCTTTTTTCTCCCTCTCTTTGCGTGTGTGGGAGTTAGGAAATAGAAGGCATGTGGAAAATCCGAGTGTGGAGTGCATTTTCCCACCGCACACTCACCCTTGCTTTACAACGGCTTGACGTGGTGTCTGCGGCGTCCGCTCACTGTTTCTATCCAGCATGGCATGTTGCAAGGCGAGAATGCACCACAGGGAGTGAAGGGCATCCACTCCAATCATTGAAGGATGCCGACGCACCACCACAAACAACAACAACAACAACAAAAATATCAACTACAGCATCAACGAAGAGCAATGATATCGACTGGGACGACAACACTGTTGTGGAGGAAATTAGAAGCATCCTGACTTTGGAGCTTTTACCAAGAAAAGGGTCTTGTGATGAAGGGGGTGACAATACCGTGCCTCTTTATGCGCTGTTTCGTGCACTGGGGCCGACTCTACGGTCGCAGCTGCAGAATTCCTCATTTGGGGCACTTTCCAAGGCAGTGAAAAGCAGGCCCGATTGGTTTATTATTAGTGCAGATGGCGCCAGAGTGGGACTCACAGACGCTGCGTACTCATGCCGTGCGACCAATCACGATGCGATTGAGAGCAACAAGAAGGGCATTGATGGCCTTCGACAAGACAAAAGTTGTCGTGCGAGCACCGCCGCTTCAGGTAATGTCATGCAAACGCCTTGCCTCGAGAAGCGCGCGATCACGCGTTCAAAAAGTTATGTGTTGGTGCGCGGATGCTTTGGATCGACCCCGCTGGATGTCTTAAAGCCACCTCTCACGTCCGCGGAGATTGAGGAGTGGAAACTTACACGCATTCTTCTCCCTGTCACCCTGTATTTTCTTATGGACAAGGAGCCGATAACGCTTTTTCCGTATGGTGAAAAGCCACGACGTTTGTCACCCGATCTGGAGGAAGCCGAGTCCCTTTATGTATCGAAGGGACTTTTTCCACCCTCTGAAGTGGCAGCCGCATTTGTGCACATCACACCCACGTTTTTTGTGGAAACTCGTCACGTTCTTGCTGCGATGTCTCCGGATGTGGCTCAGTGCTTTGAAAGTCACATTTCGAAGGATCGCGTCGTGGATCTTTTCTTTAAAAAGTATCCCATGATATTCAAGATTAAGACGGGCAAGTTTCAGAAGACGGCGGTGAAACTAAATCTGGATTTCAGTTTTATTCAGAATTACCCGGGGTGTGGGAGGGCGGATCGTTTATTGCGTCGCCACAACCAGGAGTACCGAGCGACAGTAGGCGGAGTTGTCTCGCGACAAATCACCTCACCCTCACGTGAACAAGAGAAGCAGGGTCGTTCAGGAGAGTCTCATGTTGACGTGAAAATTTTCGAGATTCTTTTACGAAATTTGCCTCGGTTTCCGAGCGACAAATCACTTTCAGGAGCAGAGCTGGAGGAAAGACGTTGTGCGCCAATTCCCCTGGTGAAGTGGATTGACGGTTTCGCTCAGGAGGATCTGGACGTACTGAATAGTGTCCCACAGCGGCGGGTGCTAACATTACTAACGCGATACTCACATATCTTTCAGTTGGTGTGCCGAGGCGAGGATTCAAACCTGTTTGCGGAGCATATGTATCTGAATTCGTCAAAGAACTCCAACACACCACGACGCGCTCAACGGGACGATGGAAGTAAGAATAGTTTTGTGCGGCCTTTGGATTCAACGTCCGTCTGCGAGTTAAATGAGATTCCTCACGCAGATGAATATACTGTTGAGGAGGAGAAGGCGGATAAATTGGAGGCAGACACACCGCTTCCACCTGAAACCGAAATGAAACGACGGGAGGCAAACATAGCGGCGGCGCTACGAGATGACTTGATTGGTGTGGATGACATTCTCAGCTCTGATGCGGAATCGGTACCGACATTGACAGACGAGGGAGAGGATACGGAGCTGGGCGACAAGTTAAATACCGATGAAGATGAGGTGTGTTCCGCGGAGGGTGAAGAGGGGGGTGAATTCTTTGACGCGAACGAAGTTAAGGAGGAGGAGGAGGATGTTGATGGTGGCGAATCGCAAAGGAATTTGGAGGAACGTGGAGGAGATGGTGTAAAAAAGGATCCACCGCTCACGGACATGTCATACGCCGATGATGAATCTGACGGTCCTTATATCCCCTCCCAGTACGATATCATTTATGTCCGACGTCTTCCAAGAAGAATTGCGCCACGAAGTCTGAGTGACTACAATGCCGCCAATTCCCCGGAGCCAGAGTTACTGCAGCATATTGCCTCGTTTCTTAACCCACCCCCTTCCTTGCGGGAAGCAAAACAACAGATTATGCAGTCGAATAGAAAAGCACGCAAAGTCCCTCTTTTTACCAGCGGAAGTGCTGTCGGCCCGTGGCGGTGGGTGCCGATTCAGCGCATTTATGCCTCCCTAAGTAAAGAGCAAAAACGTCTTTTGCGACCCTTTAAAGGACTTGTTCACTTCATGCGACTTCATGGTGAGATCTTTGAAATAAGCATGGACTTTTTGCATGTTATTGCCCATGATCCAGAGGGACAAATTGCACCGTTTGTCCCAACACAACTGGTTTTCCATAGCGAGGATCGGGTGCTTCTTCCACAGAAATTTGATGATGATGAGAAATCAAAGGCGTCGTTGATAGCGGATTTGGAGCGAAATAAATTTAAGAGTATTTTGGGTGCCAGTCAAATTCCAACGGATCGTCCACAATTGTTACTGCTGGATCCATTGAATCCCGTACTTAATCATGAGATATTATGTGAGGAGGTTTCTCTTTTCATGCCGGATCACCCTGTTCCGCTTCATCAGTTGATTAATCGTCTACCACCAATTTTGAAGGCGGCACTTTCTTTGCGACACAAAAACAACTTTAAGACCAGTAAGCATCTAAAGGTGTGGAATGAGGGCAACCGCACGATGCTGCAAAAGAGTCAATTGGCCGTGCCGGAGTCGGCTTTGATGGGCGAGGAAACTATTTCTGTAGAGGATGCTATTGAATCGGTACGTGAGGTGATACCAGATGAAGGTGTGATGATAGGACATCTGCACCGTATGCTTCCCTATGCAGCTAAAAAGACGTTAAATACACACTTTGGAAATGTCTACAACGCCATCCTTGGGTATCCACAGTACTTTTATATTGAGAAGGTGGAGGAAAACAGATCAAACAGCACGGTTTTTCTTGTTGAGCGTCTTCAAGAAGAGATACAATGTTGAGAGCCAAGTAAGAAACCTTTTTTTTTGTTTTGGGTGTATTTGTTTTTCTTACTGAGGCGCGTTTATGCTTGCGAGAATGTCCTGTTGGAAAATGGAAGAGAAAAGGATGTTCACCTTGCGTGCTCTCCCCTTTTTTCTTTTTTTCTCTCCTCATTGATGTGTAGTTTTATTTGTGTGTTGTTGTTGTTGTTGTTGTTGGAATACGAATCTTCACATCTATTTATTTTGTTGTTATTATTAAACTGGATTGATTCCTGTCGTGGCGATATCGTTATTGCTTTGAGGGGTTGTAAAGATAAATTGAGCGAGTATGTGTGAGAGTCCACGCGCTGGAGTCAAATTTGAGTTTTATCGCGTTCTTATCCTAACCCGTTTTTGTTTTTTTTTAATATATATATCCCTCTTGGCCTTTGCTTGGGGGTGAATGTGGGCGGGTATTTCTTTGCCTTTCACACTTCTTAGGGGCTTCGTGAAAGGAATATTCGTTTGATGGACGAGGTGCTCGATGAAGAGGTCGGCGTACCGTACTTAACTCCCGGACAGGTCCCTTTGCAAGCAGCAGCAGTCTTACCTTTTTTAACACCACCGGCTGGGGCGCCGACCTTCCCTCGTTTGTACGCGGCATCACTGGGGGAGGAATACATCGATACAGCGGAATGCGTTGAATATGCATCGTCCAATGACGCTGGATTTATGGTGAAATCTTGTTTTGTTCTTGTGGGTTACGGAGGTGTTTTATGCGGATGTTTGGCAGACAGTCTTGAGCCCAATGAACCCACTGCGCAGCGCAACTTCACTGAACTACTTGAGGCCAAGATAAATGAAACAAGAAACACGGATTATTCTTTAGATACCATAACCTTTATTCCATTCTTTCCCGATGATACGCTGGATCCTGCCTTGGGGTCTTTGTTGGGAATCTTCAGTGTGGTAGAAGATCCAACGTGGTGTCTTTTTGTTAGTCATGCAAAAAGAGAAGAAAATGGAAGTGATTGTATTTTACATGTCAAGATATTGCGCATTCCCATTGTTGAAGAAGCAGATCGACTACACAGGGCTTTGAATTCCTTGGTTCTCCATCATTGTGGTGGGCCAAATGAAAATAGCATTTGTCGGTCTCTCATGTCAGTGGAGGAACTTTTTGCCACTGCGCGCAAGTACTCAGATTGTGTTGTTGCGGGGCCTGCATGGGACAGACTATTTTCTTTGCGTTTGACAAATGAAGAAATTTTTTGCATTGCAAAAAAAATGATATTGAGTCAGCCGACTTTTTTAATGGACGTCAATGGAACAAAATTGGAGGAGATTCCGCCTTTGGCAGTTGCCGTGAGGATTGAAGCGTTCACGAATGTACCGAAATCGGAAGGTGAGTCGGGAGGAGTTGAAAAAGCCGTGGCATTGGAGGAGAAAGGGACCGCGGCGCAACAACGTGAGGTGCTGCGGGAGTTGGCATCCGTGCGGGCGCAGTACCGGGCCGTTCTTCGTGAGGGAAATGATCTGATGGCTTGCATCGATGAGGAAGAGCACAGGTGGAATAAGATTGAGATGCATCGAGAAGAGGAGCAGCGCAAGCGGAAGGAACACCCGGCTGCGCCGCCAAGTGAGCACGATGAACACATCAGGAAGAATGTATGCGCATTAGAGACTCTGCAGCAGAAGAGGGAGAAGGAGGAGGGGGAGGAGGAATCGGCACAGGCGACCGCGCGGGCGTTTGTGGCAGAGAAGAAAAGGAAGAAGACGGGAAAGGGCAGTCGTGGCGGTGGTGGCAGTGACAAGAAGTTTGCGTCTACCAGCAATTTTACCAGCAAGGAGGCTGAAATACGGAACGTAAGAGCTCACAACACGGCCCTTCGCAGACTTCTTGAGAAATTAGCCCACGAGCTGAAGGAGGAGGAACAGACAATGGAGAATTTGTCTATTGACCTCCGTGGATTTATGAGCGACATCAACAAACTAGAAAAGGCAAAACTCCTCCTCACAGTTGAGCACAGTATGCTCATGAATACCACCGCCCGTCTGCAGCAGTCCTTACGGGATCAGAAGGAAAAGCTGCGCCAGGAGCAGGAGGCCGCCGCCGCAGAGCAGAGGGAAATTTCAAGGCGTCTTCTGGTACAAAAGGAGCGTACGAAAAAATCACTGCATGTGAAGAACGGCACCACGGAACTTCTTCATCGACTAAAAACAAACCTGAGCAAATAGGTGGATGTGGTTTACAAGGCTCCATCCTTTTTTTTTTATTTTTTGCTGTTCTTTATCGTCAATTGTCTTTTTATTATCGATCACATACTTTGCCTTGACGCCGTAACTTCCCCTGCATCGCGTGCCTCTTTTCATTAAATAACGGCACAAACGCCATTTGATATGAAGTATTATCAAAACAAAATGGTGTTTGCCCAGACATGTATCCTCACTGCATTTTTCTTTTAGTCACGTTACCCGCTTCAATTATCTCTTTTGTATTCTTTTTTTTCCCCCTTTTTTTTGATGTGTACTCCTCCCTGCCACGTCCAAACTGCACACACGCGCGACACTGTGAATGCAGAGGCTGTATGAAAAGGGATTTGAACCCCAACGCTGGTGAGTTTCACCCGACGGGTGGGCGACTCACCCCAAAGCCCTCATTAAATGAGGGGGGTAGTCGTTCTTCATCCTTGCAAGGTGGCTCCGCACCCGCCGCAGCTTCTTCGTCCCAACAGAATAACGCAAATCCTAATGATAGAACGCCCTTTCAAGTTTCCGAGGGCCTTGTAGAGGCATGCTACTTTGTGCCAGCGACACGATTCTTAATGGATTGTCGCGCCGCATTCTATGAACACCCGGAAACCACTAAATGTAAGCACATGGAATTTGAACGTCTACTGCGTCGTTGCTTTTTTGGAGCACATGAAGCCAATGAACTGAGCATCTCCTTGGCTTCTGCGTCTGGTCAAAATAGACCATTCTGGGTGTCGTATTCTGCGGCCTATTTTCGGATGGCGCACGACGTCGTACAGGAGGTTGAACTTGGGACGCCCTGTCCTTCCACTCAACTGTTACCCCCGGCGGCGGCAGGCGCTTCACTCGCAATGCCGATGATTCCACCTAACTTGACAAGCTTCACAAATAACTCGACGGAGGAAGAAAGGCAACGTGAATCTCTTCGTGAAGTTTATCTGTCAAGGCTTCGACCTGTCGTTCCGTATTCTATTCGCAAGCAACTGGCTTTCCGTGCCAAACGCCCTGGCGTCGATTTACAAGAGGATGTGACGAGGGCTATGACTTACGCTCTTGACATCTTTTTTTTCTTTACGCGGTTGCAATTTCTTCGGTTTTTAGATGCATCTTCTGGACTAAGCTACTCTGCATGTGTTCAATTTTTAACCAGACTACGCGAGCGTTTGATGAAGCCGGAAGTGGCCGATTCCTTTCTAAGTGTTGCCCTCGTCCTGATGTTAGTTTCCACCGCTCACATAACGTTTGCACCACGTGGCGGTGAAAGTTGCTCTCCACGAG